CAGGAGAAGAAACCTATGGAGGGGGTCTCCAGCAAGAGAGTTAGAGCCCACTGCCACTTACAGATTGGAGGTTTTATAGGAAAGGAAGGACCTGGTAAAGGGTAGGGAAGGAGACCCAACACACAAGGGTTTCCTTTTCTCCACATCTTTGCCAACATTTATCTTTTGTCTTTTTGGAAAGGCCACTAACAGGCTAGAGGTGATATTTTATTATATTATTTATTTATTTATCTATCAGGACTGGGGTTTGAACTCAGGTCCTATACCCTGAGCCACTCCACCAGCCCTTTTCATGATTTTTTTTTATGGTTACAAGTTTATTTAACACAATCCCCTCCAATTTTATTGAAGTGGGTGACTACGTCCATGACCAATTCCACTTCTAAACTGGAATTCAGTTGCTGACCCAGTCCCAGCCTTAGCTTGCTTATCAGCACCAGGGGGCACAGCACTCCAGTCCTGTAGGCTTTCCCTCTTGTGAGACTTGCAGGTCATTCACCCACCAGACCTTTGGGCTGAGGCCTGCCTGTCTCTGGACAGCTGCACTGCAGGGTGGCAGGCACGCTCTCTGGACACAGGTGGAGGTAATCACAGAAATACTGGATACCCTTGTTAGTAAGGTACCAATAAAAATGCCTCCAAGCAAACTTTTCTTTCACACAGCCTCAAGACTTGAGAGACTGCATGGCCTTCAATGACATGAAGCTCTGGGTTGCTTGAGCATGGGGACATCCTTCTTGGCTACCAACACTCCTTCCTTAAAAAGGAGTTCATAAATGGCAATCATGTTCTTCTTGGGCATTAACAGCATGGCGACTTCAGGGTCTGAGGCCAAGGCTCAAAAAAAGTGTGATGGGTTTTTTTGAGATAGGATCTCATGATCTATTTCCCTGGGCTGGTTTCGAACCATGATCCTCCTGATCTCTGCCTCTAAGTAGTTAGAATTATAGGTGTGAGTCACTGACCCCTGGCTTATTTTAATTTTTTTTGGTATACTAGGGTTTGTACTCAGGGACTCCAACTTGAAGGGCACTCACTGGACCACGTGATCCATGCTGCCAACTTTAGTTATTTCGTTGCTTTAGTTATTTTTCAGGTAGACTTTCACAGTTTTTGCCCAAGATCAGACTCAGACAGTGATCCTCTTGCCTATTATGCCTCCTGCATAGCCAGGACCACAGGAATGGGTTACCATGACTGGCTTATTATTGATATGGGGGTCTCACTAACTTTTTGCCCATACTGGCCTCAAACCTCAATCTTCCCAATCTGCCTCCCAAGTAGCTGGGCTGGGTTTACACGCATGAGCCACTGTGCTAGCCTTCATTGTGCTCAGTCTTAATTGTGTTTTTTATTTTAGTTTTTTGTTTTGAGTCAGTCTCCGTATGCAGCACAGGCCATAAACTCACAATCCTTCTGCCTCTGCTTCTGAAGTGTGAAGATTGCAAGTTGGAGACCTCTGCTCAGGTCTCATTGTGTTTTCTGTCTTTTTTCTTTTTTTGTGGTACTGGTGTTTGAACTCTGGGCCTCAACTCTTCCAGGCACTCTACTACTTGAGCCACTCCACCAGCCCTTTTTGCTTTGGTTATTTTTGAAATAGGGTCTCACTTTATGCCTGGACCTTGATCCTCTATTTGTGCTTCCCCACATAGCTGGGAGGACAAGCACACCACCATGCTAAGGATTGGTTGAGATGTGTCTTGTGGACTATTTGCCCAGGCTGGCCTTGAACCATGATTCTTCTGATCTCTGCCTCCTCAGTAGCTAAGATTACAGGTGTGAGCCCCTCATTGTGTTTTAATTTGCATTTCTCTGGTGATTAGTGATGTTGAACATTTTTTCAAATACTTGTTGGCTAGTAGTATGTCTTCTTTTGATAAGTGTTTATTAAAATCCTTTGTCCATTTTTTAATTGGGTTGTTTGTTTTCTATACTAGCTTTCTGACTTCGTTATATATTTTGGGTATTAACCCCTGATCAGAATTATGTTTTGAGCCAGGCTTCAGGGGCTAATGCCTGCAATTCCTAGCTACTCATGTGGCAGATATCAGGAAGATCAGGGTTCAAAGCCAGCCCTGGGCAAACAGTTCGGGATACCCTATCTTGAAAAATACCCAGCACAAAACAAGGCTGGTGGAGTACCTCAAGTGGTAGAGTGCTTGCCTAGCAAGCATGAGGCCCTGAGTTTAAACCCCAGTACCAGCAAAAAACCCCCAAAAAGTATGCTTTGAAAGTATTTCCTCATACTCCATAGGCTATTTCTTCCCTCTGTTGATTACTTCCTTTTCTGTACAGAAGATTTTTAGTTTGATGCCCATTTGTATATTATTTGTATATTTCTGCCTTTGCTGCCTGTTTAGGATCATATCAAAAACAAATCTTTAACAAGAATTTTTTTTCTTTTTAAAACAAAAGAAAATGGATGAACCTGGAGGACATTAAGCTAAGTGAAATAAGCCAAATTCAGAAAGCAAAATACTGCATGATCTCAGTTATTGTGTTAACTGAAAAAAAAAAAAAAAAGAGAAAAAGACAGTGGTTATCCAGGCAGGGGATAGGAAGGTGGCAGTATAAATGTAGGCCAGAGAATACTAAGTAGCAGATATGCAGTATGAAATAGGTCTAGAGAGCTAATGTAAAACATGAAGACCGCAGTTAATAGAACTATATTAAATAGTATATTAAAATTGTACTATATTTGGGATTCCTGCTCTAACTTCCCCCCCCACCACACCAAGGGTACTTAAGTGAGATAATGGATATGTTAATTTATTATTCTGTAGTAGTCATTTTTTTTTTTTACTCTATATGTAAGCCATAATGTTACTTGGGGGTTTTTGTTGTTATTTTTTGTTTTGTTTTGTTTTGTTTTGATAGGGTCTCCTGTGTAGTCCAGGCTGGCTTGGAGCTGTGATCCTCCTGCCTCAGCCTTCTGAGTGCAAGAATTACAGATGTGTATCACCATACCTGGTGATTTTGAAGAGAATTAAAAAGGAACCTGGTACTGAATAACCCAGAAAGAATTTGTAATTTACACTAAGTAGCACCAGAAACATTTTTCTCTTTTATCAATCAGGATTCTAGAAGGAAAGGAGATGAGACTATCAAAATCAGGGTTTGAGAAGTGGTTAATAAGGGAATATTTACAAAGACAGGCTTTAGAGAAACCTGGGACCTGGAAAAAGGACGTGATGTAGAAAGTGCCAATTTCTTCAAGAGCTTGAGATTTCCACAGGAGAAGACTGAAACAATAAATTCCCTGACTTCACTCATCCCTCTGCCAGGACTCTTGGCCATAAGCAACCAGAAACCATGGAGCAAAGAAATCCACTGATGTAGTCTATAAGGGCCAGTCTCTAGATAACTGAGCTGGCTGGAAAAGAATAGGTAGCTAATCTGGAGGGGCCAGTGGAAGATATACATTCCTTTAATAAATAATACCTTTTCCCATCTGAAGTCTTTATTTCTGAGATCACTTTACTTCAAATACTGTAATACAGTATTATTACCAGACCTTAACAATGTTTGGCCTAATTTTTTTCTTCCCAAAGCTTAGAATTGTGATATGCAATTCCTTTAAAATTCAACTAAGGTTCAGTTGATTTTTAAAATAATTTATATTTTTTGCTGGTAGGGAACATGTTCTTGGCAAAGGAAAAAGCACATAATGATTTAGACACATAAAAGGGTTCTGCAAGCAGCGAATTCCGTGGAGTTGTGGGGAGACAGAAACAGTGAGTTTAGCACGATTATGAAAGATTGCATGTTTCCTGCTAAAGAACTTAGATTTTTCTTATGAACAGTAAAGGAAAACAGTGGATTTTTTTTTAAACAGTGGTATTTTTAAACAGGAAAGGAAGAGCAATAGCACTAGCTTGAAAGAGTTAGAAAACTAGATAAAAGGGGGAAATTGTACAGTGAATGAAATTGAAGAATCAGGTAGATATTTTGCAAAATAGTTATGGAGAAGTTGGACTCTTAGAATCTTACATACTTTTAAAGAATTGAGACCACCTTAAGAAAAACTAAAGGAACCTGAAAAGGAGTACAGGTTGGGGGGAGGAAACTCTGGCCTCTCCTCTTAGTGTATTCCTCTGTTGTCTGCTCTTTCTGGTAGTAAACATTGCAAAGCTGCTGATTAAAGCTGTAAAAGCATACCTGCGTTGTCAGAGAATCCAAAAACGTTAGCCTAAAGAAGAGGCAAATGAAAAGGGAATGCTGCAATTAGGTATAATTTGTGAAAGGAAAAGGCAGAATGTAAGAGGGTTTTTTTTTCAGACCTGGAGTTGAACCCTGGACCTTGTGCTTGCTCAGCAGATGCCTTACCACCTGAGCCACAACCCAGCCCTGATTTGGGTACTCGTGGAGGTGATTTGGGATTAACAGGGCTGTGAACAGGAACTCTCTCACAGAGAGGCGTTTCTGGAGGCAGACATTTCAGAGGGGGAAGCTGAAGCCCAGTTGCGTTATTAGTGAACCACGCAAGCACAACTGTAACAGAATCCTAAGGGAGAGAGCCCAGATATATAAGAAAGAAAGGTGTTTTTAAAAGTGTGAGGGCTGCAAAGGACCAATAAATGCCTCTCTTTGTCCAGAGAATAGCTTTAAATACACGCTTCAATAGTCCGGTCCTCTAACCCCTAAATCCAGGATCATTTTGAGGCTTGGAGGTTGAAGGCTGAATTTTTGCCTCTTTTCAGGTAAATTTTATTGGTGAAGCCTGGGTAATTAGGAAATCGTTAGAAAATTTGCTGAAAAATAAATAATGGTGTTTTACTTTGTGCGGTGGCTTCGGCGCTGCCTGCAAGATCAGAGAGCGAAAGGCCCTAAGACACCCTCTTCCGGCTCGGGAAATCCCTAGAGAGGGGAACCCGGCCTGGGAGCCGCGACGCCGACTTCGCTGGCGGCGGGGGCGGGGCTGGCACGAGGTTGCGCGCCGCGGTCCACGTGATGCTTCCACCGCCCCGGGCGCTTGCGCATGCGCACCGCGTCCTCCACTTGGCGGCCGTGTTGCTGGTGGTGGCGGCTGCAGTAGGGGCCTGAGGCGTTGGGAGTGCTATCTTCACCTACATTGGCCCAGGCTGAGGCTCATGGCATCGAGTGACATCCATCGTAAGGTCAGCCGGGGCGGCAACTGGGAATTGGTGGGAAGGGGCGGCCCTCGGGGTAGGAGGTGGCCGGGGTGTCTCAGGCCGCACCGGGGCCGCGGCCTCCCTCCCGCGCCGCTTGAGGCCTGGCTTGGGCTCGGCGCCCGGCCTCCCGCCTCCTTCTCCTTCCCACCTGTTGGGTGGAGCAGTACGAGGTTTCTTTTCTTAGCCCTAACGTTTCCCTTGATGTGCACTCGGGCGGAAGGGTACGGGGGCCTCCTTCCCTGGGACTTACGAGGGTTTTTAGGGGTGCGTGAACCCCGCTTCCTAGAGCTGGAAACCGGAGTGGTCCGGACGAGCTCAGTAAGTAGCCGCCGAGGACCGGGAGCATTTCGCACACATTCTGGTGAGCAAGCGTTTGTAGGGCGCATTCCGCGTTTTGAACACATGAGCAACGCTTTTGGGGACCCAGGGGCACAGCCCCCCAAAGATCAGCCAGAGGGCTTGGCAAGATAGGATAGAAACAGAAAAAAAAAGACACATGAAAGATCCTAAGAGGATCTTTTTAAAGAATATGTTTAATTAGGATTTTAAAAAATTTTTATCAGAGACCAGCCCTGGTGTTTCTCGTTCCAGAATCCCGTCTTGAGGTTAATAAATAACACTTGAAGTTAATAGTACTCTTTAAGGTGTTATGATGATGTGATTTTAGTAATACCATGTGATTTTATGCCGATTCTGATTTTACTTTTTACATTGGTACTCATGTGGCCTTTTATTTGAGGACTTGAGGGAACTTGGCAACTGATCTGCTCTGTTCAGAAATACTTTATAAACTTCTCCATTGCTAGAAAGGGTGAAGCTTTAACAACGGGCCTTTGGTACGAGGAAGTATGACGCCTGCGTTGGAACTTAAAAGTGGTTTTTGAGCTCTCTGGGAGTTTAAGTGGATTGAAAAAAACAAGCAACTACTGTCAGGTTTCCTCCTCTCTCCCAGATTTATAACCTCATTCTAGAGTTGTAAAAGCTGGAACTTTCCACAGTTCAGTCTCTGGGAAAGAGAAAGTGATGAAAAGTTCTAAAGACTAGTTCTTATATTGTGAACTCCGAAATAATTAAGGGTTGACTACAAATGGCTCGCTAGTAGTAGGTGGTATGAAGTATTTGAAGTGAGAATGGAAAAGCAGGCTTTATTTAGGCTCAGAATATTTAGTAATATTTTTACGACTACAGTTTAAGAAAAAATTTTGTAAATCAAATGGTAAAAATTGTGTATATGTGTTATTTTTAAGAGAAAGAGCAACCTTTTGTGGTATGCTGACAATTCTGCATAAGACTTGTGGGGTTTTCTTGTTTTTGTTTTTGAAAGGTATTGCTATATGGCCCAGGCTGACATGGAACTTGTGATTTTCCTGCTTCAGCCAGGAGAGTGCTGGACTTACAGGCTTGCATCACCACACCCAGCTTACGTGTTTTTTTTTAAATAGCCAAAAGAGAAAGTGGTAGCTCCAGCTAAATGGCAGTTTTTTCCAGATACAATAAGTGTTTAATATGAGGGGGGAAAAAAGGTCAGTCTGTAAAAATAGTTGTCAAAACCAGTGATCATAATAGCCTCTTTTCTTCTTACAGTCCTAGTCTTCGAACTGGCCTATCTTGTAGTTTGTGGATTGCAAAGCTAGTTGATCTGCAGTTCTCAAACTCTTGACTGTCGCACTGTAGTAATGACTTCAGGTTTTTATATTTTGCTCTTAAGTGAAAATGTATAACCAATGGTATGATTTTTTTTGTTTTTTTTTGGTTAGTACCTCTATGGGCATAGAAAGAGAAGAAAAAAAAGAAGAGGGTCTTAGGTCAAATACCCTATGTTTAAATAAGTTTTGGTCATTTAAGTCATCCTCCAAAAAGACCTTTTATTTTTATTTTATTTTTTGGTGTGATTGGGGTTTGAGCTCAGTGCTTTGCACTTGGAAAGCAGGCACTACTGCTTGAGCCACACCTGGAAGCCTGCCCTTTTAAACTTTAAGGTGGCATGATGATTGTTCCTCAGATGTTTAATGTAAATTGCAACTAAGTGTTAAATGTATGATACAGATTAGTGCATATTTACATTGTAATTTATCATGTTTCCTTTTATACTTATGTACTTTATACCCATAATGACTTTACGTGTAACTTTGTAAAATCAATTTCCATTGGTTTGGTGAGTTGAGAAAAGGAGTTTTGTTAGTTTGAGGGAGTAGCATGTGCCAAAACTGAGACATGAAGAGTGTAATATGCTCCTGGAACGGCAACAAAGAGGACTATTGTAAGATTAATATATTTAGAAAGTTAAGCTTGGACTGGGTGTGTCGTTCACGTACTTGTCCAAAGATACCTGTTGTGCTCTTATATTACCAGGTAATATTTTAGGTTCTAGAGACACAACAGTGACCAAAATAAGGCCCCTTTCTCATTGAAATTAATATTTTGAGTTTATCTGTATCAATAACTGCAGCAGTGTTTTTCAGAAATTGTGGCTGCAACTCAACAATAGAAGATTACAACTCAGTAAACAATACTTAAATTGTGTGTTTCAGCAATATGCCCTTAATGCCTTGAGTTTTTTTCTTTCTGAGACAGGGTCTCTCTGTTAGTTCAGGTTGGCTTTGAACTCTTGATTCTTTTGCTTCAGTTTTCCTGAGTGCTGGGCTTATAGATAGGTGTGTGTAGCCACATTCAGCTGACTTTCTATTTTCTTGTTTTCCTTTTTCTTTTACTCATATGTGCATACAATGTTTGGGTCATTTCTCCCCCCTTTCCTCCCTCTCCTTGTTTTCCTTTTAAATAAACATTAGAAGTAGATTTGAAACCATCTGCAGTTTAAAAACATTGATCTATACAGGAGATGATAATGATTACTTAAATTATTGCTAATGGCAATAACGTGAATGAAAAGAAGAAAGTAGTTCTTTTTCTTTTTTTTTTTTTTTTTTTGTGGGACTGGGGTTTGAATCTAGGGCTTCCTGTTCAAAAAGCAGGTGCTCTACAACTTGAGCTGCATCTCCAGGCCACTCAAGAGTTTCTTAATGAGTAGTGAAGCTCAATCTTTTATTCAGTTCTTTGGCCACTAATGTGCAAGTGCTTACCATTTCTCATATGGTTATGAAAATAATATGCCAAGTTTTAGTATGGATGACTTAAAGACTCTGATACAGTTTATTATTTAGTAAATTGTGTACTAGGTCTACAGAAATTTGTGATCTAGTACAGAAGGTCATCATTGAATAAGATTCATAAATGTGATCTGTGCTAGGAAGAAAAAGACAGCAACTATGGGGTCACTGGTGAGCAACCTAACTTATTTGGGGAGTGTGGGAATACTTTTCAGGAAGCAGTGTTTAAACTTTGCCTGGAAAAACAAGTAGGCTTTAGTTAATTTGAAGGCACTGAATAGGAGTGTGGGACTTGGGTAGCAGGTTGGGTACCTTTTCAGTAGAAGAAATTGCATAACCTGAGATCCCAAAGGTGAATGAAACTGTGGGAAAAAGAAACTAAAAAACCTTAAGAAGTGAAATGTCAGGGGCTGAAGTAGTAGAGAAGAGGGAAGAGTTTTGGTGTTAGGATGGGGTTGAATCTTGACTCTGTCTTTTACAACCCATATACACTTGGATTAGTTACTTAACCTTAATAAATTTTTTTTTCATCCTGAAAAATGGAAAAGTGGTCTGTAATAAAGTATTCATTCAATAAGTAGAATTTCTTATTACCATGGCTAGTTAGTAATTGGAGTTATACCGGTGCCTGATGATGTGCTTCCATTCATTCATTGAAAAATAATGTCTTCTTGTGCAACTTAAATTGCAGTAGTTGAATTGCATGCATGTGTGTAAAATTGCATTAAATTATGAAACAACATACTTTCACTATGTGCAAAGCATTGTGATGAGCTGGGCATGGTAGTACATACCAGTAATCCTAGCACTGTGGAGACTGAGACAGGAGGTCTGCAAGTTCTAGGCCAGCCCCAGCTACATAGCAAGTTCCAAGCCAGGCTGACTGAGGCTATATGTGATACCCTGTCTCAAAAAACAAAACAAAACAAAAAAGAAGATAAAAGCATTAAGATGAAAAAATCTATTTTCTATTTGAAAAAAGGAAAAAGAAGCTGGTCTAACACAACCTGCAGTTTGAAAATTACTGATATAGAGGAGGATAATTATTAAATAAATTATAGTGATAGTACTAGAGTAAAAAGGAGCTGGTTAATTCTTACAACAGGATATAAATAAATACACTACTTGGATGTAATAAATTCCATGAATAAAAAGAAAAGGTAGAATGAAAGAAGCAGAGAAAAAAAGGGCTGGAGAAAGGGGGAAAAGGACAATTGTTTAATGGGTACAAAGTTTCAGGTTTGTAAGATGAAAATATTCTGGAGACGTGTCTCATTACCATGTAAATATATATATATGACACTTGTGAACCATATACTTAAAATAGTAAACATGAATTTGACTATTTTAGATATGTCATGGGTGGTATCATAAGTATTTGCCTTTTGTGACTGGCTTGTTTCACTTAGCATAATGTCCTCAGTGTTTATCCATGTTGTAGCATGTGACAGCTGACAGCATTTCCTTTTTAAGGCTGAATGTCCATTGTGTGTGTGTGTATTTGGTTTTTTATGGAATTTGAACTCTGGGCTTGCAAAGCAGGCACTCTACCACTTGAGCCACACCGCCAGTCCATTTTGCTCTGGTTGTTGAAGATAAGGTCTCTAAAACTATTTTCTGTGGCTGGCCTCCAATTTAGATCCTCCTGATTTGAGCCTCCAAAGTAGCTAGGATTACAGACTTGAGCCACAAGTACCTGGCTACCATTGTGAGTGTTTTTAAGGTTTTTTGTTTGTTTGTTTGTTTATTTTAATTTATTCCATTGAGATTGCTTCCATGTTGTGGCTATTGTAAATAATGCTGCTATGAAACATGGTTGTAGAAATATCTCTTTAAGACCCTGCTTTCAGTTCTTTTTTATATATCCATAAGTGGGGTTGCTGAATCATATTGTAGGTTTATTTATTTATTTGTTTATTCATTCATTTATTTATTTTTGAGTCAGAGTCTTGTTTTGTTGCTTAGGCTGACCTCAAACCTGCAGTGTTCCTGCCTCAGTCTCCCAAGTGCTGGGATTACAGGATTGCATCCTTGGCTTAATTTTTTATCTGTCCCCATCCTTATCAATACCAATATTGTGTTTTTTGTTGTTGGTGGTGGTGGTAATAATCATCTTAAAATGGATATGAGATGGTATCTCATTGTGGTTTTGGTTTGTATTTCTCTGATTAATAATGGTGAATATCTCATACTTGATCATTTGTGTATCATAATATTTTTATACCTTTTGTCCAGTTTTTAATCAGGTTTTTTGAATTGAGTTGTAGGAGTTCCATATATTAACCCTTTATTAGACAGATAATATGTAAGTATTTTCTCCCATTCCATATGTTGTCTTTTTACTTGACATCTTTTTTTTTTTTTTGAGACCAGGTCTCACTAAGTGCAAGCTGACTTCACACTTTTCAATCTTTGCCTCAGCCTTCTGAGTGCTGGGATTATAAGACTGTGTCATATTTTTCAAACCAAAAATTTTAAGTTTGATGTAATCCCATTTATCCATTCTTCCTTTTGTTGCCTGAGCTTTTTGTGTTATATCCAAGGCCAAGTCCAGTATTATTAAGGCTTTACTCTCTATTATTGTCTTCTAGTTGTTAGAGTTTCAGGTTTTACATTTAGGTCTTAAATCCATTTTGAGTTAATTTTTGTATACAAGGGGAGATAAAGATCCAACTTTATCCTTTTGAATGTTTAGTTTTTCCAAATCATTTGTTGAAGATACTGTCCTTTTCTCACAGAGTAGTCTTGGTGTCTTAGAGACCATTTGTTCGATCACATGCAGTTTATGTCGGGGCTGTCTGTTCTGTTCCATTGATTTGTCTTAATGTCAAATTAGATACCATACTATTGATTTCTTCTTATTAAAAATTAGTCTGGGACTGGAGGCGTGGTTCAAAGAGTAGAACACCTGCTTTACAAGCCCAAAACCCTGAAATCAAACCCCAGTCCCACCAAAAAATAAAAAGTTATTCTGCACCTTTTGCTCCTATGTTGCTAGTTGGAAGATGTTGGTTGAAAAAAAATTGGTACTAATAATTGACACATTAAGAATGTGTTGGCCTTGCATGGTGCCTCACATCTTTAATTCCAGCACTCTCAGGAGGTGGAGGCAAGAGGATGGAGTGTTGGAGACCTGAGCCACAGTAGTGAAACCTTTTCTCAAAATAAGAAAAGGAATTATATTGGAATAACTTAGTAAAAAAAAATAACTTGAGTATATTCTTTTCACCCTGGGAATTATGAAGTAATCATCAAAATTATTTGCCTAAGGAAAAGGCTGATGTTCTTAATTCTTTTAACAATACTATAATTGCAGGGTGTGGAGTAATTGACAAGTCTCTGGTGATGTAGGGGTGTGGTAAATTTGCTGATTCCAGACCAAACCTTTATATCCCACTTACGTATGCAATTAGAAAAGGGTAGGTAGTAAATGACCCAGAAGTGTTAACCAACCAAAAATCTTTTTAAAAAACTGAGCTATTAAATTAAAAAACCCAAACCAGTGATTGGTTTGCATATAGAAATAATCTTCAAATGTGTGTCTTTTTTAAGGAGGTGAAAAAGAGAGTGAAATAGATTGAGAAATTTCCTTGTGTTTTTAGATCCTGAAGTTGTTTAAGCTTAGCAAACTTGATAACATTAATCAAAGGTCATCCAAGCAAAATACATCTTATTTTTTCTGATATTGTAATATCTATGTTGCTATTGTACATGTGTAAACACTGTATACATACACAGATCTGTTAGGGTTTGTATTAAGTAAATAAAATACAAAAGAATGTTGGTTGGTAGTAATAATTGCTTTTCCTACAGAAGTGGGATGAATGCTGAACTTTTTTGTCTGTTTGCCATTACTTGAATTAGGGATAAATGTGATGATTTTGTTATTTTAGACAAAAGCTATGTGGTGGCTGGCTAAAAAATTTTTTTCTGTACTTTTCTGACTATTTTTTAAAAATACGGGTTTTGCCATAGTTTACACAGAAATCTTCTAGCTCCTCACAAAAGTCATCTTTTGTTTAAAATAATACAGATTACTTGAAGCGTACTTCAGTGGCTCTGAAGTCTGGGCTAGGACTCAGAAAATTATACTTTAACCAAATTCTATAAGTAATTCAGAGAAACAGAAACACATTGGTAAATACTGTATAGTGGAACTTCTGGATCAGAGAATAAGTGTATATTAGATTTGGAGAGATGCTGACTATTAATCTCTAGAAAAGGTACCTGTTACATGGTAGACACTTTTAGTTTCCTATCCACTATGAGTATCCCCTCATACTGTCCTCTTTACTAATAAAATGTTGATTTTGTTCATAGCATATACTATCTGCTGCAGAGCTCTGGGAGAGCTTTTGCGTTTTTGATTAAAAGTATCAATTAGATGTGCAAGGCCCTGGGTTCAAGCCCCAGAATTACCAAGAAAAAAAAAGTAATTATTATAACTATTATTAATACTTCCCTCTACCTTTTTATTTCTACTTTTTTTTTCCTTTTTATTTTTTTCTTAAACAACTTAAGTACATGAAGCAGTCTATAAGGAATTGACTCAGCCCTGCTGGGTGTGGTGGCACATGCTATATAATTCAGTGATTGGTAAACTGAAGCAGGGGGATTGAGACTTTGAGGCTAGCCTGGGCTGTCTAGTGAGACCCTTTCTCAAAAAACAAACAAAAATGTCAGCTCTGACATCATCCAGCTGCTAATACAGTGCCAGTTTCCTAGTGTATGAAAAAAAATTCTTCTGTTTAAACTGTTATCAATAAATACGACTTCTGTTACTTGCTGACAGATGAATCAAATAGGGCTTTTAAAAGGTGGTATTCATGTCAAATAATTTCATTAGGATTTGGAAGATTTTTCACTTTTTTTGTGTGTGTTTCCACAGATCATTAACTGAAGACAAAATAATTAACTATGCAAAATTCTCACATGGACGAATACAGAAATTCTAATAATGGCAGCACAGGCAACAGCAGTTCAGAGGTGGTAGTAGTAGAACATTCTGCTGATTTCAGTACTGAGATTATGAACGTTACGGAAATGGAACAATCACCTGATGGCTCTCCCAGTTTGAATACATCTACAGAGGACAATGAGACAGCAAATACTGTGGACTTTCCAGTGACAGAAACAGAAGCAAATTTCCCTCCAGACTATGAAAAATTTTGGAAAACTGTAGAAAATAATCCTCAGGATTTTACAGGCTGGGTATATTTGCTTCAGTATGTAGAACAGGAGGTTAGTAACTATTTAAATGCATTAAAGGAACAGGTGAACCCAGTAATACCAGTTTAGGCCTTGCTGTTTGTAATTATATTTGCTTTTTAAAATGATTTGCAGATTAAGTTCAACAGGTGCATGTAATTAACTTTGATACTGTCTTATGGCATTTATTTTGGAGAGTCAGAATCAAAGTAATGTGTATATTAGGATGTGTGTGTATGTGTAAAATTACTGAAATAAAAGGTTACCTTAGGGAACTTAAGGTGTAGCTCAGTGGTACAGAGTACTTGTCTAGCATGTGTGAAGCCTTGGGTTCAATCCTCAACACTGAAAAAAATTACCTTGTAATTGACAAAGTTAATTCCTGTTTTTTAAACAAAAATATCAAAGATGTTGAAACACCTTATTTATTTTCATCAGAATCACTTGATGGCTGCCAGAAAAGCATTTGACAGATTTTTCATACACTATCCGTATTGCTATGGCTACTGGAAAAAGTACGCAGACCTTGAAAAGCGGCATGACAACATTAAACAATCAGATGAGGTGCGTACATCACTGAATAAACTTATCTCCACTAGGTACTGTAAGCCAATTAATAACAAAACGAGGACTTTTTTTGGCTGGCAGTACCTACCATTTATGGTCAAACAATTTTTATAGGGTATTTTATTTGCATTTGTCACTCTTGTGGCATTTGTAGCTAATATTTTCTCTCTTTGTTGGCAGGTGCGTTAAACCTCTACAGTTTGTCAAGCTTTGCAGTGCAAGCCTCTGTATTACACTGCAGCTTAACAAGTAGGGCAGGGCTTTTCTCTCACTTACATTTATTTCTCATTTTCCAAACAATATAGTTGGTTTGCTAGTCACATTTGCTACGTCTTATTGCATTTTTGGTCAGACGCTGTCATTGATGCTCTAATGGGTCTGTGCCCTATGGTCTGTAACCCAAAGCCTGCCCACACAACCCGGTCAGAATGCAGGGACTGCTGCGCTTTGAAGATCAAGACTCTGCACGTGGGGATCAGAACATTGCCATGTTCTATCCAACCTCCACCCAAATGGTAATGGTAGATTATTTAAACAAAATTCCAGTAATTAGTATTTCTAAGGTTCACCGGATAACACAGTGTTGCCTCTCTGTTAAGAAATAATTAAATATTTGAAGTACAGTTTATTGTTTTCTTCTTAGGTTTATCGTCGGGGGCTTCAGGCAATTCCTCTCAGTGTTGATCTTTGGATTCATTATGTAAACTTCTTAAAAGAAACTTTGGACCCTGGTGATCCTGAGACAAACAGTATAATAAGAGGGTATGTGAAACATTGATACTCAATTATACTTGAAGATGTAAATAAGTATTGTGATGTTGATAATAGAACTACTTATGAATACTCAGCTGGACGCTTAACATTTATACATTTCTTTCCCACTGTTTAAAAAAATGGTCTATGTAATAAACTTGATCATTAAAAAAAAAATGTAGATAATAAAGCCTTCTTCCATTCCATACCCCATATACTTTTGTCTCTAGTATACTCATTGTTAATGTTTGTGCTTTCACATACTTATGCTATATATATTTGTATATGTATTTTCCATATTTTTCTTTGACTTCTTTGTATTTAACATTGGAATCTCTCCCTATCATGTATTTTTGAGCATTGCAGAAACATAGTGTCAAAGTACTGTGTTTTATTTGACTAAATCCTTATTTATAGGAAATAATCAGTGCTGCAGTAAACATCTCTGCAGAAGTCATTTTTTTAAGAATGCGCTAGAAGTAAAACTTGTGTCAAAGAGAATACACAGAAACTTTATATCAAATGTTCCTCAAAAATGGTATTAATTTTAATCTCCCATGGTGTATGAAAGTAGACATTTTCCATACCCATACCACATAGATTTTTTTCTTCTTCCTGTAGTGTCCCTTTAATTTACATATGTCTGGATTGCTCATCCTGGTTTATCTTCTTATATGCTTTTTTGGGTGCTGGAAATTGAACCTAGGACCTTGTGCATGCTAGGCCAGTGCTTTACCTCTGAGTCATTTTTAATTGGTTATTCATTTTTGCTCATTTTCTTTTGGGCTATGTTTTTCTTATTGATTATAGGCATTTGTTAATGTATTTTTTTGTTTCCAACAACAAAGAATATGCATATGTTTTAAGGAGTCTACTACTGTTGATCTGCTTCTAACAAAAAGCAAATCCTCCATTTCCCTTCAAATATTATTAGCTGTTTCTTCTAGTATTTTCTACTGTATGAATAAAAGAACAGCTTTGTATAGCTTTCCTTATTAGTTGTAGACATTATGTATCTGTTTTGGTGGATGAGAATTTTAGCTCACTTACACCCTGTCTTATCTTTGGTGGTCCTGGGGTTTGAACTCACAGCTGTGAACTTGCTAGGCAGGTGTTCTGCTTTTGGAGCCACACCTCCAGCCCTTATCCTGTCTTCTCATTTCTTAGCTTGCCTATATAACTATAACTGTAACTGTAGAGTAAGTTTCAATAAATATATTTATGTATGTTTTTTCATCATTCTAAAGATAAATATTTTCCATCACACTGTTCTTTTATAGCCTTGTGTTTTTTCCTGGAGTCATTACTTCTTCCCCATTTTTAAAATTTGTGTAATAAAAGGTTTTACATTTAGGTTTCCAGACAGACCTGTCAGATACTTTAGTCTGTAAGTCCTAATTTTTGGAGCCTTTCCTCCTAAAACCCTCTCTTCTGCAGTCTGAATTGGTTGCCACCTTCTACTTCTGCCACAAAACACTTGTGGGATTTCCTCATCATGATTCTGGGAGATGTCTTCACATTACTCTTGGGTTTTATGCCGTGTTGCTTGGAGTTCCTTAGATTTTATTCTTTCTTGGTTTATGTTTGCTTTTTGGAGGTATGTTTCACATAGTTTTTGTTGTTGTTTTGAAGATGAGGTCTTGTGTGTGTAGCCCAGGCTGGCCTCAAACTCGTAATCTTTATGTGTTAGCCTCCCAAGTGCTGAGATTATAATACTAGCTGGGCAGGAAAGGGAGTGGAAGATTTCTAACTATTCTTTAAGCATATCTTCATCTATTCTGTTTTTGTTTCATTTACCTTATCTCCTCCAACTTTCCTAAGTATCTGGTGCATTAATTTCCTAAATGTCTTAATTTATGCAGGGAGAGTAACATCTATTTTATTATTGCCTTACACACAAACATGGACATGGTTGCACACTCACATACTTTTAATCTTCTTTCTTTTCTTTTTGTTTTTTAAGTCTTTTGAGACAGGGTCTTGCAGCATAGCCCAGGCTGGCCTGGAACTTGTGATCCTCCTGCCTCAGCCTCTTGAATAGTGGGATACAGACATGCATAGCCATGTGCAGCTACGTTTTGCATTTTTTAATAATAGACAAATAGTAAAATTTGAACTTTCTGTTTCATCCAAAATTCATTAGCGCACTGATTGGAATTGTTTAAAGTTAATTTAGGGAGTTTAGTTTTATGTCGATTTTAGAATCCCTGTTGTTTTTAATACACTTATTTTGAAAGTATGTATCCAAAAGTTTTGTTTTATTGAGATACCAAATCCAGTGAGTAAAGTTGCTTACAGAAACCTCTTGAAATAAGGTAGGCATTTTAAAATACTATTTCTTTCAGTAAATTTAGAATTATTTTCAATTAATGTAAACTTCAGAAGGGGCCATTGAGAGTTTAAAATACATGCATACTTCTCATTACCTTACAAGGCAGCTGAATCCTTCATCAGAGTTATTTGCTAGGAAATACTTACTGAATTGAGGTAAGATTTGCCTCTGACTTTAGTCTTACTTGTTTTGTCTTTTACTCTAAATCTATATAACAGACATTGCAAGTTTAAGAAATACTTAGATATAAGTTACGCACTGGTGGCTGACACCTTAATTCTAGATACTTAAGAAGCTGAGATTCGGAGGACCACAGTTCGAGGCCAGCCTGGGCAAATAGTTGTCTAGACCCCATATCCAAAGTAACCAAAGCAAAATGTACTTGAGATGTAGCTCAAATGGTAGAGCACCTGTGTAGCAAGAGTGATGCCCTGAATTCAAACCCCACTCCCACCAAAAAAAAAAAAAAAAGTATAGACTGTTACTACGTCATTCTTAATTGTTTGAAATGTGTGCTTTTTTTTGTTGTTGAGGGGGGCAGTATTGGAGTTTGAACTCAGGACCTACACCACTGTACCAACCCTTTTTTGTGATGGGTGTTTTTGAGATAGGGTCTTGAGAACTACTTGCCCAAGCTGGCTTCGAACCATGATCTTCCTGAGTAGCTAGGATTACAGGCGTGAGCCACTGGCGCCTGGTGAAATACGTACATTTTAAATAATAATTTTATATGAGAAACAATTACATTAAAAGTACATTTTTTTGGCAGAAAGTGTGACTCAAGTGGTAAAGCGCCTGCCTAGCAAGCGTGAAGCCCTGAGTTCAAACCCTAGTACCCCATATAAAAAGGTACATTTATCTGTTCTCTTTATGTTTATTCACTCACTCTTTTAAGCAACTATTGTATGCTTTTAATTATTTCTTCTACTTTTTAAATCTTCTATTTTTTAAATTGTTTAGGAAGCAATATAACCGTTTTAATGCAGCATTATTTCCCAAATTTAGATGTATTTTAAAAAATGATTTTATCTTGGAATGATAACTTAAGAGTAATTTAATTTTTCAGAACTTTTGAGCATGCTGTTCTAGCTGCAGGAACAGATTTCCGATCTGACAGACTGTGGGAAATGTATATAAACTGGGAAAATGAACAGGGAAACCTAAGAGAAGTTACAGCTATATATGATCGTATTCTTGGTATTCCTACACAGCTGTATAGTCATCATTTTCAGAGGTAGGTTGAAAATCTGATCTTTGAAGTATCTTTGGTTAACCCAGGTGGTAAATCCTAATATTGAATGTTATAATTTTCTTGAAATGCTATGTAAGATTTTATTAGATGGAAACAAATTTTCTTGCTAGATACACAAATCACCTACTTTTTATTTTAGATATTTTTCATGAAATATCTGGGAATGTTACTGTTTTTAGGTAGAAAGTTCTTATCCATTTTGTAGATGAGGAAACACAGGAATCCTGCCTTCTCTAAGGTATTTCAGAGTACCAAAAGAATAAGAAAATAGAATTGAACAAGTAATTATTTGTAGTCCTTTTTTTTTTTTTTTTTTTTTTAGTAGAACTGGGGTTTGAACTCAGCACTTCATGCTTGCAAACAAGCACTCTACCACTTGAGCCACACCTCCAGCCCATGTAGTTCTGAATCATCCCAGCTATTGCCACATAGTAAATGCTTAATTTTTATTTTTTAATTTTTTGAGACATGGGGTCTTACTATGTTGCCCAGTCTGATCTTGAACTGTCAGTTGTCCTGCTTCAGCCAAGTACCTGGCATTATAAGCATGCACCACCATGCCTGAGGCTTGAACTCGGCCTACACCTCAAGCTACTCCACCAGGCCTTTTTGGTAATGGGTTTTTTCGAAATAGGGTCTCAAAAACTATTTGCCTGTCCTGGCTTCAAATTGCCAACCTCCTGATCTCTGCTTCCTGAGTAGCTAGGATTACAAGCATGAGCCACCAGTGCCTGGCTATACTACAAAAATGTCTAATTTAAAACCTTTATCATGAAGACTCTGTGATCTTATCTAACATCTCAGGTCTAGCCCTTAGGACTCCCTAACGTCCAAATATACCAAAATATTGATAATTTTCTAAAGGTCAGTATTTTATGCCTTTGTAACTCTAGTACCTTTTCCATGTGTATTCCTCCCAACAATACAGCTTTGCGTCCTTGTGAAACTTTCCCCAGCTCATTCAAGTTGAGGTACCTATTCTTTTGTGCCTGCAGTATATTTACACTTAATTACATTTATGTCAGTACTGATAACACTGCTTTGAATTTATATTATCTATATTCTTTACGTGTCTGTCAGTTTCTGAGGTTTAACTCCTTGTATCCCTTATACTTAGGAATTGATTATTAGGGATACAAATACACACACACGTATGACAGTCAGCCAGGCTTTATGGAATTAATGTTGGCTTTATAATCTAAAAACATGAAAATTACTCTTTAATATTATTTATATTTCATTACCATTTTAATGATGTTATTACATTATATGGCAGTTATTTAAAATATTCATGTACTATAAGTGGTTATTTTTAAATTTTATATCTCAAGTTTCTTACCTATAGTCTGACAACAGTTTTGAGTTTTAAAATATTCATCTGAGTATTAAATCTGCTCATTTGTTGTCATTGTTACTTACATGTGTTTGTGAACGCCTTAATCCATTTAAGAAAGAGGGTTGGGATCCATAAACTGAGCATGTTGGTAAGTGCCTATACACACTGAAGGGGGTGAGGTGAGAGGATCACTTGCTAAGGAATTGGAGACTAGCCTGGGGCAACATAGCAAGAGACCATGTCTTACAAAATTAAAACAAAAATTTTATAAGTTTAATGTAGTTTATGTGCAGCCCTATCTACTTTATAGGTTGCCAAAATACGAGAGACTTTATGTGAGAGCATTAGATTTTAGCCTGAATGCAAAGTAAAAGTATTAAAGTAATTTCAGCAGGAGAGAGATGATCATGTTTACTATTTTTATTTTTACATCTACCTTTTAGAAACATTTCTAGCAGCAATATATTTTTAGGGAAGAGGCTACTGGGATTTGGGCTCAAGGCTTTGTGCTTACAAAGCAGGTGCTCTATAGCTTGAGCCACATTTCTGGTCCATTTTTGCCCTGGTTATTTTGGAGATGGGAGCAGGTGGGAGACTCGTGAACTATTTGCCTAGGCTTTGAACCACTACTCCCAATCTCAGCCTCCTAGGTAGCTCGGATTACAGGTGTGAGCCACTAGCACCTGGCTCTGGTAGTAATATCGAGTGGAGTATGGGAGTTAGGAGACTAGAATTTGAAAGACTGCTTTGTTTATCAGGTGAAAATTGAGGAGAAGTCGTAAAGATGGATTTAGAAAGTAGAGTCGGTAAGACCTGAAATACAGGGAAATGTAAGTGATAATCTAGATGGAAAAGATTGAGAAACTTACTGGATAACACTGCCATTACTCAAGATTAGAAATGCTAAAGGCGTTAATTTTTTGGATGAAGATAACACCCTTTGGTTAAAACATTATTGCTTAGGAGATTCCTGTGGTATATTAAGATTTGAGATGAAATGTGTTTTAGCAGTTCAACCTGATGTTTTCAATTAAAATTTGTACACATATAAATTTGCATATGTGAACAAAATAGCAATGTCAGTAATGTTGAAAAAAGTGTCTTAGCTAGACCAGTGGCACATGACTAATTCTAGCACTCCAGAGGATGATGGAGGAGGATCGTGAGGCTAGCCTAGATTATAGAACAAGACCATGTCTCAAAAAAAGAAAATAAACAAGTCTTTATAAGTTGGTTCAAAATTAATCTATACTTTTTGTAAAGAGTGTTGGCAATTGTGTATACAAATTTGGAATTCAGGAGAAAGATGTGGACTTACGCCATACATTTGAAATTTCTCATTATATTATTTCAGGCTATATTAATGACATTGGTTAGAATGTGTAAAGTAAATGTAAAAGTAGATGAGACAAAATGAGGGGTGGGATTTTTGGGAATAATGGCATTGAGGGCAGGTAGGATTGGAGAGCCATCAGAGACTAAGCTGCAGTCAGAGACTTGTATGGAAACGAAGAAAGTGGTAATTCAGAAGCCAAGAGAGGATGATCTAAAAGAAAGATGTGGTTAACAACAATAAATACTTAAGATATAATTTGGATATCCATTTAATTTTACATATAACTGGTGATAAGTGACCTTAGGCCAATTTCATTGGATTGTTGGGCACAGATAGGTTGAGGAGAAAATGGCAGGTGGGAAGGAACTAACATTCATGGATCATCTACAAATGGCCATTTTATGATTTTAATATGGAGTGCCACATTTAATGTTATAACTTTGCAAGATAGGTATTGTTGTTCCATTATACAGATGAGGAAACAGATTTGGAGAGGAGAAAAGACTTCCCTTAAGTTTGATAACTAGTAACAGACACAATTGATATTTGAATTTGTGCCTCTCCGTGTCTTCTTCCTTCCAGTGCCAAGGCTGGAAGGAAATGGAGATGTAGACTAAATGGTAGGATTTCACTTTAGAAAAGAAGGGAAAAAAAAGAGATGGAGAAAGAGTATGATTTATTTGTTTGTTTCTTTCTCTAAATCAGCGTTTCTTTGAAAGAGTGACATGTAGAAGGTATCTTAAACATGGGATCTAAAATTATGCAAGTATAGAGCATGCATTTTTATTTCTTCCGTTAGATTTAAAGAACATATACAGAATAACTTGCCTAGAGATCTTTTAACTGGTGAACAGTTTATTCAGCTGCGAAGGGAATTAGCTTCTGTTAATGGACATAGTGGTGATGATGGTCCTCCTGGTGATGATCTACCATCAGGAATTGAAGACATAACTGATCCAGCAAAGGTAACCAGACTTAATCAAAAGTTGTTCAGTGGGGCTGGAGATATGGCTCAAGTGGTAGAGCACCTGCCTAGTAAGTGGAAAGCCCTGAGTTCAAACTCCACAGTATGGCCAAAAAAGAAAAGAAAAGAAGTTAAAAGCCCTTGTGAAACTAGACCCCTAATTCAAGTGTGGTAATATGATGAGTTATATAACTGATCACTTAGCTCATATGGTTTAAATAATAGATTGAAGATACAAAGTCTTATCTTAGTACCAGACATCTGGAAATAACTTAGTTTAGAAGGAATGTTTTGCTGACGTTGTAGTCTCCTAGTCCTATTAAAAAACAAACCAATAAACAAAACATGAGAAGTGGTTTATTGGGAAATTCTGTTATAAGTTGTAGTTAAAAACGTAATTGCTAACAGTTAAAAACCTACCACTGTTCTAAAACTAAAGTCTCTGTGGATAATACTTAAATGTAAGATACTGAAAATGTTCCATCTATAACTTACGAGATTTAATTTTTCTTTTTCTTTCCAAGCTAATTACTGAAATAGAAAATATGAGACATAGAATCATTGAAATTCATCAAGAAATGTTTAATTACAATGAGCATGAAGTTAGTAAAAGGTGGACATTTGAAGAAGGTGTAAGTGTTTTGTTTTTTAATAGTCTTCAAAATATAAAGATAGGAATGATAAATTTTTCTTTCGGTTTTGATATCAGTGACTTGTTACTTTTTATTATTTTTGTGTATTTAATAAATTTTATTTGTTAATATCCTCAGTTTTATCATTTTCCTTTATTTTAGAATCTTGTTGAATTCTGACTTTAGTGTCAACTATTATACTTGTTCAGTTTTTTAAAAATAATTCGATTAGGTTATGTTTTGTAGACAAAATACACCCAAATACATATATCTTATGTATAAAACACACCCATTTTAGGATAATAGTGACTTTTTTCCCATCATTTAAATTTTTTTCCTGACTGCTTTTTTAAAAACATAATTTACATGCTAAACAATTTACCTCCTTCTTAGTACATTCACAGATCCATACAACCATATCACCATAAACCATCACTGTAGTTAATTCTAAAACATTTTTTCTTCTTCCTGGTGGTTCTGGGGTTTGGACTCAGGGTCTCACAGACTTGCTGAACAGGCATTCTACCACTTGAGCCACTCCTCCAGCCCATTTTTTTTTTGTGTGTGTTGGGTGTTTCTAATACTGGGTCTCACAAACTATTTGCTGAGCTTGCTTCAAACTGTGATCCTCTTCATTTCTGCCTACTGGGTAGCTGAGATTACAGGTGTGAACCACCAGCACCTGGCTCTAAAACATTTTTTTTTTTTATTTCAAAAAGAACCCCTTTACTTACCCTGGAACCTACCTACTCACTGTAACCCCTCTCAATCCTGGCCCTCAGGTACCACTAATCTTTTTTTTCTGTAGATTTCCCGGAAATAGGCTTTTGTATGAATGGAATTATAGTATTTAGCCTTTTGTGGCTGGCTGTAAAATGAGTTTTGGCAATCGTATACACTATAATCACCACAATAATCAACATGCAGAACTATTCTGTTACCCAAAAGATCTCCTTGGCCACATTCCAGTTATTCTGAGAAGGACTGTAACCACTGATCTGGTTTGTCAATATGTTAAAATTGTTCGATTTAAAAATACTCAGAATAAAATTTCCTGTATGTAAAAGTGTGTAATTGTGTAAAAATGCCTGAATAAATGAACAGTGCATTCCATTTGTAAAACCTGGAGAGTTTAAGGAATTTTGTCTTAAAAAATTTTAATTTTGACATAAGGTGATTAACATTTTTGATTCATTTTCATTAGTTATATTCATTTTAAATATATCACTGTATTTACAAATATTTTGGTGTTGGTATTGGTTTACTGTGATTGCTGTACCATAATTTTATTACAGATTAAAAGACCTTATTTTCATGTGAAACCACTGGAAAAGGCCCAACTAAAAAACTGGAAAGAATACTTAGAATTCGAAATTGAAAATGGGACTCATGAACGTGTTGTGGTTCTCTTTGAAAGATGTGTCATATCATGTGCCCTCTATGAGGAGTTTTGGATTAAGGTAAGAAAATCATATGCTCTTAAACTTGAATATATTACAAACATTGATCTAGTGACTAACCTTTTTTGTACTTCTGTTGAATGTTGTTCATATAACTATATCTGTTGCATTAGGAGATGGTCTGCTTGCAACCAGATTTGACTGCTGCATATGCCAACCTCGTTGCCTCTCTTCGTCCTTCCTTACAGAAACTAGTCTAGTGGTTCAATAAAGGTGCTGAATGGGTTTAAAAATAGAATTTTATCGTTCTGTCACATATTTAATGGCTTGTTCAACTGTAAATTAGTTAGTGTTTCCTCTTTTCTATGTGTAGTATGCCAAGTACATGGAAAACCATAGCATTGAAGGAGTGAGGCATGTCTTCAGCAGAGCGTGTACTATTCATCTCCCAAAGAAACCCATGGTACATATGCTTTGGGCAGCTTTTGAGGAACAGCAGGGTAAGAATAAGGACATTCAAATAATATTTGGGAATTTTAAGTGATTTCAGGATGAAATTACAGTAATTGGGTGATAAGGGATGTGTAAAGAAGAATTTGGCAAACTATTTCTATAAAGGGTTGTGTTGTTTCTTTCCTAACTTTGCTATTGTATCCTGAAAGCAACTGTAAATAATACCTAATAAACAAGCATGGCTGTTTACTTTTTTATTTAAAAAAAAAAACAAAAAAAAAAAACCCAGAGGGATAGACTTAACCCATGGATATCTGGTATAAGGACTGTTTCACACGTTTAAATAAAAATATAAATATTTAATTACTCTTTCTAGGTAATATTAATGAAGCCAGGAATATCCTGAAAACATTTGAAGAATGTGTTCTAGGATTGGCAATGGTTCGTTTGCGGAGAGTAAGTTTAGAGCGAAGGCATGGAAATATGGAAGAAGCTGAACATTTGCTTCAAGATGCTATTAAGAATGCCAAATCAAATAACGAGTCATCATTTTATGCTATCAAACTAGCCCGACATCTTTTCAAGATACAAAAAAATCTCCCAAAATCAAGAAAAGTGCTTTTGGAAGCAATCGAAAGAGATAAAGTATGTATTTGTATTTTTTACTTATCTTCCATAAAAACAAGGGTGGTCAGTTTTTCACTTTGGCAACTATGATGAAAAATTTGGTCTGTATGTAATGCATTTGGATTACTAAATGAAGACAACAGTCCCTCTAAACTGATGTTGCCATTTAAAAAAACTTTTCAAATTGTTTTGAATTAAAAGTTTAAGAAAATTAAGATTACTGCACTAAAAAAGGGTTGCAGTACATCATTATTTTTATTTACCCTTCAGAAAATTTGCAAGTTTACTGAAAAGAATAGAAGATCTAGGAGAACATTTTATTAACAAACAAGTAACATTAATAAATGAAGCAGTGATTTTCCTTTTCCAACATATTTCCTTTTATAATAAAAGTCATTGTATTGGCTCTCATTAGGTTTTTCGCTATTAACAGGTCTGTTTGAGACGTAGAATGCTTACAGCTATAATTTAAGATCTTTATCTACAGTCATAGCACCACTGTTTAAATTTTTGGAATTATACAAATCATTCTTCTGTGTTTTATTTTCTACTTATAATGATAGGTCAAATTAGATTACCCAGGATAGATATGTAGTTTTAACTTAATGGTATTTAATACAGGTTGCATAGTTCAGGAGCACACTACCTATCACGAAAGAATTTTTTTCACTCCTTCTATATTAAAAACATTTAACATAAGTTATATTAAATACTGAATTGTTTAGCACATACTTAAAAATTAAGACATTTTAAATATCTGTACTCTAATCAAAATATTAAAGAAATATTAATTGATAACTGCTTTTTACACAGGAGAACACAAAGTTATACCTCAATTTACTTGAGATGGAATATAGTGGTGACCTCAAACAAAATGAAGAAAATATCCTAAATTGTTTTGACAAGGCTATACATGGTTCATTAACTATTAAAATGAGAATTACATTTTCTCAGAGAAAAGTGGAATTTCTTGAAGATTTTGGTTCAGATGTTAATAAGTAAGCTCTTAATTACATTATTTGAATGGGAAATGAGCATTGATTTTTTTTGGATGTGAATTTGATGATTATTAAATTTAAAAATGTTTTGGCTACTTTTTCCTTAGATATATGTGGGGTAAATTTGGTTTCCCCAAATATGTATGTGATTAACAAGAGGGCATTTGGTTTGTCTTCCCTTTGGGGGTTGAAAATTTATACCATGAGTGACAGAATGCATGAAGCAGCAATCCCATGAAAGGGAAAAGAGAAAAGTATTGAACCATGAAACATTGAGGGGAAGGTTGAAGGGAGTTGGGGACCCACTAGGCAAGTGGTAAAGCTCTTGCCTAATATGTGTTATGCCCTGGATTTGATCTTCAGCACTTCACTGAAAATGGGATTAATCTGGAATAGAAATGCCGTTTTATGTGTGCTTATAGAAGATGGGTAGATACGGCCCCATAGATCATGTGTAACGGCCTCATCTTCCTGCATTGTAAAAGGCTGAAAGTTGAGGGTAATGTAAGGGTTCACTCTATATTTGGGGAAGGGACAAGTTTAACATTTAATAAGCAGATACTACAGCATTGCTGAAGTTCTAGTCTTTTCTGGCAATTTCTCAGTGTGAGTTAGGCATGTGTCTTCTGTCTTTTTAATTTAGAATGATTTGCATTGTAACCACTGTAAATGAACTAAGTATTGTGTTCCTGTGTTTGTGTATTTATTTTTTGATGGTTGTGTTAAAATTTGTTTTAAACTAATGCAACAGCTAATATTTCAGTGCTTGGCATAGCTAATGTAAAATTTATAGCAGTATGATGAGTATAAGCACTGTTCTTTTAATAGATGACGAGAGAAGAGCTTATAGATTAGGCATTTTTTCCAAGGTCACTTAGCTATTATATTGTGGGGCTGGGATTAGAACATACTTCAAAGTCTTTGCTCATACTTTGTGGATTTAATGTCTTTATGTTTGTTTGGAACTGGGGAATGTGTACCAAAGAACCTAGATACATAATTCTAGCTTTTAGTTGAATAGTATAATTCTCAGAGGAAGTAAGTATATGAGGCGGCATATACTTGTTGAGAAGGCTGTGAGCTCTATAGATCGAGTGGCACTGTCATGCTTCATAGAAGAGGTGGAGCCTCATTTAGTTACTCTGGGAGTGTTGTAAACTGAGGAGAGGACACAATGCTGGAAGCAGATTAAAGTTCATATAAAAATACCATCTGCTTGATTGAAGGGGTTTGTGAAGTAGAAGTACAACCCAGGGCTTTGCAAATGCTAGGCAAGCATTCTACCCCAACCCGGAGATGTGATCTTGATTGTGCTGTGCCTTGAAAATTGAGAGCACATGTAGTTGACAGTAGCCAGCTATTGGGATTTTTGACCAACAAAACTGAATGATATACCTTTTTATTTTTATTTTTTGCAGTACTGGGGTTGAACTCAGGGCCTATACCTTGAGCCACTCCACCAGCCCTTTTTTGTGATGGGCTTTTTCAAGGCAGGGTCTCTCAAACTATTTGCCCAGGCTGGCTTAGAACCATGATCCTCCTGATCTCTGCCTCTTGAGTAGGTAGGATTATAGGCACAAGCCACCAGTGCTCAGCTGACATATCATTTTGACTTGGCAGTAATAGGTAAACAAATTGAAGGCTTAACATGAAGTTATCATTTACTCCCTTACAATTATAGGTTTGAGAGTCTTCAGTATCAGGATTAAGAGGACGTTATGACAAATGAACTACTTAAGAAATTTATGTAGGCATTTTCCCTAAATGAAAATAACTTAAAAATCTTAACAAAAAATAGTTTAGTTTTTTAAAGGATTTTTTTGTTCTTCCGCCTCAGGCTTCTGAATGCTTATGATGAACATCAAACACTCCTAAAAGAACAGGACACTTTAAAAAGGAAAGCAGAAAATGGGTATGTAACTTCTTGCTAAATCAGAAAGGAGTGCTTAAAAAGACATTTCATTGTGAAACATAAATTATTACCTTTATGTTATAATATACTTTTGTTTTCATAATTTGAAAAAAAATCATACAAAATGGAGTAGTTGAAAAACTCTGATGTTGAAGCAAGAGTGAAGTCCTTCAGCCTGACTGCTTATCAGCCCCCTCCCTGATGTCTTTACCATGGGTTCTGTTGAACCTGGAGAGGATATTGGGAGTTAGAAAACCATTAGGATGAGTACAGAGTTGGGGCAAGGACCTTCTAAGTTGGGGAATCACTTAAGGAAAGCTTCAGAGTGAGGATGAGATTCAAGGCATACAAGTGGTAGTGACATAAGTGGTGTTCCCTTGGTATAGGAAATTGAGAGTAGTGTTGGGGGGTGAAATATGTTCAATTTCCAGCATTAACTGCTTAGCACCCCCTAAAGTTAGGCAGAAATGTAGATAGGGTGTACAGTCTGATTTTTACAAAGTCAGAAGTATAGATTTTGCCTACTAAAGTCTATTAAAAAACATCATCAAGGCCAAATGAATGCCTGTAGACCACACCCACAGTCTAGGCCAGTGTTTTGCCCCCTCCAGCATAGATACATGATCATGTGCTATCTCAGGGAGTAGTAACCCAATGCGGAGGAGTGGAGGTGAGGCTGAAAGACTCTTGGGGGCCAGGTAAGGCTTGACCACTTTGCTGAAGAATCTGAAATCTGTTCTTTAGGCTGGCAGACTAGGAAGGGTTCTTTGAGGAAGGCAGGAACCAGTTTAATCTGTACTCTGGGCAGATAATTTGGGTGGCATTTGATGGATATATTAGGTCACATATCAGGATGCAGAAATATAAGGTAAAGTTCTTTGCATACATGATTGGGTTTGAGGGATTGCTTCACAAAAGTAAATTGTTGAGCTTAGCTTTCAGCCTGTTAACTCAGTTTGTCCAGCTAACAGTTTTGTCACTAGGTGTCTTCAAAACAGCACCAAAAAAAAGTTGAAAATTTTAGTTAAGTAAATGTATACAGGTGACATTCAAATAAGAGAGTTCTTTTCTGTGGGAAATTTGAAAGTTTCTGTTTTTACCTTCATGTAGCTCAGAAGAACCAGAAGAAAAGAAAGCACATACAGAAGATACAGCATCATCTACACAGATGATTGATGGTGATTTACAGGCAAATCAAGCTGCCTATAATTATAGTGCCTGGTATCAAGTGAGTCCACATAATTGTATTTCTTCATAGATGATATTAGAAGCATATAATTAGGGTAGTCTTTAACTAAAAACCTTATTGCCTTTTGTAATTCTTAGAATTTCAGCCGTGAATACTTCTATTTTCTTAAATGTACTTGCTTTAAATTTTTATGTATGGAAGTCAGGTATAATTCTAGTATCTTAACAATGTTTACTTTATTTTTTCAGTACAATTATCAGAATCCTTGGAATTATGGACAGTATTATCCTCCCCCTCCAACCTGATGGAAAATTGTAAATTTCAGATGGGAGTATGTGGAAAGTATGAAATTATTTTTTTTAATGAGGGATGTAAACATAGCATAGACTTGTTTTATTTGATAACTCGTCTTCCCTGTTTTTGTGTAACATGATTTGTTTAGTAATAGGGGGAAATGTCAGTTAGTAGCTTACCAGATACTGTTTCCTACCATTTATAAAATTTACTTTGTATTGGAGAACTATTTTTTTGATTTTTTGCATTAAGTGGTCTAGAATTCTTTTGCAGTGTACTTGCAAGAGTTTTGTAGCCTTAAAGTATAGGGAAAAAAGCTGACTACCAATCATGTCAGTGTAGTACAAGAATCTGAAAACACATAAAAGGGCTGGTTATTAAGGATTTATCTCTGTAAAAACAGACAGAAAAACAATGATTTTTAACCTTACTGATGAGGTTGTCTTAAATGCTTCAGTTATACTTGTGAATTTGGATCTACCTGCAGAAAAGATACACTTATTAAAATACTATGCCTTGGGATAGATTATAAATGAGAAAATGTAATGTTTGCATCCCTTTAAAAAATGAAATCATATCAAAAAGTATGTTGTTTCTGGAGACTTTGTATTTGGAATATTCATGTAAAACTTGTGAGCAAGCTTTCCTTTTGATCAAACTGATCATCTTCATTTTGTAATAAAAACTGAAGACTCATCCAGCAATTGCTTATGGATTTATTTGGAGGGGAAGAGCCCCTAATACTAACTGTATTTAACATTATTAGTTCATGTGTTTGAAGTGAACTTTTCCTCAATTTAGCTGTTATTTGACTGCTAAGATTTCTTAGCTTTTTGAGCTTTCTGCTTCAAGTTCTATGCCTTTAATTTCTCACCTTACAGGAATATTTAAAGATTTTAAGATGAGTATCCTTGGACTGAGGGAGTTGCTCAAGTGATAGAGCACCTGACTAGCAAGTGTGAGGCCCTGAATTCAAGTGTCAGTATCCTGGCAAAAAATTATTTAAAAAAGTATCATTTGCGAAGCTATCCAGACAATTTCATTATGAATTTTACTCCCTAGTTGGATGAATCCTGCCCATCTAATCAGAACATTAATACTGTAACACCAAACAAATCAGTCAAGTCAAGATAGCTGGTATGTTTTTATTGAGCCTTTCAGTTTACAACATGAGGTAAAAGGAAAAAGTTCTCCTTAACCAGTATTTTACACAGCTATGGTTAAATATTTTAAGACTTCAGGAGCTTTTACGGGAATTATGTTTCTTAAAAGTTGGTATCAAGTAAACAAATTTTAACTTAATTCCTTGAATTTGCCAGTTGACTCTTCCAATACCAATAGTAAGAAGCTCAGTTATATAAGTTTCAAGGCCAAGTTTTATCACTCTTGCTGTCTTTAAATATGAAGCAGTATTTCAATCAATATCCACTAATTCCACTTCAAAAATGAGTTTTGCATTTGGTGGAATTCTGTTGGAAAAGTCAAGGTAAGCTAAATTTGAAAATTCCTCTATCCCCAATAACATTAGCATAAAATTAGAATTATGTATTCTGGATATTACTAATTAACACCCAAAGGAAGAGATCTGTTTAGGTGTAATGGACTGTGCCTGTAATCCTGGCATCCATGAGGCTGAGGTAGGATTGAGAGTGCCTGGCCTACAAAGAGAGATGCTGTCTCAAGAGGTAGAGGAGGGAAAAGAAGAGCTTTGAACGTGATTCAGAGGCTAATTCATACTTGGCCTAGCACAGTTCCTAATAGTACCTTTAATGATAAACGAAATCATAACCTACTAGTAGAGGCTGTCTAGGTGAGTCTTAGTTTCAACTAGGATCCTCCTTACCAGGCAGGATGTCTTGCTAATGCTATGAAGTTAAGTCAGTTACTGAACCACTTGAACTACTTTATGAAGACTGCTACTCAGTACTCAAAAGTGGGGGTTGGGGTTTGGTCTTATGCTTCACATGAGAGAGAAGAAACTGTTGCTTAGCCATCTGCTTTTGATAAGCTAGCAACTATTACATTCCGAGATAAGTAATCTAACTGGGCCATAAGACAAGAATAAAATAGTTATAAATTACCTTCCCATTTATCTATTAGATTGGTCATTGTGTTGTTGATTTTTCTAAATGTTCACAAACTGAGTCTATCAGAGAAGTACTGTCATGAGTATTAGTAAACGTGGTCCTGTAGCCTTCGTTTCACAATTGGTAATCCCTTAAATTTTGACTACATATGTAGTTTCCTTAAGTGATACTATAGCACCCTACAGTATGCTACTGTTGTTTGTATTTGACCTTGTAACTTCTTGAAGTAACCCCCCTTCAAACATCTCAGACTTGCTTCTTAAAGATTCAAGCTTAAAGCTCTGTATTTAAGGTCCCAAAAATTAAATGACTGGAGGCATGCCTCATGGCAGAACACTTGCCTAGCAATTACTGCTGGGCATGGAAATACATTCTTATAGTCTCAGCCTGCTCAAAAGGTTAAGGCAGGAGGATCACTTGAGGCCAGTCTGGGTAACACAGCAAGACCCCATCTCAAGGGGGTAAAAAAAAGTTTTGGGCACATAAGCATCAGAAAGCCACAAAGACTAGACTGGCTAGGATTTGTGACCTGGAGGCTAAGCTAGACAGAATCTTTCACAAGATCTTAAGTACTTTTGTTGTTCCTGTTGTTTTATGAAGGGGAAAAAAGGATACTTGGCATCAGGCTGTCCTTTTTTTCCATAAGCCCATTCTGGTTCAATCTCCAGTCGAGCCTTTTCTCCTTTACTCATAGTTAAGAGTGCTTCATCCCACTAAAGGTAAGAGCAAGGAAAAAAAAAAAAAATGCATGCATGATACCAGAATAGCAAACATTTTACAAAAGGCAAAGATCTTTTGAGTAAGGTAAAGCTAACTTTTCAAAAGAAATAATGGTTTCTGGGTTGCCTCTCTACTTTCCAAACTTGGATCTTAAAGATGGTATTATTTCTAATATCAGGTACTCTATTGAGATGCAACAATCACATAAAAGTCAATGGATAAAAATTTATCACATCTAGAAATGGAGAATGTGGTGGACTGCAAGAAATTCACTAGCATGCAAGTAAGTTGTAGAGTTAGGAAAATTATTCAGCTTGCTAAGTTGCTATCAACGTTGTATAAGCAGGAAGCAGTTGAAACTAGTGCTGTACTGAATTATTTTTTTCAGTTTTTGAGCTCAAACCCAGGCCTTTGCAGGTGCTCTTAACACTTAATCCCCTACTCTTCTAAACCTTCAGTTTCAAGATGTTTTGGGCTTTGGATATATAAGTCATTATCTTAGTACTTACAAAAGAGTGATTTGTTAAGAGTTTTTGTAAATGGTATTTAAGTGAATTTCAGATTTCAGTGTTTGATACTCTGAGTAATTAACAATTTAAAAGAAACAAAGGAAAACTATCTGCGTTGCTTTTATCTCCTTTTGTACTTTCATGGTCAGTACAGCTTAAGTCCAGATCCTTTTCCCAAAGTTTTCCTCTGTTATCTTTCACACATTTCAAAGAGTTTTTATAGAAACAAATTCCTCCGATGCTAGGCAAGTGCTCTACTACTTGAGCTATGTCCCTAGATTCCTATCATGCTTTCTGTGTATGTATTTCATATGTACCTTTTGTAAGGTTTCCTCTACCAAAGTTGGGCAACCCCTTACATGTATACCACCATATACCTTTAAATACAAAATAAAGGTATTTGTATATATTGCTTCAAAAACAAAACAAAAAAACTGAATACTTCAGTGACACGACAGCTATGTACTGTTTTACAAGAATTTTAAAGACAAATTTAGAGGGCAAAGTATACTTCTGACAAACTATTGCTTCATGGAAAATAATAAAAAGGTTAGACATGGAAGGAACTAATATTAGAATTCCTACTATTGTATGTCCTTTAAGTTATACCCCTTTAATCTTGTAACAACCCTGAGGTAGTACTCTTACAGATGGGGAAACTGAGAGATAGACCACTTGTGCCAGTTCAGCTGGCACCCAGTCTTAACTCCAACACATTCCTTATAGCCTCATATCCAAAGTAGCATGTTTCAGAATATCGACTGATTTATTAGCCATTCTTACTTACTCCTCTGATAACTTTACCTACTCCAACCTTAAAACTTAAAGGCTTGGCATTTTTCTTCTTCTTTGAACCTGTAAAACAGATTTTGCTTATAATTAATGATATACTTTAGTTCTTATTAAGAAATTAAACTCTAGTAGAAAGTGATTTAATTGCCTTCAGAATTGCAATATTATGTATTTGAAAAGAAACTAAGAAAGCCGGGTAAATTCGTCAAGAAAATTTTAAATGTAAAAGTAATTATGATCTAATAATTATAATGTTATGATGCTCTAACTGAAGGGTAGATGATTAGGACTTATACTTACAGAACTAAAATGGCATATTATTTTGCTTTTCATACTGAAATACTACAGTATTTTGGAACCTGCTGCTATGGTTTGAACATTGTTTTGCCCTACTGATACTCATGTTGAGGCTTGACTCCCAATGAGGCAGTGTTGAGAGGTGTTGGGGTCTGTAAATCACTGAGAGGGATTGATTCTTTTCTCACAGCAATGAGTTCTTGCTGGCACATCCGCCCCTCATTGTTTCTTATAACTGCTTTTCTTTCACACACTCCCACTTGCTTACTTTTCCACAAGTACAGACTAGCACATGGTCCTCAACAGAAGGCGAGTTCTGAAACTGTGAGTCAAACTAAATCTATTGCAGTGTTTTATAAATTACTCAGCAATAGAAAACGAACTAAGACAGACATTAACCAAGTTTAGCTAAGCTTCCTCATTTTTTGCTTTCCAATCACCAAATGTTACTATAGCAAGCCAATAATCAGTGAACTGAAGACTTCTTACAAGTAAATCATAGGTATAGAAGACATGGAAGTGATAGCTAAGAGATACTGCCAATTGTTCATCTGTTTACAGATATTTTACAATGTCTTAAGCCAAAAAGATAAGATTACATTAAGACTTACTCGTTTGAATATTAGTATCAAAAACAGTACCATCCTGTAGTGTTCCTGTATACCAGCAATGAACAACATCTCCCTTTTTGGGAAAGTTGGTTTTATCTCCCTTCTTTAGAACAGATTTTGTATATTTTGGCGGGCCCTAAAAACAAACAGAAGCCAACATACATACAGTTATTAATTTATATCCTCTTAGAAAGATGACAGAGACTACTTAGAGCCAGCAGTGACCAAATTCAGGTCAGTTTGACAAATCTGATTAACTATTTTCCTGTATTCAACTTCTATGAATTAAAGAAACTACCTCATTTCAAGGATGTGATGAGAATACTTACACATCCATAATTTAATTTCAAATAACTTCCAACATCTTTGGAAACCAATATTCTTTCAGCAAAATTCTGTTAATTATTCAACAAACAAAAAAAATGAATTTTTTAGTCCCCAAAGTTAGAAATGTCATTGTTATTAAATTCTGAAGTTTGAGTTATTTAACACCAGTAATTGATATTTTTGTTAGATCCAATAAAAATGAATACACTGCTGGGCACCACTGGTTCTCGTTTATAATCCTAGCTGCTTTTGAGTCTGAGACTGGGAAGATCTGGTTCGAGGCCAGCCCTGGTAAGTAGTTCTTGAGATGGCATCTCCAACATAACCGGAGCAAAATGGACTAGAGGTGTGGCTCAGCAGTAGAGTGCCTGCTTTGCATGTGTGAGCCCTTAGTTCAAACCCCAATCCCACAGAAAAAAGAATGTACTGATGTCTGCATCTGAACATGAATATAAACTATCTAGAATCTTAGGGGAGAAAAAAGGTGGAGCAAATATGAAAGTATCTTCATCTAAACTTATCTAGTTTCTATGTTCAGAAATGGAGGAATATACATTATCCAAATTGGTTTTGGCACCTAAATTTCATAACAAGTAGAAGGAATGTGGCTGGATGTCAAGGATTTCAAATCTGTTTGGTTCCTGAGTTTGGAAAGCAAGTGATACAGTGTTTTCTTTTTTCTTCACTTTCACTTCCCTTAGTTCAAGATTTTTTCTTTCCAAAACTTGTAGGTAAAAAGTTCAATATCCCTGCAAATAGTATACCCCTTGACCAAACTCTAGCCAAACTCCTGAAAGCCCTCTTCTAGACAGAGGCCTCCGCCTTAGTGTATGAACACCTGAACAAGCACTAACACTTTCAAACAGCTCAAAGCCTTATCTCTAGATAAGCACCTGCCTGAAAAAAAGCCAATCACAAGAACTTTCTTCTAGCTAACACCTAAATATAGGGCCCCCATGTCTGAAGGAAGTTAGGAGCCTGACTTTGGTTAAGTGCCAGTGAGCAGACCCCATGGGTTTTATATAGATACCACTCCATTTCCTGTTTCTTTAAAGTTTTTACTTTCTTACCTCTGTTCATGTCCATGCTATTCCCCTCTCTATTTCTTCATTCTCCCTTTAAAAGGCCTCATCATCTGCACTCAAATCTGAATGGAAGTTAAGTTTTTCTCTATTATCAGTAGACTGAATAAAATCTATTTTCACCACTTTACTGTCTGGATGTCTTGCTTTATGCCTGTACTAGGCTGGACCACAATTGTATTTGGCTTCCTCAAGTAGCTGCAAGATGACAGAGGCACATGTCACCACACCAGCCACTGGCTGAGATGGGGACTCAAGATCTTGCTGCCTAGGCTATCTGTGAACCATGATCCTCCTAATCTTCACCATCCAAGTAGCTAGGATTATAGGTTTGAGCTGCCACTCTCAGCCTGGAGACACATTTTTAATTAACACAAAGACTAAGGAGAGATGCTCTGAAATTTAGTAAGTAGGGGTAGGGACGCTGCTAACATCAAACAGCCTAGGATAACCCCCAACAACAAAGAATTATTAATTAGCCAAAATGTCACTATCGCTTAGGTTGACAGACCTTAGAATATACTTGGTTTTTAAGAAATGATGAATCAAGCAAGGGAAATTACAAATGTTGAGGAGTAGCAAGAAACATGACATATTTAGCATGAATTTATATCATGTGTTTCTTCATAATATTTCCTCTACAGTACCAAAGCATGAACACAGAAAATAGACAACATGGATCAGTAAGGGACTAGACAAGAGGCTATGGAATCTAGGGTGTTAGGAAAACAGAGATAACATGTAATTGGGCTCAAGCTACCCAGTTAAGTGAAATGAAATGAGACGTCCTTTAAGAGACATGACAAAGAAAAGGAGAATCAAAGATTCACAGAACTTTTAAGCTGAGAAAGGAATGATTACAGCAATAGGTTTTGAAGTAAAAGGACTCTTACAAGATAACCTCGAAATCATGTCTAGCTCTTAGAAACTTGCCTTTTACTTATAACTGTTTAATCTCTTAATGATGTACTGTCTGCTTCCTAATACCACCCTTATTCTAATTTTCTGGGAGATTCACAGTTCTACTTAACTTGGTAGCTGATTAGTATTTATATAATATATAAAATATCAAACATTGTAAATAAATCAAAATTGCTTTATGTGTATTCATACCACAAATGCTAATTTGTGCTTTTCAACCACTGAGGAAAGTATTTGCAAAATTAGCCCTTTAAGCCAGATGCATATAATCCTAGTTGAGTAGGAGGCATTTGAGGAAGATGGATCACAGTTGGAAACCAGCCCCAGCAAACAGTTCAGGAGATATCTCAAAACCATCACAAGAAAGGGCTGGTGGAGTGGTTCAAGTGGGTAAGAGCACCTTACTAGTAAGCATGAAGACCTGACTTCAAACCCCAAGTCCCGCAAAAAAAAAAAAAAATTAGCCCTTTAATCATATAAACATCTATAAATCTACACATGAATTTATACTAGGTCCATAATACCCAAATGTACATCTTCATTGAATAGCTGTACATCTCTGTAAGAACTAAAGATATATGCTGGAACTTTCAAACATGAGACTCTGAGTTCAAGCCTCAATACCAGAAAAAAACTAAAGATAGATTATAATCAATTCAACTTTCCTACAGCTGTTCTTAGGAGCTGTCTTTAGCTCCAAGACTTAACCATTTGCAAAAATCATTTTATCTGGTTCTTCATACTTTGTACTACAATATAAAACTTAGATTGGGAAAGATGACACAGACGAACCTGCTGGGGACACCATGTACATTTGCAAAAAGCTAAAAATAACTTTAAAACGGAAGTTTCTTTCACTCAGTCAAACTTGGCTATAGAATCACATCCTTAAAACAGCTTTGAAAGCTCAAAAGGTCTGGCAAGACATGGAGGCAATATTAAATAAAGTCAGAAGTATTTCATAGGATAGGTTACTAATTGTAAAGAACTACTTCTTTGGCATATTTCTATTTCAAGGATAGGGAGATAGTACACTCCAAGAGTTTAACTCAATGGAAGTGACCATATTCAACTACTACTCAGTTTAAAAAATTAGTACTATAAGTGCAAACACTATTTCTAAAATTCACATGTATAATAAGGCAATAAAATATACACAAACCTCATCCAGTGTCTCTTCAGATTTGGTTTCTTTGGGTTTATCTTCATTAAGCTTCACATTTTTCACTTGCTCAGACACTTTACTTATACTTTCAGTACCCTTGAAACGCTATTAAAGAAAAAGTTTTAACATCAATACTGAGGACAAGCTAAAAGGTAAGAAGGACTAGATTTTCAGCATCTCAGTTAAATGACCATCTGCCTGATGAACACAGGCTATGTAACTCAAATGCAAATAAATCATCCAAGGAATGACTAAGAAGGAAGAAACTTATGCATTTTAAAATGAATGCCTCTCATACCATCTCACAATATAAATCCTGAAAGAAGAATCATAAACATTAAAAAAGCCAACTCAGAGTTGAAAATATGAATACTGTTCACAAAATTCCTTAGTAACGATTTTTTTTCTGGGGAAGATGATCATATCATACTGATCAAATATTGTAGAATTAAAAAAAATGCTTTTCTAAAGGATTAGTTTAAATCTGAACCAGTCTTTAAATTCTTTAATGAAATGGAACTTACTGTCGCCATAAAACATGTTCTATGCAGTAAATATGCTTAAGTAATATGGTAATACCAACTGACCTAATGGATTTATGACTTAAAAATTTGTTGTCTCCATATGATAAAAGCAAGAACACAAGGGAGGGGTGAGGATAGGTAAGACACCTAAAAAACTAGCTAGCATTTGTTGCCCTTAACGCAGAGAAACTAAAGCAGATACCTTAAAAGCAACTGAGGCCAATAGGAAAAGGGGACCAGGAACTAGAGAAAAGGTTAGATCAAAAAGAATTAACCTAGAAGGTAACATACATGCACAGGAAATTAATGTGAGTCAACTCCCTGTATAGCTATCCTTATCTCAACCAGGAACACTTGTTCCTTCCTATTATTGCTTATACTCTCTCTTCAACAAAATTAGAGATAAGGGCAAAATAGTTTATGCTGGGTATTGAGGGGGCGGAGTGGGTGGTAAGGGAGGGGGTGGGGGCAGGGGGGAGAAATGACCCAAGCCTTGTATGCACATATGAATAATAACAAAAAAAAATTTGTTGTCTCAGGCGAGGTAGTTCATGCCTGTAATCCTAGCTACTCAGAAGGCTGAGATTCGGAAGACTGTAGTTTAAGGCCAGTCAGAAAAAGCCTGGCATAGTGTGTCTGTCATTCAAGCTATGGCACGAAGTGTTTAAAAAGAAGGATGAGCAGGGTGCCGCCAGTGGCATATGCTTGTAATCCTAGCTTCTCAGGAGGTAGCGATCAGGAGGATCACAGTTTGAAGCCACCAGGCAAACAGTTGTGAGATCCAATCTCAAAAAAGCCTTTACAAAAGGCTGTAGAGTGGCTCAAGGTGTAGACCCTGAGATCAAACCCCAATACCACACACACAAAGAAAAAGGATGGCAGTAAAGGCCACCCTGTGCAAAAAAAAAGAGACCATTATGTCCTAAGAAAAAATAGTTTTAACTAGAGTGGACTGGCAGAGTGGCTAAAGTAGCAGAGCACCTGCCTAGCAAGTGTGAGACCCTGAGATTATACCCCAGTACCACCACCAATAATAATAATAACCAGAGCAAAAAGGGGACATGATTCAAGTGGTAGAGCACCTGCCTAGCAAGCAGAAGACATTTCACTCCCGTACTACCAAAAAAAAAAAGAAAAAATTTTTTTTATCTAAATTTAAGCTATTAGGAAATTATTTATAAAAATCTAGTCCCTTTCAAAACACCAAAACATTTTTCCACACTGCAGATTAGTCTTGTTAAATTTGACAGTTGGCAATTAGGATTACAGTTAAGAAAAATTATAGGTGGAAAAACTCCAAATTCTGCGAATAAACCCTTTTAAAATGTCTTTTAGGAAATAAAATTTGTAACAGGATGTCCTGCTAATAGAATGCATGAATACTCACCTTACTTTCAAAAAGATGGTTATAGGCTGTAACCAAATGGTCCTTATTGGCTGTCTTGGCTACATTTTTAATGTTTCCTAATAATTTATGCTCTGCAAGAAACTATAAAAAAAAAAGATAATTAGTTAACATAATTTCCCCTAAGTAAAAATAGCTTAAAATTAGAAAATGGAGCCTGGAGTTATGGTGCACTCCTGTCATCTTAGTTATTAGGGAAGCTGAGGCAGGAGGATCCTTTGAGCCCAGGAGTTCAAGGCCAGCCTACACACAGCAAAACCCCATCTCAAAAGCAAAAACTTAAAAAATAACCTTTTTATGTTAGCTGTTATGTTTTCAGTAGTACTAACGAACATTTATATATACTACTTCATTAAAAAGTATTTAAAAATCAGATATTTATGATATTTCATAAAGGCTATGATTGTAGTATTATGTAGGAGTGACAGTGGTTCATCCTAATGGTTTTTATATCACTCAACTCACAGAAAAGAACATTTATACAACAAGCACTCAAGAAGCAGCTGCTCATGGCAGAAGACTACTTGGCACTGCCCTTGAGAACCTCCAGCCATGGTTGTCATGGCTATCTTGATCTATCTATAACCCACAGTCTGCTAAGAATAGTGCATGGACTGTGGAGTCATATTTTCTGGGTTAAAATTCTAGTTATCTGACCCTAGACAAGGGACCAAACTTTCCTAAAGACTCAGTTTCCATACTTGCAGTGGAAGATTAATAACAGCATCTATGTCATAGGGTTGCTATAAGGATAATGATCCATTTAATGCATTTAGCATAGAGCCTGTCACAAAGTAGGAAATATTAGTTATTATTATTGATAAAATATTTAACAACTTGGGGTATTTTCTGTCAAATATGATTGTAGGTTGACAGATGGGCTCCAAAATACTACTGCAATATCAAAGAACTCAGGAAGCTAAGGCAGGAGGATCAGAAGTTTGAGGTCAGCCTAGGCTACAAAGCAAGTCCCTGTCTCAAAAAGAAAAAAGACTAGGCAATAGTGGCTCACACCTGTACTGTAATCCTACTTAGGAGATTGAGACTGGGAGGATCAAGATTCAAAGCCAGCCTCAGGAAATAGTTTGCAAGACCCTATCAAAATAACCAGTCAAAATGCACTGGAGGTGTTGCTCTCAAGTGGTAGAGTGAACACTTGAGTTCAAACCCCAGTTTTACCTGAAAAAAAAAAAAAAGTAATATGTCCATGTCATTCATGTAACATGAGAATTTTAACGACTTAATTTTTCTCTTATTTCATTCTATTTCCTTTCCTGCCTTGTCCTTGCTGGAATCATTTTGTTACTTTCTCCAAACTGTCTTTTTAGCTGGGTGCTGATAGCTCATGCCCTTAATTCTAGTTGTTTGGGAGGCAGAGATCAGGAGGATCCAGGTTTGAAGCCAGCCTGGGCAAATAGTTCACAAGACCCTATCTCAGAAAAATCCTTCACCAAAAAGGGCTGGTAGAGTTGACTCAAGTAGTAGAATGCTTGCCTAGCAAGCATGAGGTCCTGAGTTCCACCCCTACTGCAAAACAACAAAAAAAAAACCATGTCCTTTGGCATCACTACTCCATCCCTCTCCCCTCTGCTTTTTCTCTCCTCCTCTTACAGAAATATTCCAAATTAATAAAGGCTGATTGGCAAAAGGAGATAAAAGCTGATTATACAGAACTAATCAATTGTTTTAGCATTCTTTTAAGCTCTTAGCAAGGTTCCAGAAAAATGTCTACGATATAAACATCTCGGTATCTTCTGATCAATAAAATAATAGCCATTAAATATTGATTTATGTGAAACATTTAAATGATTAGTGTTATAAAAATATGATAATCCAAGTCTCTTGGAATTGTCCCACTCTGGCTAGTTTTAACATTACATTCTATACTGAAACAATTTGCTAAGAATTTAGTTAAGTACAGTATTAACATTAAATGTTAAGTGATTTGCCTGCTCTATTCTGTTGTTTCAGTTGAAATACATATTTACTTAAGAGAAAATAATTGGAATAAAATGGTACAAGATTCCTGATGAAGGGTCATTTTCACCCAGGTATCCCCAAACTCTGAAGATAGGTTTTCCTATATATGTTATATAAATATTTGCTGAATTAGATACTGAAGCCAGGAAAATTATGCAAGTGGAAGTTGGGGAGTTCTTGCGTCTCCTATTCAAGACCCTCCTAAATGAAAATAAAATAATACCCCTTCAAAAGAACCCAGAAATAATCTTCCTAAAAGCAATAAACTTATGACTGTAAAACACAGGTTTAAGTATGTAAGTGATCACTGGAGAAGAGAATATGCATATGATTACTATTAAAAAAATAACAATTTAGAATTATAGAAATAATATTTGATATTTTGGTATTTCAGAATTTTAGAAACTACATGCACGCTACAGCTTCTGTTTCTTAGTGGAGGATACTCTGTGCACAACAAACTACAATAGTTCTGCAGTAAAGTTATGAACGATCTTCATTTCTGAAGGACAAAAAAGTCAGGTCTGACAAAAATAACTTGTGACTACAGACGGGTGGTTAAGATGGAGACTGCTGAAAAACCGCAGGGCGTACATAAAAACCAATGTAAACAAATTTCTTGATCCGACTGTTTATAACAATGCGAGACCACTGTACTCCAATGCATTATGTGACGCCCCTAAGAATAAGGGTAAGAAAGATCATTTAAAGGGTTAATATTTTTCAAGTTTTAATAAAAGTCAAGCTACAATGATTGGGTTTTTGAAAAATCAGTCAGATTCACATCCGAATAGTAGACTGGAGAGAAATGCAAGTTGCATATATCCCTTCCGTACCCCTAGTAGCCAGCCCTCTGCTCCCGGGGTCTCATCCATACCCCTATTTCTCGACCCCGACTTGAGCCCTCGAGATATCCGGGTTTCTTTTTCCGTCCCTTCACCTCCCTCCCTCAAGGATCCCCTATCGGTTGTAATTCTGCGATCGCAGCCCGCAAGCTGCGGGAGAAAAGGCCGATCCCCACGCAGAAGCAAGGGCGGCCCAAGGGGCGGGAGCGCGGCTCGGAGCACACGGGCCGCTCTGGCCTTCCCTGCCGCAGGCCGCCGAGGACGAGGGCGGGGGCACGGAGGAATTCGGGATGTATGGGCATCTACGGGGGGGTGAGGTGTCCCTCAGCCGCACCAGCCCGGCCGCCCAGCCGCCTCTGGTACCGAATCTGAACCGTGATCCTGCAGAAACTTGATAATGTCCTTCTTGGGCAGCTGCTCGCTGCGCAGCTGTTCTACGGTCCACGCCCGCTGTGGAACGGCGGCCGCCATCTTCCCCCGCTGCCGCTGCCTCACTGAGCCGGCCCGCCGCAGTTGGCCACCGCCCCGCCCCTGGGGCGTGGCTTAGATCTCTGCACTGAACTTGAGGGGCGGGGTCGCTGCGCTACCTAGCAGGATTGGGGCCTGTACTTGAGTGACGTTAAGACTGTGCAATGAGGGCTACTTTGTTGAGTCGGTGTGAAAAACCTGTGGCGCGCAGGCTGACTGCGCATTAGACAGGAAGCCTACTACGTTTAGTTGGAACCTGTGTGGGGCGACCTCTGACTGTGGTGGTAATGACCAGCCATTAGCCATCTTGTTCGTTATGGTCTGCTGTGCCTGCCAAAGTCCAATCCAAAGCCTATGTAAAGAAAACAACAGCATTCAGACTCTTACTTTCATTTTATCTAGTTCATTCTCGAATTGACTCAGGCCTTGTCCATCAGAACAACCAATGTCCTGCTATCTCCCTTTTTAAAGCTCACACAAATCAAACTTAAATGCACACGCCCCTCAACAAAACAAAAAACGAGCAGTTTGCCTGAAAGCAAGTTTAGAAACTTATAAAGAAGCTACACTCAGGATGCTGCTTTCTGATGCTTAGGTATTATTCTTCAATATACGAGGGAAAGAATTTTACCTTACTCGTCATCCACTTTAGAGTGAAGAAGCCAGGAATTGTATCCAAGTTGCATATCCAACTTGCATAGAATAATTGCAAACCGACAACTGCCGCTCTATGTAATGATGCAGCAGCGCCCACCTGCAATCCTTCATTGGGGAGGCTGAGACAGGAGGAACGCATGTCCCAGGCCAGCCAGGGCTACATTAGCGAGAACCTGTCTCAAACAAGCAAAAAACAAAGCTCTGATGATGGTACATGGAGATGCCTTTTAATTATTTGGTTTAATTTTCTTATGAATAATAGGCCACATTCATTTTCCTTTAGACAATAAAATATGAAAATTATGGGTTGCTGCTCCTAACAGTGAAAAAACCTTGGCATTTTTTTTCTCCGATTAGATGGAGAAATAAGATGTGTTATTTAGATCTGTCCACACACTTTTCACCTAATCTCTAGATTTAAATGCTCAATAATTTTAAGATCACAAAATGATGGGTTTTGTCTCTGTCTTAAGCTCATTTATTTCATAATTGTAAGCGGTATCACTTTAGCAGTGACGCCCAGACACATGATTGGAAGCGGAACTCAAATCAAAAGTAGATGGTCTTTTAATAAAAAAGAATCGCGATGGGGACCAAATTTAGAGTTACTCCTTAATTATGCAGAGCGTTTCCGGGAGGCCGCAAAGGTTTCCGGCAAGCCAGCCAATCATATTCCCGAGGCAAACTCAGTAGAGGCATTTTCAACTGGAAGAATTGCCTGCAGTCCCGCCCTTTGGTATCAGTTTTGTGCTAAGGAAACCGATGGGGGGTCGGGGCCGCGGCGGTTGTGCGCAGTGGATGCCCAAGCCCAAGCAAAGTTTTTGGGGATTGTCGGCCTAATGAGCGGACGGCAAAGAACGCTTTTCCAGACGTGGGGCTCGAGCCTTTCCCGATCCTCCAAGGCCCCGCGCAGCAGCTCCGGCGCTCAGGGTCCGGGCAGCTCCCAGGCATGTCTGCCTGCGGCGGCTGCGGCTCAGCCCGAGGCAGACGATGATGTGCTGCTGGTCGCGGTGTACGAGGCTGAGCAGCAGCTGAGTCTCAAGAATGGCGGTTTCTGCACTTCGGCGGGCGCCCTGTGGATTTATCCGACCAATTGCCCAGTGCGAGACTACCAGCTGCACATCTCCCGGACAGCCCTGTTCTGCAACACACTGGTGTGTCTGCCCACCGGACTGGGAAAGACTTTTATTGCCGCCGTGGTCATGTACAATTTCTACCGCTGGTTCCCCTCCGGCAAGGTGGTTTTTATGGCCCCCACGAAACCCTTGGTGACCCAGCAGATCGAGGCTTGCTACCAGGTGATGGGTATTCCACAGTGCCACATGGCCGAAATGACAGGTATCTCAGAAAGAATCAGTTCATTTGCAATTGTGAGCTAGATTCCTAGGAGAGAACGTGTTCTGGTGGAAATAGTGTTACAGGAACTCCTGAGTCATGTGGAATAGTTCTCAAACCCAAATATGCTTATCTTTCATTCTCTACCATAAAACACCCTCATTTATAGCAAGTCCATAGATGCATTTTTTAGTTTAACCTTCAGAGATTCCCTGTAGCTTGTCAGAGTGTTCTGAAGCAATTTTTTATGTATACCTCTCAGATAACTGGACGTGTTTCCTAGCATTCTTCCCAAGAAGGATTTCCCACTGAAGATTATGACCTTCTATAGGAATTATCTGAGGACAATCTAATTGTCTTGGATAAAAGCAACTTTGACATTTGGGCAACATCAGAGGTGTAAAATGTAACATTCCAATGAATTGTCAAACTGTTCTCTACTTAAGCAGAGTGCCAGAGCATATATGCATTCTGAAAGTAACAGTCTAAAGTTTAGAATGTGGGCTGTCACTTTAATTCACAGGTTCTACTCAAGCTTTCACCAGGAAGGAAATCTGGTGCAGTAAGAGAGTCCTTTTTCTTACACCTCAGGTCATGGTAAATGACCTTACTAGAGGAGCATGTCCTGCTTCTGATATAAAATGCCTAGTTATTGATGAAGCTCATAAGGCTCTTGGAAACTATGCATATTGCCAGGTAAGAATTTTGTTAAATGGTGTTATATTAATGGGTACCCATATTGTTAAGGGGCATTTTGGGGGTTAATTATTACTGACGGAAGATATTGATGGTATTTTTAGAAAAAGCCTTGCATTTATTATTGTAGAATAGATTCAAATCAGTGTCTCTGCTGCCCTATTCTTCCTCCCTTTTCCCTCCTTCTTTCCCTCCCTCCCTCCTCTTGTTTTTAATTTAACAAGACCAGTAGTGTTAGATGTAGATCATAAGAGCCTGTCATGGTTGAGGCAATGTTTTAAAGAAGGATATAGTGGAGTTTGGGAACTAAGTTAATAATGCAAAGATTGGTACTGGGTATATAGTGCCATTCCTTGGCAGCTGGTTAAGATAATACTTAACTGTCAGTGTTATAAGGATTAAATGACATAATGTATGCAGCATACCTAACAGTGCCCTACTGTTGAGTACTATATGGATATAAAGTACAAGGATGGAAGCAGTGGTATCTACTTGAGAAGTTATTCATCTCTTTCCACTAATTGGAAATGATCTTCTCTTCTAATTCCCTCTTCTATAGGGGACTGCCTTTTGTACTCTACTTAAGAATCAAGACATGAAATATGTACTTTATACTTATTAGTTTGAATGTATTTTGTAGGCCATAGGTGATATAAGTGGTAGAGACTCATTAAAAATGTGTAGCTGGTGTAATAATTAAGATTTAAGAGATTAGAGTGGAGAAGGAAGCAGGGTATCTAATGGAGAAGGAAGCAGGGTATCTAATGAGGGATGGGAAGAATGCAGGGTGACTCCCAGGTTTCTGACTTGAAAAACTTGTGAAGGTGTGAGAGCTCTGAAGACAGAGCATATTTGGAGGAAAGTGGAAAGCAGTTGAGTGCCCTTCTTAATGTGTTAAGTTTAGAGGAGCCTTTAAAAAAATTTTTTTTTGAGACAAGTTCTGTATTGTAGCCCAGGTTGGCCTCAAACTTGAAATCCTCTTGCCTCAGCTCCTGAGTGCTGGAATTACAGGCATGTATCACCAGGGCCAGCAAGTTTAGAGGTATCTGTGAGGACTATAGCTGTGGATATTCATTAGGTAGCAGGTGATAAGAAGTTTGCATTTCAGTGGAAAGTTTTAAGCTGGAAATACAGATTTGGGAATTGTCAGCATATAGGTAAAACTACTGTAACTAGTGATATTAGGAGGAAGGAATAGAATAAGAATAGGAGGAAAAAAAGGGAAAGTCAAATTCATTTAATACATGGACATGAATTTCACTACTAGTTTGTGAACTTGTAGTTTCCTTGGAGACTTCTAAGTATTATTGTACTATATCTTTGTATTATCCTAGGGAAAACTGGTATTTTTCTTCTAGTTGATCTTTTTAAGTATATCCAGGAAATGGAAATATTTTTCATTTTATTTGTATTTTTACAAGTTAAATTAATACACAAGTGTATTGAGATATCTGCTTGGGAGTTTTTTTTCTTTCTTTCTTTCTTTCTTTCTTTGGGTGGTACTGGAGTTTGAATTCAGGACCTTGTGCTTGCTAGGTGTTCTACCACTTGAGCTATGCCCCTAGGCCGAAAAAGGATTTTTTAAAGCACCACCCCAATAAGTCAGCTCTTGATGTATTCCTTGCTGCATCCATGACTTTTTTTTTTTTTTTTTCAGTCCTTCTGTGATAATCTCTTCTGGCACTAAGAAAAAGTAGAAATGATAATTAGGCATATTTTGTCTTGCATCAGCTTTTTGTGTTTGTTTTTGTGGTGCTGGGGCCTTGAACATGCTAGGAAAGCACTCTACCACTGAGTTCCTTGCATCAGTTCTTAATTAAAATAATTCTACTTAGTCTCTTGTTATGTGTAGTATTATGCCTTCATATGCTATTTATATCATGTTAAAAGTGTCACAAGTAATATATTTTTTATTTATTTATTTATTTATTTTTGTGGTACTGCAGTTTGAACTCAGGCACTCTACCACTTGAGCCACTCTGCCAGCCCAATAAGTAATATATTTTTAGTATTAAGATTCAATTTGAGTCTTATTAAACCAAAATTATTTTCTCTTAAGATAGGTGTGATTCAAGTGGTAGGGTGCCTGCTTTGCAAGTATGAAGCCCTGAGTTCAAACCCCAGCCCCACCAAAAAATAAATAAATAAAAAAAATAATATGACTAGTGGTAGCTCATTAATGTGCCAAGTAGGGAATAAAGATAGACTAAACATAATAGCTTGTGTAAGAGAACCACTGTTATTTTTGCGTTGGAGAGATGAAATTACAAAATTCTTTTTTTTTTTTTAAGGTTGTAAGGGAACTGGTCAAATATACAAATCACTTTAGAATATTGGCTCTTAGTGCCACACCAGGCAGTGATATAAAGGTAAGTAAAATGTCTTTCTATTTATTAACATTTAAGAGAAAATAAGATCTTTTTTATATGGGGCTAGATCAGTTTTCTACTCTAGTATTTACCTAGTTTGACTTTTGGACTATCGCATTTCCTAAACCTGTCCAACTTTTCTTTTATGGTTGCAGGAGTTTCTTAAAACTTTCTGGGTTTTGGCTTTTCTCTTTGGGTGGTACTGGGACTTGAACTCAGGGCCTCATGCTTGCTATGCTGGTGCTCTACCACTTGAGCCACTTTGCCAGCCCTGTTCTTTGCTTTCTTTTGCAACAAGGTCTGGTCATGTTGCCCAGGCTGGCCTTGAACTTTGGAATCAAAGAATCTTCCTACATCTGCCTCCCACTTAGCTGGGACTATAGGCATGTGTGCTACCACACCCAGCCAAATTACTAGTTTTCTGACTTAAGTATACCTAAGAGTCACCTGAAGCTGTTTGTTATAAAATGCCAATTTTTTTACAGTAGTATAAGTATTTTATTTTTAATTGTTGTTGCTTTCGTTTTTTTTGGTTTTTTCTTTGTAAGTTTCACTTTGAAATAACTTTAGAGTTCTGGAAAATTTGCAAAAATTGAAATATTTTGTGTATTTTTCATGTAGTTGCACCTAATGTTAGCATTTATATAACCATAGAAACATTAGCAAACTATAACATTAATGTTGATAGGCTACTAACTAACCTGCTATTCTTATATGAATTTGCCAGTTTTCCTACCAATGACTGTTTTTCAGTCTGGGATCTCACATTTGATTTAGTTTTCATGTCTCCTTAGTCCTTCCAATCTATGACAGTTCTTCAGTCTGTTCTTGTCTTCTTGACCTCCATGCTTTTGATGAGTAGGTGCCATTTAATTTGTAGAGTGTCCCTCAATTTGGATTTGTCTGCTATTTTCACTGATAGAGTGAGGTTATGTATTTTTTTCAAGAATATAACAGGAAAAGGGCTGGGAGAGTGGCTCAAGTGGTAGTGTGCCTGTCTGGCAAGCACAAGGCCCTGAGCTCAAGCCCCAGTACTGAAAAAAAAATAAAAATAAAAAAGAATATAACAGGAAGGGTGCTATACCTTTCTTAGCACATCCTATCATGTTGATTTGTCTTACTGCCTGTGTTGTTAATCTTGCCTTACGTGGTTCAGATGACGTTTTCTAGGTTTCTTCATTGCAAATTTATTTTTTCCCTTTATTATAAGTAAGCTCTTGCTTGGGAAATGCTTTGAGACTATGTAAATTTCCTTTTTAGTATCTAATGTGGCTCTGGGTTGGGCCTGGAACTCACCATGTAGCTCATGCTGACCCAGAATTTGAGGTTCTCCTGACTCCTCCTCCTGGGTGCTAAGATTACATATTACAGGCGTGTACCACCAGCTTGGCTTCTTTTACATTATTAATTTGAGTTCTGTAATGAAGACCTGTGTTCTCTCCCTCAGTTTTTATGAATTGAATTCTTTATTTATATCCATATGAACTAATGGATATTTATTATTTTCTATGGAGCACAATCCAGTATTATTATCAGTTTTGTTCTGATTGTTCCAGCCTTGGCCATTGGGAGCTTCTTCAAGGTGGCTTCTAAGCCAGGCGCTGGTGGCTAACACCTATAATCCTAGCTACTCAGGAGGTAGAGATGGGGCTCGTGGTTCGAAGCCAGCCAGGACAAATAGTTCGTGAGATCCTATCTTGAAAAAAACCCATCACAAAAAAGGACTGGTGGGGCGACTCAAGGTGTAGGCCCTGAGTTCAAGCCCCAGTACTAGAAAAAAAAAAAAAGATTGCTTAGACATATACCACATCCCCCCATGCCCCTTTATAACCATTTCTTAACTTTTTGGCATCACAAGATACTTTATACTCATTTAATACTATCCTGTCCTTGAGATGGAGTGAACCATTTCTCCAAGGACCTCTGTTTTCTTATGTTGGAGAATGGTACAAATTCATATCTTTTATTTCCAGGTGCTGGAGATGAGACCAGGGCTTCAGCATGCTAAGCATGCACTCTACCACTTGAGCTATACTTCTAGCCCAAAATACAGATTTTGAGCTCTTAACATCCTGATTTTTGTAACTGAGTGGTCTTCTGTATTGGTTAAAGATTGTACTGATACTTTCTGAGAAAGTTTTACCTTTGCCAAGATGCAAAACTTTCTTTCTGTGTCCATAGACTTGATGATTTTGAAAGATTTAAATCCTATCTCTGGCTTTCTCCTTTATCCCTGTTTAAGCATACTTCATTGTGTTTTGGTCATCTATTAAACTTGTGCTTAAATGTCATCCCCCTTCAAAACTATTCACTTTAACTAAACTATCAAAAGTTAAGCTTTCCCTATCCTAGTATTTCTTATTCTTTTGCTTATTTATTTTTTGTCTTTCTGCCACACCAAAATATAGGCTATATGAATTGGTAGTTATGTCTAGGTTGCTTCATAGTTCTGTCACTAACCTAATGCCTGGCCTGTGGAATTTACTCTTAATGTTTGCTGGTGGATTATAAAAATACTAAAGTCTTAATCTTATGAAATTGTCTTAAGTGCACTCTCTATTGTCTATAGATGCTCATAACTATAGTATGCTATATTAGGCACCATGCAGATGTTGGGAATATAAAGGTGATTGAGATACAATTCTTGCCCTATAGTGTTTTTTGACTTAAACTAAGTGCTGAATTTGAGCACTTAGTTTAAAACAAATTTTAATTTGAGGATCCATTTTCTTTATTTCTTTTGTTTTGTGTTTGTTTTTTGAGATAGGGTTTCCAGTGTAGTCCTGGCTAGCCTTGTTCTTATGCCCCACCAGTCTCATCTTGTTTGTATCATTTTAACTATCAGTCATACTGTCAGTGCTGTACTCTTCTGATACAGCAGTTACTTACACCAATAGATTATATTTTTTTGCTCCAGTTCTGTAATTTTATAGTTAAGTTCCATCATAAGATTTGGGTGAATGAAAGTTAGCCCCAGAAACATACATCATATATGTTGACTTATTTATTGTTTTATTTTTTGAGAACTTAAGTAGAAAATATTTTATTAATTTGTTAATAATTGATTTAGACTTTAATCATTTAAGCCAGTTTTTAAAGCATCCCTAAGGTACACTGGTGTCCTTTAATAGTACAGTAAGCCCATCTTATTTGCAGATTTCTTATATGCAGTTTTGACCAAGTGTCAAAAAATAAATAAATAAGCTGGGCACTGGTAACTCACGCCTGTAATCCTAGCTACTCAAGAGGCAGAGAGTAGGAAGATCTCGGTTTGAAGCCAGCCCAGTACCACAAAATAAATAAATAAAACAATCCAAGGAAATTTCAAAAACAAATTTTGGGAGGGAGGGGGCAGTACTGGGGTTTGAACTCAGGGCCTCACACTTGCTAGACTTCCAAAGCCGACACTCTACCACTTAAGCCACTCTTCTAGCTCTGTTTTGTATTGTTTTTTTTTGTGATGGGTTCTCAGGAACTGTTTGGGGCTGGCCTCAAACCATGATTCTCCTGATTTCTCCCTCATGAGTATCTAGTGAGTCACCACCACTGAGACCTGTGTGCTAGCTAACTTTCCATTACTATAACAAAAACCCAAGATAACTAACTTACCAGGAGAAAAGGTTCATTTTGGCTCACACTTTTAGAGGTTTTAGTCCAGGACCAGTTGGCCCCATTGCTTTTGGGCCTGTGGCGAGGCAGCACATCATAGGGGGAGCCCCTAGTAGAGCATTACTGCCACAAGCTGAAAAACAGAGTTTTAAATTCCAATACACAGGAGCCACAGCTCAGTTGAAGTAGAGAAGCTCTTAGTCCCACAGTTGTCAATTGTGTTTATATTGTGAGATCTGAGTGTTTCCTCACCCTTAATTTTATGAAAATACACCTCCCAAAAAGCAAATGGTGCCCAAAAAAATAAGGTAAAAGTTAATGCACTTAGTTTAAGTGACAACATGAAAATTTTACTCTTTAGTGGAAGTTGAGTGGCTTATGGGAAAAATGAATCAAACGTCTGCAGTATAGCACTGAACTCAGCATCCTGAGCATTTGCAGTTTTTCCTCAGTGGTGGTCTTCTTAAAGCCATATACCTTTAGACACCAAGGGTTTACTGTAATAAGTTTCCCCACAAAAATAATTAATACATAGAAGTATTTGCCAGTGAATCAGGAGACCTGGGGTTTAGTTCTGGCTCTGAAATTGACTATGGTGGTGGGTATAGTGGTACATTTCTGTAATTCCAGCACTTGGGAGCCTGAGTCAGTTGCATTGTGTGTTCCAATCCAGCTTCGCCAGCCTGGGTTACATAGACCCTGTCTAGACCCTCAAAAAAAAAAAAAAAGACCGTGGTACACAATGTTTTTGGGGGTTTATGCTGCTAATCTAAAATGTCTTTTTTTTTCTTTTAATCCTTCTGCTTTTTAAAATCATATTATTGTACCGAGGGTACATTGTGACAGATACAAAAGTTCTCACAATATATCTTAGTCATTCTCCTTTATTCCCCCTCCCTCCCTTAGACTAGTTTCAGCAGTTCTCATTTTTCCATTTTCATACATAAGTACATAATATTTCTACCATATTGGCCCTCCAAAGTGTCTATTTTGTCTTAGTCTTTAAATACATTTGGAAAATACTGAAATATACTTGAGGAACTAATATATTCGTATTTCTTAGATGCTTGGCTTGAAAGACTGTAGGTAGAAAAGATATTCCAAAAGTATGTTCCCCCATTTTGCTAGTTCGTGTGTGTGTGTGTGTGTGTGTGTGTGTGTGTGTGTGTGTGTTTGATACGGTCTCACCATGTAGCTTACAGTGGCCTGGAACTCTATATGTAATCCAGGGTGGCCTCAAACTCTAAATTCTCCTCCCTCAGTCTTCCAAGTTCTGGGTTACAGTACAGACATGTGCTGCTTCTGATAGGCTTTCTTTCTTTCTTTCTTCTTTATTTGATGGTACTAGAGTTTGAACTCTGGGCCTTATGCTTGCTAGGCAGGTGCTCTACCACTTGAGCCACATCCCCAACCCTTCTTGCATTAACTACCACTTCAGCTAGGCCTCCAGCTCTAATATACTTTTTTTATGGGCTGTCTTTTCTCTTTTTTTCTTTTATATTTAATGGTACAAATTTCTAGTGCTGCTTTTTAAGATTTTACTATTTTTATTTGTTAGTACTTAAAAACAAAAAAAATTATATAATTTATACTCATGCTGAATTGATTTTGCATAGGCTGTGCAACAGGTTATTTCTAACCTACTAATTGGGCAGATAGAACTTCGTTCTGAAGATTCTCCAGATATTTTGCCATATTCTCATGAAAGACGAGTTGAAAAGCTTGTTGTTCCCCTTGGTGAAGAACTTGCAGCCATCCAAAAGACATATATCCAGGTAAGCCATTTTTATCACAGTTCTTGGTTCTGATAAATGAAATGGTAATGTAATTATTTCAGTTAACAGAATTTAGAAATGAGAATTTATGGAGTATATAACTAAGTGTTGAAAAGTTCTTTGAAATTAAAGTTTTGGGGATGAGCACAGTACTGCTTGAGTCACAGCTCTATCCATGACCTGTTTTTTTTCATTGCTTGAGATGGGAGTCTCACAAACTTTTTGCATGGGCTTACCTGGAATCAGCATCCTCCCCATCTCTGCCTCCTGAATAGCTAGGATTATAAGCGTGAACCATTACACCCAGTGATTTCATATTCTTTTTTCCAGTCAATGTAAGAAAAACTTTACTGAGACCCCTGAACCATGGGGCCTGAGCCAGAGGCTGTCCTCAGGGGTGGGCGATTTTGTATTTTTTTAAGTGAACCTTTTAACTATAGTTTGAGACACAAACTACACAAAGAGACCTATAGAAACAACAGTGTGCACAAAACTTAAGTGTATAGTTCTGTGTGAACATACCCATAACATACCCAAATTCAACCAGAATTTTCTTTCTGTTATTTTCCTCTCTGATCCCTTGTTTAGCAAGATGGTTCTTGAGTCCTTTACATGGGCACCTTTTGTTTTTCTTTTTGTTTTTTTTTTAACTTCCTAACTTCCTTGTATCACAAGATATTTTATGTTTACCTGACACAGGTATTTTTCCTGTTGTCAACTATGATATTAGTTGTTTCCCCAAGGAGTCTTTGTTCCTTTTATGGCAAAATGGTATTTAAAAACAAATGTTTAAGCTTGACATCGGTGACTCATGCCTGTAATCCTGGCTACTTGGGAGGCTGAGATCAGGAGACTCTCACCTCGTCAAATAGTTTGGAAGACCCCATCTCTGAAATAACCATAGCAAAACACACGGGAGGTGTGGTTCAGGCTGTAGAGTGCCTGTGTTGTGAATGCTGCTCTGCAAGCATAAAGCCCTGAGTTCAAACCTCAGTCCCACCCCCCTAAAAAACAAACAAAAAAATGATTGGCTAGGTATGGGGGTGTATGCCTGTAATCCCAGCACTTGGGAGGCTGAGGCAAGAGGATGGCAAATTTAAGGCCACCTAGGGCTACATAGTGAGCCCTTATTGCAGAAGTGAAAAAATCCCATCTCTGTGTACTAGCGATGCAGGTTATTTGGGGGGGTGTATCGCCTGTAATCCCCACACTTGGGAGGCTGAGGGCAAGAGGGATGGCAAATTTAAGCCACCTAGCGGCTACATAGTTGAGCCCTTATGCAGAAGTGAAAAAAATCCCCATCTCTGCTGTACGAGCGATGCTCATTGTCACTGTGATGTAATTGCTTCTTTTTTTTTTTTTCATTTTTCTTTTATTATTCATATGTGCATACAAGGCTTGGTTCATTTCTCCCCCCTGCCCTGATGTAATTGCTTCTAGGCTTACTAATGACCTGCTTGAATTTTATCCACAGGTTCAGAATCATGAGCAAATAAGATGGTGGTTGTTTTAATCTAATTTTTGAAATTCTTTGTTATATAGGAATTGGTAGTCAAAACATCTACCTATCATTTAGCCTTATTTTTTCTTTTCTTTTTTTTTTTTCTTTGGTCTGTTTGTTTCCTGTTATAAAAAGCCCCGATTTTAAGAACAGGGAGGGAAGGAGGGGATATAACCCTTTAGTGTAGAGAAAGAGGGGGACAGGAGGATACTTCAAAGGTGGATAGGGAATGTCATTAAGGCAACAAAATGTTCTCTGTTAAAAAGCTGGCAGAGTTGCCACAGTTTCAGTGGAAGGCCAGAGTCGCCTTCTCAGTGGGGTTTCTCTCACTCAAGTGTCCAGAAGGGGGAAATTGCCACCCACTCCACTGCTCACTCCAGATCACTTCTTCCTTATGTATATAGAGTGCTGCAAGGCTTCGGAAGGCAGAATCTCTGTGTGGGTTAAAAGTCAGCATTTCCCAGCAGCAGCTGTTGCTTTCCAGGACTCTTCCATCTCAGGCACCACTGACTGCACTGGATGAGGTCCTCTACGGAGGCAAAAGGCTCCTCGGGTAGAGAACATCTCGAGGCCAGTCATCCTCTGGGGGCAGTCCAATCAGATCAAAGATTTTCCCCAACTTGGTCAGCGTTTTCAGAGTTTCCACAGAGAGAGGCTTTTCCACGAAACATCTCTGCAAAGATACAAGCCAACACTCCACATGGTCACCAGGTGTTGCATATGTAGGACTGTAGAAGAAACTTCAGGAGCATGGTACCAGAGTGTAACAACCACAGGGTAAGGGGCACATCTGTAGCTGTAGATTCTGCCAAGCCAAAGTCAGCCAATTTGACTGTTCCCACCAACTCGTCACCAGAATGTTCTCTGGCTTCAGGTTTCTGGGTGGACGATGCAATAGGCATGAAGAAAATCTAGACCTCTTAGAAACTGCCGCCATCAGATTCCTGATGCGTTCTCAGCTGGCAAGCCTCGGTGGGGTCCTTGTCCAGATATGTTCCTTAGGTCTTGGTCTACATGCTCAAATACTAGGGTCACCTTGATCTCCCGGTCAGTTCGGGAAGTGGCACAGACGTCCATCAGCCGGACAACATTGGGGTGCTCAAAAGCCTCCAGCCGCCTCAGTAAGGCCACCTCACGAACTGTGCTGATGGGAAGGCCCCCTCCCGCTCCTCCTCCATTGGGGACTCTCACACTCTTGAGGGCCACAAAGTGGCCACTGTGGGGATCACGGGCCTTGTACACCGTCCCATACGCACCGACACCAATTTCAGCCACAGGCTCATATCGAGAGGTAGCCATTCTCAGATCAGGAGACCTTCACGCCCAACCAGGCCCGTTATCGGGGCTCCGGAGCTGTTCCCTGCGGCGCCATACACCCGAGCTCGGTCCCAGGCAGAAGTTTTACAGGAGTATGGTTTGTTTTTTGTTTTTAACTCATTTGTTACAAAATTCCTAGCATTATTTTTTTCCTGTGCCCTTAGCTCCAGTATTTGTCTCTTAAATAATAATATATGTTATTATTATTAATGTTATTCTATTTATATTGATAAAATTATAACTTGAATAATCACAGGCAATTAGAATTTTGTTTGGTTGATTTGCTTAGGGTTCCTCTTTAGGCAACGTGATTACCAAAGCCAGAAGAGAGAAAAGAAAAATGTACTAAAATAAATTTATTTTAGGAAATAAAATTAGGCAAAAAAAATTAAACAATTCATTATGTATCACTATAGTAGGTCTTAATCTAGAGATCTCTTTTTTCCTTCAATGTGCCATCACAGTTATTCCTGACTTAGGACCTTTGGCCAGTTATTTCCTCTCTAGAATGCTGTGTATTTAGACCTTACATGGTAGATGCAACTCATCATTCACATGTCAAGCAAATATTACCTCCTCAAAGGCTCTGTAGCATTGTTGTGTTTTATATTATCATTATTTTTCTTTGGTGGTATTGGAATTTGAACTCAGGGCTTCAGACTTGCTAGGTAGGTGCTTTACCACTTGAGCCTTTTTTGTGTTGTGGGTGTTTTTGAGATAGGGTCTCTCAAACCATTTACCCAGGCCAGCTTTGAACTGTGATCCTCCTGATCTCCGCCTCCTGAGCCACAGGCACCCATTGTGGTTTAGATTAAGTATATTTGTCATTATCAAATTTACCAACTTTCAGCTGGGTGTGGTGACACGCAACTGTAATCCTCACCCAGGAGGATGAGGAAGGAGGATTGGAAGTTCAAGGTCAGGGTAAGCTACATAGCAAAACCCTCTCAAAAAACCAAAACTGAATAAACAAAAAATGTCTACTTGCTTTAGTTCTTTGTTTTGTTTTGTTGTCTATGCTAGGCAAGCTACAGCCCCAACCCCATCTTTATTCATTTCTTTACTCTTTGCTTTCCTCCATTAGAATCTAAACTATATGAAAGCAGCAATTTCATTTTTCTTAGCTGTAATATCTCTAGCATGTAGAATAATGATATGTAATAGATGCTTAATAAATATTTCTTGAAAGAATTAATCAGATACACTCAAGACATTTCAATTTATTCAACAGTCTACAAATATTTACTTAGAATCTATGTGCTGAACTTTGTGTTAGGCATGGAGGATACGACAGTGAAGAAACTCAAGGCACTCCTTTCATGATAGTAGATTGTAGTGTGAGGATGAGAGAGAGATGAGTTAAGAAATAAACAGATAGCGCTGAGATGTAGCTCAGTGGTAGCTATATATGTAATACCCTGAATTCAATCCCCAGAACTACAAAGGGTAAAAAAAGGAAGGAAGAAACAAATGTGCTCTTAAATTATAGTTGAATATAGTGATTGCTTGTGCTGACTCTTAACATGGGATGTTATTGAGGTGTTGTCAACTACTTTTAAATTTGTGATCTTGCTTATATTAATTCATTTCAACTTCTATTTTAAGATATGATGAAAAATGAAATTATAAAGTTGAAAAAAGGAATTTTAAAAACAAGCTTTGTACTAAATTTCTTTTAAATTTGCAGGTTTTGGAAACATTTGCAATTCTTTGATTCAAGAGGGAATGTTTTGATGAGGAGGGATACCCCAATCTAACAAAAATACCAGATAATTCTGGCAAGAGAATCAATTGAGACAAAACCCATCTCCAAATGTTGTGTAGTATTTTTAAGTAATTTTTCTTTTTGTTACTGAACGGTTTGAACTCAGGGCTTGTGCAGTTGCTAGGCAGGTGCTACAACTACGGTTGAAGCCACATTGCTGCCCTAAATTAAAATTTTGATGATAGCAAAAATTAAATTTTCACTGAGAGCCAGCTGATTAAAAGGTTAAATATTTATTTCTTAAGATACATATTAGCTCATTAAGAATTAGTATGAACTGATACTAGTGCTCAGCCTGTAATCCTAGCTACTTCAGAAACAGAGATCAGGAAATGGAGGTGCCAAAGCCAGCCCAGAAAATAGATGGAGAGACCCTATCTCAAAACAATATTAATACAGAAAAGAGCTGGAGTGGCTTCAAGCTGTAAGCGCCTTGCTTTAGCAAGATGAGGCCCTGAGTTTCAAACCCCAATCCTGCCCAAAAAAAAAAAAAAAAAAATTAAATATATTTTATAGTTTATAAAATTATGATAAAATCTAGCAAGAATACAGTTAATGGGTTTTGAGTTAAGATAAATTTATCTTTATAACTTTTAAAGAAGAATTAGCGTTTTTAGTCCATTTCCTATCTTGTAGTGCATTAGAGCCATGAAAGCCAACTAAAATCTGTTTATTGGTCGGTACTTGGGTTTTAAACTCAGAGTTTCTTACCAGGCTGGTGCTCTTCTACTGTTAAAGCCATATCTCCCATGAGAACCAACTAAGTTTAGAACCAAGAACACTGATTACCAGAAGTTGGAGAAAACATCCCAGCAAGCTTTTATTTCTAATCGTCATTTTGGAAAAAATATAGTGGATTGCAAAATATCTATCAACGAGAAGGTCCAAAGGCCGAAGAGATGCTCACAATGCATAAAAAAACACTGGAGTTCAAGTTAGTAGAGTGCTTTCTTAGCATCACAAGGCCCTGGTTTTCAAGCCCCCAGTATCATAAAAAAAAGGAAAAAAAGAAAAAGGCACTGACTCATTCCTTGAGCTGGAGAAAAATGTATGTGCAAAACCAAACAGAGACAATTTGAAGAAGGCATGTAAGAGATAGGAACAAATCATCTGCTGAGATAGTAAGATTTTTAAGGAAGCCAGATAAAAACAATCTAAGTTGTGACCATTATAGGAGTAAACTTTTAAAGCAACAAGAAATGCAGCTTTTAGTTCTGTACTACCTGAGGAACCATTGAATGATCTTTTCCTGTGAAATTGCGGTTATATTATATAAAACTTTGAATAAAAACATAGTGTTTTGGAATTAATTTTTCTGCTAGGAGGTAAAACCATTCACTGAAATTTTAAATAGAAAATCCAAATCTGTTGAACTTGATCTTATTGATGAGAGTTTAAATTTTATAAAATAATGGCTTTACCCTTTTAGGTAATTAGGATACCATTTTAGGGCATTCATTACTATCATGAAAACATTTAGAGTAACTATCAGTGATACTAAATGCTACTAAAAATGTGTAAGATAAATAAAAATGTTAGTCTGTCAAGCACCGGTTGGCTCATGCCTGTAATTCTAGTATCAGGAAGGGCAGAGATTTCAGGAGGCATGGAGGGTCCAAGGCAGGCAGGCAATTTTCATGAGACCCGTGCTCAAAAAGGACCCAATACCAGAACGGGCTGCAGAATGGCTCAAATGGTGAGTTGCCTATCTTAGCCCTGACTTCTAATGCTGACTACTAGCAAAAAAAAAAAAAAAAAAAGCCTAAAAACAACAAACAAACAAAAAACACTAATCATCATCTCAAATTAAATTAAAGTAATAATACGTAAAAATAAACCTGTGTTATTGTAATATACTCCTGCTCTGTGCTCCTGAAAGGAAAGTGTACTTCATTTTTTCTGTGAAGGTAATGACTGGAAAGTGGAAGGGCCCTCTGGACCAGTTTTTCATGGATTAAATATTGGCTCTACTACTTAGCTCCTTTTAGGCTTTCCTCAATTTATAAAGTGGACAGTGGTGACAGTGTTTAATCTTCTAGATGTTAAGATAAAATTGATTTGTTACAAAATAATGTATTTAGAAACAATGTCAGTGTCATGTCAGTTATTATTATGAAATGTATAGTGGGTGTTTAAACAACCTGTTGAAACATTTGTTCCTTTGTGAGACAGGTCCATATGTTGACTTACTTTCCATTTCCAGTTTTTATCTCATGTCAGGTTCAGGGCGTTGAAATATAGAGAAGATTCTTAGTTTGAGAAAACACAGGAGTTCTATATGCTGCTAATAATTTGACTAAAAGAACTGTATGTTTCTTGTTGAGCTTAAAGAAGAAGAAAGGGATAGATTTCATCCAGAGGACTATACTTTTTTTTAGTAGCAATATCTTATAACATGACATTCCAACAGATCCTGTAAATTATAATCAGTATAAAATGGGAATAATTGTTATGATCATTTGAATTAATTGTAAATTGTTTACAATGGCTATTGGTTCTGACTGCTTGGGCAGTGGAACTGATATCTTCATTTCCTTCTCTGGTTAAATTGACATTTTCTTATTTTTTCAGAATTACAACAAGGCAATAATTGAGGGAGAGTTTCCCATTTGTATTAAGCTTATATCATGGTTATGGGAATTACTTTACGCAAATGGAATGAGATCATTATATTTCTTCCTTGGGAATTTGGATGGAACAAAAGTTGAGTTGCTGAGAAATTTTTTTAAAGAAATAATGACATTTCAAGCACTGATCAGTTCAAGTTCCTTAAAAAATGCCCTATTTTAAAAAGCAATTTTGTAACAACTAGAAAAAAAGCTGCCTGGTTTCATGATAAATGGGAGATATCTACATTCATTGTTAATGCTTAGTTTGTTTTTTAATAAATAATAATTTTGCTAGGTCACTATTGAGTTACTTATTGAAAACCTTTTCTTCATTTCTGAAGGAATGACTCCGAGCAAAAAAAGAACTTAAGCCGAAAGAGGACTTCATGAAACATTTTATAGTATCTAAGAGTGCATGTTTGCACATACACGTGATACTTCAGCAAGTGATACTTCTATCCAAAAAGGTTCTGATTTTTTTTACTTAAATTTCTAGTCTTGTTTTAGCGGGTATAGTGGCTCTCATCGTAGTCCCAACTACCTTGGGGACGCTGGGGCATGAGGAATAATTCAACACAGGAATTTGAGCGGCCAGGCCTAGGCAATGTATCAAGACCCCATCACAATAAAATGCAAATAAAAAATAAAATTCGTATATCGTTTTCTTTTTTTGGCAGCACTGGAGTTTTATCTTCAGGCCTTCACGCTTGCTAGGGAGGCGCTTCTACCACTTGAGCCAACTTCACCCAAGCCCTTTTTCTTTTGGGTTTTTTTGCAGACAGGGTCCTATCATGTAGCCCAGGGGCCCAACCTTGAAACTTTGATTCTCCTGCCTTAGCCTTCAAGAACAGTGCAGAGATTATAAAGGTCTGCACTACCATTTCCAGATGGTTTTTCTATTAAGGTAGTTTTGAAATTTTGCTCCATTGATGCATGTGGGGCCTAACTATAACCTATTAACATTTATGTAGCAGTAGGCCTATTAAATGCTTAAAGATTTTATGTCTTTATATTAGGATAATACGTTACTCAAAAAATTTAAAGAGTTTAATAAACTTTTTGCACTGCGGGTTGGACTCAGGGCCTTGTACTTGCTAGGCAGACTGATCTGCTTGAACCATCTCCCAGCCCAAAACTTAAAAAATTACAGTTAGTGAAAATTCTCAGAAGTAGCAAAAACGATGTACAGTTTAACTAAAAATATATATAGTTCCCCTTTGCTTTTGTTGCTATTCCATTTTGGATTCTCTTTAGATGATATCTTATAAAATTCAGACTTTTTCATTTTTATATGCCTACCCTACATGCTACTTACTATTTAAATAAAAAGAAAAATAAGTTTTAACATGTATTTTGAAAAAGATAATATATATATATTAATATACTTAATATGGATAATACAGAAATAATTTTAGTATTTTTTTTTCCTTCAGGAGATAAAAATAAAGATTTTTTCTATAGTCATCCAAAATTAAAGAAATTAGAAGAAGTTGTAGTGGAACACTTCAAGTCATGGAATGGTAAGTAATATTTAATAGTTTGAAGGCCAAGTAGTTGAGCTAAAACTTCAGCTGATTAGTTTGTGCTAACATTTCTTATGGAGAAGGTGGGATTTTAATTATTTTATTTATTTATTTGATTTTGGTAGCACTGGAATTTGAACTCAGCCCTCATGCTTGCTGGGCAGGCACTCTTACCACATGAGCCACTCTACCAGCCCAGGATTTTAATTATTCTGAATAGTGAATATTTAAAAGCTCTGAAAAATTGTGGAAGGGGAAGAGCAAGGGGAATGGTGAGAATGCTAAGAATAAGGTCTTAAGGAGAAAAGTTAATTTGGGGTAATATAATGGAAATAGACATAAACAATATATAATACGTAGGGAAAAGTAAAGGATATAAGGAGAGGATCATGGAGAAGTGCTGTTTTACATGGAATGGATAGAGAAAGCCTCTCTGTAGAAAAATATTTGAGCAGATACCTGATGGAAATGAGGGAGCAAGCCTTAAAGATTTTTGATGGGGGAGATCATTCTAGGGAGAGATAGTAGCAGAGTCAAAGGCCCTGAGGTAGTAGGGTGCTCTTGGGATGAGTAAAGATCAATATGCAGACCAATATGGCTGGAGTAGTGTGAGTGAGGGTAAGAACAGTACAGGTAAGAGGTAGCCAGGGGGCAGATTATGTAGAGCTTGTAGACCAAGTCAAGATGTTGGGTTTTTTTTTTTAATCTATGAATGTGCTTTGTGAAATCATTAGTAAGACAAAGAACAATCCAGAGGTAAGTATGTGAGACTAATTATCTTGGTTTAACCATTCCACAATATGTGTGTGTGTGTGTGTGTGTGTGTGTGTGTGTGTGTGTGTATTATACGCCATACGTTCATACAATTTTTTTATATTAAAAAATAAAAATAGCTTAGAAGAAGAAAAGAGCAAACGATTAAAAACTTTAGGCCATAGTGGTCAGAAGTGGAGAGAGGAGGATTGTGGTCTTTGGCCAGCTGTGGGCAGATATGAGACCCTATTTGAAAAATAAAGTAAAGCAAGAAGGGCTGGGGGAGTGACTCAAGTGGTGGAGTGCCTGCTTATGAAGTGCAAGGCCTCGGGTTTAAATAAACCCCAGTACTGAAAAAAAGAGACTTTAGAGGCATCTAACTGGAGATGTCAAGTAGGCATTAAATAAATGAGTCTGGGTTTCATGAAAATGGTCTGATCTACTTTTATTTAGTTATTTGTTTTTTGAGAGTGTCTACTCTGTGTTGCCCAGGCTAGTTCTAAAACTCACACATCCGCTACCTTAGCCTCCAAAGTACTAAGATTACAGGTGGGTCCATCACGCTCTGCCTGGGGTATTTCATATATTTGCATATATAGAATACATTTTGGAGTCATCACCATAAAGATAATACTTAAAGTTTCTGGAATGTATGTGGTCACCAAGAAGATAGAGACAGAAGAGGGTCCAGAATGGTGTCTAAATAATAATATCTAGAGTTTAAAGAAAAAAAAAGTCACTAAAGAGCTCAAGAAGGAAACCAAGTAAAGTGTGTGAGAAAGCTGAGGGGTAACTTTCAGTAGGAGTAGTAGAGGACTGTGTAAATCTTCTGATAAGAGTGATAAAATGAATTAAAGTATTCGTTAAATTTGGCAATATGGTTTATTGTTGATTTTGGTAGATGGAACTTTTGTGAATTCTCATTCACAAAAGGTAGAAAAAAAATACACAAAAGGTGTAGAAAGGTAAACTCTAGCCAGTTGGAGATGGGGTTTGTAGTGAAAGTAGGAGATTATCAGGCCTTGATTAGACATAGAGGCTGATGCTATAGTGATTAAAAGGTTTTTCTAGAATAATTTTACTTACTACAGTATTTCCTTCAACCTACTTTTAACTTATTTTGGGCGTATTGCTTATTTATTCTGAGTCAACTTTATATGTATTAATTTAACCCTTTGGGTTGTTGTGAAGATTAAATGAATTAATATATACAATGCTTAGGGTGGTCCTTGGCACTCAAATACTACTTAATAAGGAAGAAAAGCTGGACACTGGTCACTTACACCTATAGTCCTAGCTACTCAAGAGGCAGAGATTATGGCTCGAAGTCAGCCCGGGCAAATAGTTCCACAAGACCCCATCTTGAAAAAAACCATTCAAAAAAGGGCTGGTAGGGTGGCTCAAGCCCTTTTGAATGGGTTCAAACCCCAATATTGCCCAAAAACAGGGAAGGGAAAAAAAAAGATTGGCATCCGAGCATGGTGGCACACGCCCTGTAGTCTCAGCACTCTGGAGGCTGAGGCAGGAGAATTGTGAGTTAGACCAGCCTTTGTTATGTACCAAGACCCTGTCTCAAAAAACAAAAACAAATGAACAAAAAGAGAATAAAAAAAGATTGTCAAAGTCCCAACCTAGCTTAAAAACAAAGGAAGGAGTCAGGCACCAGTGGCTTTCACCTGTAATCCTAGCTACTCAGGAGGCAGAGATCAGGAGGATCTCAGTTTGAGGCCAGCCTGGGCAAGTAGTTTATGACACCCTATCTCAAAAATACCCAATGCAGGGCTTGCAGAATGGCTCAAGTGGTAGAGTGCCACCCTCGCAAGCACAAGGCCCTGAGTTCAAACCTCAGTACCCCTAAAAAAAAAAAAAAACAAAACCAAAAAACAAAAACCTTAGCCAGCCTCAAAAATACCCAATGCAAAATACAGGCTAGTGGAGTGGTTAAGTGGTAGGGCATCTGCCTAGCAAGCATGAGCGTCTGAGCTCCAACCCCAGTACCTTCAAGAAAACAAGAAGAAAAAAAGGTAATAACAAAACACCCACATAAGTTGCAATTTTTAACCTATTATAATGGACAAAAGCTATTTTCCATTTCCTGTTTCATTTAATCAGTCTATTTTTAGATAAGAAGAAGCTAAAGCTTCAAGAGATTTAGTAATTATTGTGATCACCAGAGAATAAGTGGTTCAGACATAAAATTCATGTTCTTACTAGTACATTTGACTGCCTTCCAAGCGTAGACACTGAACAACTTTGGAATTGACTGTTAAGTATATTCTATAGTTATCTTTGGTGGCTTTGAAGTTATAGCAGGTTCTCGGGGTGCATGGTCTGAATTAAGATAGTGATTTTAGTGAACAGAAAGGAAAGTTTTAGGAAAGTAGTTGGAGCTCTACAATTCTGTGCTTCTTTCTGTCCAGAAGATTAAAGGGGATTAACAGGCATACCTTGGATTGATGGATTGATCAAAGTGATTTAGATACTTACTTGATTTCCTTAGGACATTATTTTATGCTAGCCAATGGGAAATAGGGAGGCAAGATTATTAAAATTACTATAGAATGTAGCTAAAAAAGATATGGATAAAATATGTTTTAAAATATATTTCTGAAATAATTACTATTTACTAGTATATTTCAGGCTTGTGTCTTAAAATAGTTTTTCTCTAAAGGCTTTTTTTCTTCTAAAGGCATTTTTAAAAGTTGTAATTAGAGTATTTTGTGTTATACAGCTAAAAACACCTCTGGAAAGAAAAGCGATGAGACCAGAGTTATGATATTTTCTTCATTTCGAGACAGTGTTCAAGAAATTGCAGAAATGCTTTTACGGCACCAACCAATTATTAGAGTGATGACTTTTGTTGGCCATGCTTCAGGGAAGAGCATGAAAGGTTTTACCCAAAAGGAGCAGCTGGAGGTAATTATTTTTGAGATCATGAAATAAAAATAAAGTTGATTAGGTTTGTACTTAGGTTTTTTGTTGTAACTCACTGGTCAGTTGGCTGCTAATTTTATAGTAAACATGCAAATGAAGATAAGCATGTTTTGAAAGATCAGATAAAGTGCGTTATTAGGCTTTGAAACTTGTTTTTTAATAATATGGAATGCTTCATGAATTTGCATGTCATCCTTGTGCTGGGGCCATACTAATCTCTGTATCATCCCAGTTTTAGCATATATGCTGCACAAGTAAGCACGAAACTTTTATTTTTAAGTAATGTAAAATGTGGTGGTTAAGCAGAAAGGCTCTGGAATCATACAACCTACTTGGGAATCTAGGATCTAACACTTAAAGTTTCTTTGCTTCCTTTCCCTTGGTTTTCCTTATTTTTAAAACATAGTTCTTAGGTTTGTTGTAAGCATTAAATGAGATCTTACTGTTGAAACTTTAATACATGTTTACTGCTCATTTAAATAACTTTAATAATTTCTTCTGAAGAAATAGTGGGCTTCTTTTCTCAGCTATTTTATTTTTTGTATTTAATTTTTGGCAGTACTGGGGTTTAAGGTCAGGGTCTCATGCTTGCTAGGCAGGTGTTCTACCACTTGAGCTACTCCACCAGTCCTCTCAGCTATTTTATAATCTTATTTTAAAAGTATCAGCTGGAGATGTGACTCAATCAGTTGAGCACCTGCCTTGCAACCATGTAGTCCTGGCTCAAACCCAAGTATGCTCAGAGGAAACCATGGTCTGAGGTAGCCCCATGATGCTCTGAATAGCATGTCTTAAGTTGTCTAAATGTAATGATGTTTTGAGGGGAATTTTAGACTGGTGACTTGTTAGACTGGTTATTATTATTATTTTTTTATGCAGACTGATACTCTGTGGGACTTGTAGATTAATTATATAGGTCTACATTTGAATAGTCACTGAGAATTAGGTGTGCCTTTAATGTCTAATTCATTTTGACAGCTCCTTTTTTGATTTTATCATTAGTGAATGAGGAGTTTTGGTCTTCACCATTTTTGCTAGTCCTCATTGCACTCAGAAGAGTCTGTTTAAACTGACTGGGTATGATATGGAGTCTTCCTGAGTCTGAAGATACACTGTTACCCATTGTCACATCAGAGTATAAGTACTTTGAAGGGGTTCACACATCTAGTGGGTCATTATTAACATCTATGTGTGAATGAAAAATACAGTAATTTTTGCCTTGGAGGTCAAGCAGTTTCAGTATTTGAAATACCCACTATTTGAGTACTCAACTCGATTGCTGTCCATTTCAGCATTACATAAAGTCATTTCCTGAACTTTAGCATCAATAGAAATCTTATTGATTTTGTTGACTATCATTTATTCATTTATGTCAATAATAATTTACAGACACCAATGTATCAGCCCTTTTTTTTTTTTTTTTTTTTTACTCTTATACATAATCACTTTCATAGCTGGGATTTCATTGTAAAATGAAATTTCGTACAAATAATTATAATAAAATTATGTGTTTATTTAGAAACAGAAGATTAAGTCAAGGACAGAGTGGAGAATCAGATCTTGGTTTTTACCCAAGCAAGATGGAAAGAAGCCATGGGAGGGTTTGGGTCAGAGGAAATGGTTTTATTTACATTTTCAGAGAATCACTCTCAGCACTTGGGACACTGAGGATTCTGGGAAGATTGCAAGGCCTAGACCAACTGGGCTACAAATGAGATCCTGCTCAAAAAAAAAGAAGAAATAAATTTAAAAAAAGGAAAAAAGGAATCATGTTGGTGGAAGCTGAGAGGCCAAGTTGGAAAACTTATTGCAGTCTTCTAAAGAGGATGGTGGTTGGAACAAGGGTGGTAGCAGGAAAGTTTGTGAAAATTGCTGAGTTCTGGGTTTATTTTGAAGGTCAAGCTGACAAGATTTATTTGACAAATTAGAATGGGATGTGAGATAAGGGAGTATGAAATGTGACTCCAGGCATGACTCTAGGTTTTGGCCTGAGCAACTGAAATCAGTTCCTATTAACTAAAATGGCTTAGACTGCAGTAAAAACAGGTTTTGGAAAGAATATCTAGACCTTGGTTTTTGATGAATTAACTTTGATAGGCCTATTAGATTAATGTTTACAAAACTGATGAGAAACAGTTTATTTCCTCTGACTACAACACAGACTAATCTTTGCAACAATACAATTAAAATGAATTACTAGAAAAGTAAAATGAATGAAAACCAAAGTTCGAGTCCATTTTAAAAATTAGTATTAGAATCAATAAACAAAACTTACTCTGTTAACTTTCTAAACCTTTAAATTTTTGTACTTAACGTTGTTGCCAGCCAGTAATAGTTTGTGGACTGGCATAGTAATAAAGAGTTCGTGGATCATACTGTGAATCACAGTTTTAAACATGAAGTAGAGATGTTGAATAAACAACTGAATATATGTCTTGAATTGATGAGAAAGATTCAGGGAAGCAAATATTCAATGGCAGATCAATATCAATCCTAGGCAAATAAGTAACATCTTTTATTAATCTGCTAGCTATTTATTTTAAAGAATTACATTTTTTTGTGTGTCTCTAGCACTATGGCCCATATTTTCCTTTTATCTATATAAAAGGACATCAGTTTTACTAAACTCTGTATAGGTAATATTAAGTCAAATCTTTTCTTTGCTTGATGTCATTACAGATTCCAAGGAAAAAAATGAATGATTCTTAACTTTTAATCATTGTTTATCCTTGCACTGAGTTTTTCTGTACTAAAGGAAAATCCTTTGACGAGTGACACTGGAAAGGCTTATAGTTGAACTTAATATTATAACTATATTTATTATTCTACTTTTCAGGTTTTTAACATAGAATTAGCTTACAGATTAATGTAACAGGTTTTTAGAGTTAGAGATACCTAAATTCAAATACTGACAATTATTAGTGAGACTTTAGGCAAACCGCTTAACTTCTCTGAGTTTTAATTTCTTTAATAAAATACAGTGGTAGTATTATACCTTATGGTGTAATAACTAATATATAAAGTAATTAGGTTTAGTACCCGTACATAGTATGTACCTTTGTACATAATTATTATCAGTAAATTCAACTTTTGATGTTGCATCACCTTATTTAATTACCACCACTACAACTCTACCATACATAACTTTGCAACATCAATATTGGTATTTATCAAAAAACTGAGGCTCAAAGCAGTTGAGAACTAAGTTTATAAGGCTAAAGGAAGTTTTTCCAAAGGTTTTATTGACTTTTTCATTAATTCATTCTCATGCCATTGTGGTTCCATTAAACTGACCAGAGAAAAAATCTTAGAATAGCATTGTGAAAGATATATGATTTCTGGGAGTAATAAAACATAATTTTACATGTACCTAACTATACATTTAGTCCTATACCTTTAGAACTAAGATATGATAAATAAGAGTAAATGCTGTAGGCCATTTACCTGCCTTATGCCCCTTTCAGTGGTAGTAAAAATAAAATCAGAAATTTCTTATTGATTGAAGAACTGTTAAATTATTGATAAATCCTTTCTTTTGGCCTCACAACCATTCTTACAGCAAAGGAAATGGGACTGTGATTTCTATTTTATCATAATCTCTTTTGGCTTGTATTACCATTATGTGACTTCTTCTATTCAGTAGTAAACTTAATGCTGATTTTTAATCTGATTTCACCATTTTAGGGTGAGTGCAAAACTGCTTTGAGCTGCAATTCTCTTATATTTGCATCTAGTAATTTTTCTATATTTATTTATTTATTTTTGTGGTACTGAGGTTTGAACTCAGGGGTCTATGCTTGCTAGTCAGATGCTCTACCACTTGATCCACTCTGACTGTCCTTTTTAATGTTGGGTATTTTCCAGATAGGCCCTTGTGAACTGTTTGCCCAAACTGGCCTTGAACCACAGTCCTGTTGATCTCTGCATCCTGAGTAGCTGGGACTATAGGCATGAGCCACTGGCTCACGATGCATTTAGTAATTTCTAAATTCTAAACCTTTTTTTTTTGTTTCAGGTAGTGAAACAATTTCGTGATGGTGGTTACAACACATTGGTTTCTACCTGTGTTGGTGAAGAAGGTTTGGATATAGGAGAAGTTGATCTTATAATATGTTTTGATGCCCAGAAGAGCCCAATTCGTCTCATACAACGAATGGGTAGAACTGGCCGCAAACGCCAAGGCAGGATTGTTGTTATTCTTGCTGAAGGACGGGAAGAGCGTGTAAGTAGACTTATGCAAACATAATTCGACATTCAAATTTGAGAAACACATCTCAAAGACAAATGCCAATACTTTAGCATTCAAAGCCCAAACAGTCTGTAGGTAAATGTTTTTTTTTCACTCTTTGTATTAGATTCTGAATGTTCTATTTGTAATAACAATTTTTGCCATGTGCTGGTGGCTCATACCTATAATCCTAGCTTCTTGGGAGACTGAGATCAGGAGGATAGTGGTTCTGGCCATTCCCGGCAAATAATTAGAAAGATCCCTATCTCCAAAATAACGAGAGCATAATGGACTGGAGTTGTGGCTCAAGTGGTAAAGCACCTGCTTTGCAAGGATGAGGCCCTGAATTCAAACCCCACTCCCAGAAAAAAAAAAAAAAAGAAAAAAACCTAGGTGGTAGGTAGCACATGCCTATAACCCTAGCTCCTGGGAGACAGAGGTAGGAGGATCATGGTCTGAGGCAGGCCAGGCAAAAGCACAGAACCCTATCTGAAAAGTAAGCTAAAGCAAAAGAGGGGGTGTGGCTCAAGTAGTAGAGTACTTACCTAGAAATCACAAGGCCCCAATTTCAAACCCTAGTTGTACTTAAAAAGAAAAAGTCACCTTCCTAATTTTTATCCATATAAACATTTCATGCTGGCAGCATCACTCAAGTGGTATAGCATCTGCCTAGTAATCACACAGCCCTGAGTTCAAACTCTAGTACCACCAAAAAGAAGAAACACATTTTACTACTTCAGTATTAATTCAGAGATACGTAGATACAAGAACTAATATGTATTATTTTGCTATGTTATTTTTTAGATCTTTTATTTTATCATTATTGTTTTACTATTTCTCTGTGTTTTTAAGTCTTGTTTTGTGTGTGTGTGTGTTTAGTTTTATTTAACTATAAAAAAATAGAATGGTTTTGAATTTTAAATAATTAGCTGAATAAATACTAAAGAATATGGGGCTGGAGGTGTAGCTCAAGTAGTGGAGTGCTTGCCTAGCAAGGGAAAGACCCTGAGTTCAAACCCTAGTACCACCAAAACAGAATAAAACAAAAAAGAGTATGCACCAGAGACAGTATGTGAACTGCAAAACCTTAAAGATTTATTTTCTTAAATGCCTATCTAAGTGACAAGGAACTTGAATTATATTCATACTTGTCTAGAATTTGGATTACAGAACTTCCTAAATATGTTGTTATATATAATGTTATTTTGCGTTTGTTACAATGAAGTTTTTTTTTTGTTTGTTTTTTTGTTTGCTTTTTTGGGGAGTTCTTTTTGGCGGTACTGGGTTTGAACTCAGGGCAGGTGCTCTAGCACTTGAGCCATTCCACTAGCCTTTTTCTGTATCAGGTATTTTTAAGATAGGGTCTCTTGAACTATTTAGCAGGCTGGCTCCCAACCACAGTCCTCCTGATATCTGCCTTCTAAGTAGCTAGGATTGTAGGCATGAGCCACTGGCACCTGACAAATACAGTAAAGTTTCAACTTCTAGAGCTGGCGGACTAGCTCAAATGATAGAGTGCCTGCCTAGCAAGCATGAGTCCCTGAGTTCAAACCCCAGTGCCACCAAAAACAATCAAAAAGTTTCAGCTTCTATAACTCAATAACTCATTGGGATGAATTCAGTGGCCACATACACAGATTCACATTAAAGGTATCATCAGATATAAGAGTTGTAAAAAATTCATTTAAAATGTTTTATGTACCCTTTAAATCAGTTAGAAAATGCTTATCCTTAACACCATTCATGCAATTATTATATACTTATATGTAATGTCTAGTTTATCCATAAAATAATCCTAATAAATGAAATGGTTGGCAGTTTGTAAAAGGTCATATGTTATCACTGATTGGCAATGGTACTAATTGTGCTACCCTGTCAAGATGGTTCACCTCTCTATTTAGGTGTTAGCTTTCTTATCTATAAAGTAGTAATAATGACCCACGTTTAGTGAGCGTTTCCTCTGTGCTGTGAAATGTTCTAAGTGCTTTAGATTCACTATCTTATGCAGTCTGGTCAATGCCCTGTAAGAAAAGTCATACTTTTGTTACATACAATAAAGAAAATAAAAGTATAGAGAGATGAATAAGCTGAAATAAGGGAGTAGTTAAATATAAATCAATAAATAACCCAAAACCTTGTACTTCTTACATAACCTTATAAATTTATGTATAAATACCAACTGTATTTCTAGACAGTAATATAAAAAATAGATTTCCTTTGTGTAATTTAGTTGTTAAGATATGATTTTATAATAGATTTTGAATGATTTTCATCAAGGGTTAATCTAACAGTTTACTGACAAGTGTTAAAATTCAAGATATTGAGGGGGTAGGAGGAGAGGGAGGGGGTGGAGTGAGTGGTAAGGGAGGGGGTGGGGGCAGGGGGGAGAAATGACCCAAGCCTTGTATGCACATATGAATAATAAAATAAAAAAAAAATTCAAGATAGTAGGAATGATATGCTCTTCTGTTCAAGTGAATAACAAGGGTTTAATTTTATGTTTATAATAAACCCAAACTAATATAGTAATTGTTGCCTTTATGACTGAATGATTATTATAGAAATAATGAAATTTGACATTTTATATTTGTTTTTTCAGACTTACAATCAGAGTCAGTCCAACAAGAGAAATATTTATAAAGCTATTTCAAGTAATAGGCAGATCCTTCATTTTTACCAAGGAAGTCCACGAATGGTTCCTGATGAAATCAATCCAGAATTACACAAAATGTTCATTACACAGTGTGTCTATGAAGCAGAGAAGTCATCTCGGAAAGTGCAGTGGAAATCATCTCTCTTTTCCCATAAGGACGGTAAATAAAAAATTTTGCATTTAACACATACTTTCTCCCCCTGATGTTCTTGATTAGCAGCTTTGGTTAGTGTATTTCTTTGTTGAAAATTCAGTGTACATTCTGAGATGCTGGGGATGTTCTCAGTATTAGGGAAAATTGACAATATCCTACTAACTCAGAGAATCCTTTTATGTTTGTTTCTTTGTTTTTAAAGACAGGGTCACACTGTATAGCCCAGGTTGGCCTGAAACTTTTGATCCTTCTGCTTTTACCTCTTGAGTGCTGGGATTACAGATTCCAGCCACCACCCTTGGCTCCCAGAGAATCTTTTCCCCAACGTATAGGAAAGAAAGAAATCAGTTTTGGGTGTTTTAGTTGTTGTTTTTAGTACTGAGAACTGAAGCCATGGAGGGCCTTGTGTTTGGTAGGCAAAGGTCTACCATTTGAGCTATCTCCTCAACCCTCAGTTTTATTAATTGAAAAGCATTAAACCAGGTAACTGTGCATTATAGACAATTTACTAAGATAATACAAAGACAGGAAGAAATTCTTTCCTATTTATATACCCAAGCAGTTACAGTCCTTTGCATACATATTCTCAAGAAACTTGTCCTCATGTGAGAGAATACCACCTTCTTAACCTCTCATCCCAAATTCACCTGGCAACTGAGGTAGCTATTTGTTTTAGTGAATTGTCTTTATCCAATGGGATAATCAACTACTCTTATTTCTTGCAAGCAGATACTGACAGCTTCCTGAAAGGCACCTGGGCAAACTCCCATGGTGATTGGAAGATAGGGACACTATCTTCCTTATCATTAGATGAGATTGGGCACATTCAGAATGGTGTGGCCATAGACAACACTGTCTTCCTTGATGTGTACATTTCAAAGAAATGGCTTCTAACCTCTTAAGGAAACTGTTTCCGGTTTGAAAAGCTGGGTCGCAGCTTACTTAGCCTTTATAAGGATTTACATATTAAAGGATTACCAGAAGGATTTGCACACAGCTGGTGTTTCTTTTTTTTTTTTTAAATTATTGTTGTACTTGAGATACATTGTGACATTTACCAAAGTTCTTACAATATATCATAGTTGAGTTTACCCCCTCTATCATTCTCCTACCAAATGTCTCTTTAGCTGCTCTAAGAAAGGAAGAGGGAAGGTATCTTCTTTTCACAAAGGAGAACAAAATTTATATTTACCCTTACCACAGATAGTGGTGGAGTTAGATAAAGGTGTTAGTAATATGGAAATAGTGAGAAACAATGTAGTGAAACAAATAATTTGATTCCAGGAACATAGTAGTAATGGGACTGTTGCTACCTTAAGAACTACAGAGACTTTGCTGATACCAAGAATATACCCTGAAATATTTGAATTTTGAAAATAAGAAGCAAAACATTTGTTTTTGTATTTTACTTATTTTTTAATGAGTATTTTTAAAAGCTGGGCATAATGGCTCATGCCTAGCAAATGCAAGGCCCTGAGTTAGAAAACCCAGGACTGCCAAAACAAAACAAAACAAAATTCCCATATAGTTATATTTTAAGATTTTTGAAGAAACCTTGGGGATCATTATTCCTATCTGGGAAAGAATGTTTCCTGCAACATCCTTGATAAATGCAGTTTGAGTCTCAACTTGAATACTGGTTAATAGAAATTCTGCTTCTTAGCCACGTCTGGTGGCTTATACCTGTAGTCTCTGCTACTCAGGATGCAGAAGGATGACTTGAGCCAAAGAGTTTAAGGCCAACAGGGCTTCAAAGGAAGGTCCTGTTTCTAAAAAGAAGGAGTAGGTATATGTATATATATAAAGGAGTAGGTATATATATATAAAGGTATATATATATATATATATATATACCTTTGTAAGGGTGCATTCCATTGTTTAAAAACCCAATATAAAAGTAGAGGACTCTCAGTATGGCCAAATAGTTTATGAGACATCCATCTCCAAAATAACCAGAGGAGGACTAGATGCATGCCTGCTTTGCAAGCACAAAGCCCTGAGTTCAACTCCAGTTCCACCAAAATCAACAAAACAAAATAATCATAGCAATATGGACTGAAGGCATGGCTCAAGTAGTAGTGTGCCTGCTTAGCAAGTATGAAGCCTTGAGTTCAAACCCCAGTTCCATGAAAAAAAAATGTATGTATATAATTTTTACCTTTGGTTTACCTATGTAGTGATTTTTTATATGTTTAAAGAGCATACCTTTCAATTTTGTTAATTGTTTATTCTGCTGGTTTCATATTATGAAATTTCAAGATTCTTACTCTCCTAGTCATCTGCCTTTTTATTTTATTTTTTGTGGTACTGGGGTTTGAACTCAGGGCCTCATGCTTGCTAGGCAGGTGTTCTACCACTTGAGTCACACCCAAGCACCAGAGATGTTATTTCTAAAAAGATTGCACAGTATTTGGGAATAGTTGGGACCAAAATTTCCTGAATCCTAATTCAGTAGCCTTTCAAAAATTTTCTGTCCTCATCTGTATTGGGTGAGTTCCTGCTTTATCCTGTCTGTTTATCTCTGCTCTTAACCTCTATTTGAAACTTAATCCTAAAACCCTTTATAGTTTTACTCCCCTGACCCTCAAGTTTCAAGGAACCTTCCCAATATTGCTATGATGGAACTTGATAGTAGGTTTTTTTTTTCATTTTTCTTTTATTATTCATATGTGCATACAAGGCTTGGTTCATTTCTCCCCCCTGCCCCCACCCCCTCCCTTACCACCTTGATAGTAGTTTTCATGTGTTAGTTACCTGACTCTTTCATGCCATATCTTAGATAATAAAATGGAGAGTGTCCAAAACAAGCCAGAACTGAGAGTTCGGCTACCTGGCTGTGTTCTGTTAATGAAGCCATTGCTAAAGGTTACCTCCAAAATGAATAATAGTTTTGAAGAGGTGAGAGAAGATTGGCAGAGTGGCTCAAGTTGTAGAGTGCTTGCCTAGCAAGTGTAAGTTCAAACCCTAGTACTGCCTAAATAAATAAATAGAGGTGAGAGAAATTTAGGAGATATGTAGAATCAGGAATACACAGTGGTTTTATATGACAAATTGTAGTTTTAATAAGTGGGATCAGTGGTTTAGCAGAAGTAAATAGATATAAACAAGTAGAAGGTTTGAGTTGATATTGTATATTTTATATTTGCTTTGCAGATTTTTTAACCCTTTTTCAATTATTTCAACTTATAGGAGCAAGGCACAATAACTCAAATAAAAATTGGTTCTTATCAGAAGAAGAGTTTAAATTATGGAATAGACTCTACAGGTTAAGAGACAGTGATGAAATTAAGGAGATAAAGTTGCCTCAGGTTCAGTTTCTGTCTTTACAAGATGAGGAAAACAAATCAGTAAGTTGAACATGTTTTCAAATACTCTTTATAATGATGATGTGGTGGATTTGGGAGTAATAAGAGATGTTTATAATTCGAGTGTCAATTTACTTAAAGTAAGAATGCCATCAGTTTAAAAAGAAATCATTAAACTCTTAACTTTTAAAACTGTGATTTTTTTTATTATATATAGATATTTTTATATAACATTTTTACAAAAGCTCTGCTTTTGCTTAATTTTCTGTCATCTAAACATTTCTAAAGAGGTATAACTTACATAAGTATAGCTTTACAATATAGCATAATTTGCTTGACTATTTCTCTGTTGTATTCTTTTCAATATTTTACTGACATAAATTAGGTTGTTATGTGCATCCTTTTCCAAACTGTTTTTATTTTTTGTTTTAAAATTAGAGTAAAAACTTTAAATTCATTGTTACTGGGTTTTTTGTTTTGGAGTTTTTCTTTTAGTGTGTGTATTATGAAAAACTTGGTGAGCTTAATGAAAGTCAAAGGTTGCATAGATGTTGAGGGAGCTGGAAAAACAACAGGAATGATTTCTTTAGAAGATGTATAGGGATTGTAATATATGGCTTTGAGGATTTTATGTTATTCACTATCAAAGAGAGAGGAATGACAGGAGGCAAGAAGAGTTGCGCTCAGTATCATCAAGAGATTATGAATGTCTCTCTTACTAGATTGTGGGATCTAAATCTAACCAAATAATAGTTTTGAAGCCAGGCATATTTTTCTCAAATATCAACAAGGAACTATATGAATAGGAATATGGTGAGGCTGTAACTTGTATGACAGCTATTTTTAAGTGAGTTTAAAAGGACCTCTTTGTACTTTATAATTATTTTCCTTTTTTCCCACTGAGATATTGAGAGTGCCTAAATGAATTCAAAGTATTTATGGCAGGCTTATTCTCTGCATATTAAGTATCTTTTTAAAAATCAGTTTGTGAAATCACAGTATGTATAAATGTTTTTATCCTTTTTTATTATTTTTGAAATCAAGACTGAAGAGCCAACCATTGGAGTTCATCAGCTGTCTCTCTCTGAGTGGAGAGTGTGGCAAGATCATCCTTTTCCTACACATCAAGTTGACCACTCAGATCGATGCCACCATTTTGTAAGCATTATGCAAATGATAGAAGGAATGAGACATGAAGAGGTAGTTTTATTTTAACTTTCTCCTCTTGGAATGATATGATGAAGCTACAATACTTATTTTTCTTAATTTGAAGTCATTATAATAATAAGAAGCATAAATATTATAAGTATTTATAGAGAAGCTTCGTTTTTCTGCATAGCTTCTTGTGATCTCATTGAGGAACCCATTTTCTGTCTTAGGAGAATAAATAGACTTAATTTATTTAGAAGAAGAATGTCATATGAAATATCATTAGATCACAGTAAAATTTTAATGTATTTAATGATTTGTGTGAACTGTTTACAAAGCTAATTTAAGATTCTTGTTGGGTTGAGATTTATTGAGATAATGTCATTCATGTAGATCATTTGGAATCTTTCTTATATCTTGGTGGTAATTTAGGAAATTGTTGATTTCTTGAGCAGTTCTTTCTTAAGAGAGAATCAAAATAGTGAATCTATTATGAGTATGAATCTATAATGTCTAGATTAGAATTCAGTGCTATCCCTTACTAATTGTGGATTTCTAAGTTATTTATCCTCTCTGTGCCTCAGTTCCATTTATAAAATAGGGATGAATAACATATTCATAGAATTATGAGAATTAAATGACTTAATATATGTAAAGCACTTAAATAGCAACTGACACATGATAGGTACTCAATAACTTAGAGTTGCTATTTTTATTCTTAAGTTAATGTTCATAAATATATTTTAATGAAGTAATTAGTTGTAGATCCCAAGAAAACAGGTACCAGGAAATTAACATATTTACTGAATGACTTCTATATCCTGTGCTCTGTTCCAAGCCTAGTGGCAACATCAGTGAACAAACCAAATCAAACATTCTGTTTGTGTGGGCTTATCTACTATAAGAAGACAGACATTACTGACTTTAATATTTATTATTCAAAAAAATAGAGAAGTAACTGCTAAGTCCATTAGTAATGGAGGAATCCTGACTAAAGTAGTATTCTGGGGAAGGAAGAGAGATGGTGAAGAGTGTTAGCTTTAGCTTATTGGCCTAGAGAGAAGTAAACCTTAGAAATTCACTATAGGAATTCTTGGGGATTTCATTAAAAATCCAAGTATATTCAAGACCAAGTAGACATACAAGTACTATTATTTTAGGGATTCTATAAATTAAGTTTACTGCTATTGTGAGAGTAAATTTAAACATATATATGTTTAATTCTTAAATACTTTTAGGAAATTAGAATTATTGTTAAACTCAATGTTAGAAGTGAAAAATATCAAATTTATATTTATATGTATTCATTAACCTTGTTCTTTATATGAATAGTTATTGTGGGTCTTCTGTGTATTTAGTACTGGGGATAAAAAAAAAAATTGCCTGTTGCTGGGCACTGGTGGTTCACGCCTATAATCCTAGCTACTTGGGAGGCTGAGATCAGGAGAATTGTGATTTGAGACCAGACTGGGGAAAATAGTTTCTGAGATTTCATCTCCAAAATAACCAGAGCAAAATGGACTGGAGGTGTGGTTCAAGTGGTAGAGTTCCTGCTTTGCAAGTGCAAAGCCCTGAGTTCAAATCTCAGTTCCACCAAAGGGGAAAAAAAGTTGACTATTTACAGGTAACATAATTTCACAGTCGTGTCATTTATAATTTTGGTTGATTCAACAGAATAATTTTTAAGGTTTATAAGAAAATCATTGAATAACGTAATATTTAGGAAATATCTTCAGATAGAATAAAACTCATCTCAAAATTGGCTTTTTGTCTTGTTTTTCTGAGACTTTTTCATTTTATCTATAGGATGAATGCAGCTATGAATTGGAAATCAAACCTTATTTGCAAATGGAAGATGTTAGCTCAACATTTAGCACTCCTAGAAATAAGTATATTAATCTTGCTAGTGACAGCTTCACTACTCACAAGAAGTCTTCATTAGCACAGAATATAAATCAAATCATTTCATTATCAGTGATGGAATCTGATGAAGAATGTGCTGAAATTTTTAAACAAACTCATGCCAAACGTAGTAAAATTGTTTTTCTAAAGAAGAAAGCTTCTACAGAAATGAAAAAACATCAGCCTAATAAAGAAAATGATGATATGGATTTTTTAGATACTGACAGAAGTTCTCCTGCTGAAACTATTTTTCAGTTAGACCTACCAAATGATAAAAGGACATCAGATACAGATGGAGTTACTGACAGATGTACTGTTAATGAAAATGTTAATCAGCCAAGTGTGTTATTAACAGAGTGTCAGTTTACAAGTAAATCTATTAGTTCATTTGTTGGAAATCTTTTAGATTCTGGTTATAACAGTTTCAGTGATGAGAAATCTGTTTCATCTAACTTGTGTCTTTCATCTGAAGAAGAGTTTTATGTAGTTGCAACAGATGAACAATCTGATAACTGTCATGCATTGACAAAAGAGGTGCTAGCTAATGTAGAGAAATTTTTGTCTCATTCTCCCCCGCCTCTCAGTGGACTTTCGGACTTGGAATACGAAATTGCTAAGGGTTTGGCACTTGAGAATTTAATTTTCCTACCACATGCAGAGGATTTACAAAATTATAAACCCACCTCTCTGATATCATATTCAGCTATGAATTCTCAACAAAATTTAGAATTAGATTCACTTAACTCTATTAATCATCCTTCTGAAAAAAGTTGTCTCTTTGGTGCAACTAATGATAAGATCTCTGATGAGCCATACTTCAATTACTGTGATGACAAAGTACATAAAGATATTAAAAGTGAAAGTTTAGTTTCTAACAATCATGTTCAAATGCACATAGATCCTGCAAAGAATTTAGTTGACCAAAAAACCCATGACAGTGATAACAATAACCTTCCAGTATTGCTCTCTGATCAAGATGAGAGTTTACTATTATTTGAAGATGTTAATGAAGATTTTAATGGTGTGCACCTTTCTCCCCTAAACAATAATTGCAGATCTTTAGGTGTGTCTGGCAAAACTCCTATAAGTGAAATGGCTCCAGTCTCTCAGTTCTTAATTTCTGATGAACTTTTGTTAAGTGATAATTCTGAATCCCAAGATCAAATCATCTGTGATATAAATAGTTGTAAACTGCATGAAGATTTGAAAGATAGACATGAGGAAAAATTGAAGAGCGATGAACATGTTTTTGATTGTTCTAAGGATTTATTTTCTGTTACCTTTGATTTAGGATTTTGTAATCCAGATTCTGATGATGAGATAGTAGAAGAACATGCATTGGACACAAATAACAGTAGATGTCCAGATGATCTATCTGGAAGGTATTTTGATATTAAGGAGATAAGGAAGACAAATTATGTTTCAAATAAACCAAGAGATCATGTTGAAAATGTTACAAGTGGAACCATACCCATCCTGGCAAGAGAAGATATGCAGAGTTCAAATTTTGTACATTTTCCAAAGAATAAAGAATTTATGTCTCCTTGTTTTTCTCAGTTTTCCTCACCAGTAGGGGAAAAATTTATGAGTACACCACTTTTGAGGTCAAACACATTAAACTCAGTTTCTAAGATAAGAAAAGAAATGCTTAATGTACCAGATTTTAGTGAGGAAAAAGTAAATCTACAAAGTTTCAAAGAAACATTGAATTTAAATTTTGATGACTCAGGATTTTCTCTAGAAAAGTCTGAAAGTTATGAACAGATCTATCTACAACAATCCCATCATCGTTCTGCTGAAGGTAAGATTCCACCTTTATAAAATCGTTACTCTTTCTAGAATAATTGCTCTAGAAATTCATTTGTAATTTTCCAAGTGTAATTTCTCAGTATATAATATATATTGACTTAGGTAGCTAAGTATAATAGTTTTCTTTTGGTGGGGGTCAGTATTTGGGTTTGAACTCAGGACTTTGCACTTGCGTGGCAGGCATTCTACCACTTGAACCAAATCTCTAGCCTTTAATATTTTTCTTAAATTGATACTAATAGTTGGATATGAATTTTCATCTTCTTGCCATGGGAAAGAAATATGGTTATATATTGTGAAATATAAGAGGAAGTATAAAATTCAGCCTAATCGTAGGTTGTAAAGCAGGTTTATATGACAGACCTTTGAAAGAAGCCAATAAGCCAGGAACTGGTGGCTCACATCTATAATCCTAACTACTCAGGAGGCAGAGATCAGGAGGATCTCGGTTCAAAGCCAGCCCGGGCAAATAGTGTGCAAGACCCTATCTCAAAAAAACCTTTCACAAAAATAGGGCTGTTGGAGTGGCTCAGGGTGAAGGTCCTGAGTTCAAGCCCCAGTTCCACCAAAAAAAAAAAAAAAAAAGCCAGTAAAAATGTGTGAGTAATGAGTAGGAGGTTCAGAGGATGGTGACATTTTGAGTTAGGTTACATTGGAAAGGCTTCATATATAAAGTTGATTTTCATTTTGGCTCATAAATACTTACAATTTAGGTATATTGAAAATAATAAAGAATTTAGGTGTTTCAAAACAAGGAAAAAGAAGAAGGAAGGAAATTAAAAGATTTGTGGGGAAGGGGAGATAGTTTGAAGTAGAGATTTGTTTTCCAAGAATTTTTTTCAATACTGGAGATTGAACCCAGAGTCTTGCATATGCTAGGCAAGCACTCTAACACTTGAGTAAAGCTCCTATACCTTTGGGGTGGTGGTTTTGTGTTTTGTTTTTGAAACAGGGTCTCCCTAACTTTACCCAGGCTGGCTTTGAATGCATGATCCTCCTGTTCCTGCCTCCTAAGTAGCTGGAATTACAGGCCTTGCACCACCACATCCAGTTTTAACAAATATTTGATAAATAATACCATATCTAGAGAATCGAGACCACAGAAGATCCAGAGAAATCTCTGTATTTCTGTCATCATGGAAAAGCTAGAAAATAGAGCAACACATGGTTAGGATTAAAATGATTTAAGATGGCCATGGTGGTCCACTCCTGTAATCCCAGCACTTGGGAAACTAAGGCAGGAGGATTTCAGGTTCCAGCCTCTGCTGTGTTATCAGATCCTATCTATTTAAAAAAATGAAATAAAAAGGTTTTTAAGTGTCTTTTAAATCCTGCTATAGATCTCAACTCTATTTGTAGATTATTTTATCAGGCCTTTTATGAACTTTATTCCTTATGGTAAAGAAAAACAGCAGTTGTAGGATAAAATGAGTTTTGTGTGAATCTTTTTCTAATGTTACTCTCATTAGTATTGAGGGCATGATTCATAAGTATTCTATTTAAGATGAAAGTATGTTTAAAGTAAATTCTTGAGATGTTTCCTTCCTCTTTCCCACCCTTTCTTGTCTCCCCTCTCTCTCTCCGTCCCGCCTTCCCTTCCTCTTTTCCTTTCCTTACCTTTCTTTGTGAGGGTCTCTCTATGTATATATAGCGCAGGCTGGCCTTGAACTCAGGGTCTTCCTGCATCTGACTCCCAAGTGCTAGAATTGCAGGTGTGCGCCACTATGCCCAGTGAAATATATTTTATTTTTAAAAACTCTGTATAGTTTGGGATATGCCCTGAAATATATATTTTTGCTAAGTGTATGTTGCCAATGACACTTCAGTATTTGCTTTAATATAGCTATATTAAGTCCAGGTTAATAGGTGAGATTATTTTTCTGATTTTGTGTCAGGTGTAAATTAAAACGTCTTTTCTAACATAGTACTTAACTGTTAATCATTTGCAATATAATCGTGCATAGATATTGGAAATTATTTGTTAGGGAATATATATTTTTGCTCCACTAATTTATAAAGATAATTTAACATCATTTACCATGTTACATATGTAAAACAAAAACAAAACCAAACTAGTTTCTTAAACACCACAAAATCACTTTAAAAGGAAGCTTCCTGAAATGCTTTGCTTACTATAGCTGAGCCCTTCATTTAACTCTGGTTTCATTTGCAGGTAATTGGATTATGTAGTACTCAGCTGCTAAAAGGAATCATCCATATTTATCTGTCTGGGTAAATGTTTTGCTAGCACAGTATGATGGGAAAAAATTATTGTTTGGGTTTGTATCATCTATTACTATATAACAAACTATTCCCAAAATTCAGTGACCTTAAATAATATTTCTCTGAGTTTAGGTAGGAATTCAGGAGTCGATTAGCTGGGTGGGCTTGGCTTATGATTTTGCCTGAGGTTATGTTAAGGAGTTCACCCAGAGTCACAGTTATCTGAAGGCTTGATTTGGTGTAGAGAATCTGCCTAAAATGGTTTGTTCAAAAGGTGTTGGAGAGAGGCCAAAGGTACACTGAGGTCAGCTTCGTAATAGTTCCCTGGCACTCTCTGGATTTGATCTTTGCGTGGAAGATGTCTGAATTTATTATTGTTTGCCACCTAGGGAGGCTGGGAATTTTCAAAACCATTAAGTTCCAACTGTTTGATTATCAGTCTCTTGTATTTTACTATAACAGTAAGAATCAACAGGTGATAAACATTTTTCTGGAAGTCTTCTTAGTTAGATCCCTTCATTTATTTCTACTTTCTGTGCTAACTGCATTGTCGCTAAACCTTCTGGCACTATTTATAAAGGATCTCCTAGATTCCATTTTCCAATAAGAATTTCCTTTTTTTGTTGATGGATTGAGGGTTTGATCTCAGACTTATGCTTGCAAAGCAGGCACTCTACTCTTGAACCACAACTCCAGTCCATTTTGCTCTGGTTATTTTGGAGATGGGATCTTGTGAACTATTTGCCCAGATGGTCTCAAATGGCAAATCTGCCGATCTCAGCTTCCCAAGCAGCCAGGATTACAGGTGTGAGTCACTGGCACCCAACTTTCCTTTTCTTTAATAAAGCTCTCACCCATACCCCCCTGAATGTGCATTAATCTTCCTGCAAACAATTTCTTCTAGGCTCTTCAAGCCTTCAAAATATCTCTCAAAAGTCCTTTTTGTTTCCACCTTCTCTATAGTTCTACAGATCCACAGCCACCTGCACAGTTGAGGTATTTATTATGGCGGCCGGCTTCCTATTTCTAGGTGCCAAAATCTGTATTATATATCTATTGCTGCATAATTACTGCCAAAACTTAATGACTTAAAACAAAAAATATTTATTTTCTCAAGATGTCTGTGGGGCAGTAATTCAGGTGTGGCTTAGCAGAGTGGTTCTGGGTTGGGATATTTTATGGGATTGTAATTTGGATATTGACCAGGTCTACAATTATCTGAAAGCTTGAATAGATTTGGAAGATCTGCTTTTAAGATGACTTATATTCCTGTTGGTAGGAGGCCTCAGTTGTTTGCTGTGTGAACTTCTTCATGGGTTGCTTGATAAAACACAGCATCTGGTAGCCAAGGATAGTGGTGCGTAGCTGTAGGCCCATCTTCTTAGAAGCTGAGGTGAGAGGATTTCTTAGGCACATGAGTTCATGACCAACCTGGACACCATAGTGAAAAGAACATAGGATTTGGCTTCTTAAATCCAAGAGATTCAAGAGAAAGAATAAAGAGGCCTGGTGGAGAGGCTCAAGTAGAAAGAGTGCCTGCTTAGCAAGCATGAGCCCCTGAATTCAAACCCCAGTGCTGCCAAAAAAAGAAAAAAAAAAAAGTTGGACTAGAGAAAGAACAAAGATGGGGCTGCAATGCCTTTTGTGACTTAGATTCATAAATAATCCATCTTTATTTCTATTATATTTATTTGTTGAAAAGAGGTCACTAACTCTGGCTTCCACTTAAGGGGAAAGGAATTAACGATCCATAACTTGAAGAAAGGAGTATGAAAGAATTTGTGAGCATATCTTAAAACTATCATAGGGCTATTAGAGAAGATTAAAGTATCTTAATTCAAAATTTTATGAAAGTACAGAGTAGAACTTTGGTTAAGTACTTGAAAATGTGAAGTATTTGATTTCATGAGGGCTTGTGGAGTTTTGTTGTTGTTTTGCTTTGTTTTCATGTTGAGGATTGAACCAAAAGACCTCATGCATGCAAAGTGCATGCTCTATACTGAGCTACACTGACAGGCCAGGGATTTGGCTTTAGTGTTCTCCTGCCCCCTGAATATGTAGTTCTAGTTAAATTTTGGTGAATAGCTTACCAATTTTTATTTTATACTCTGTAAAATCATACATGTGTAAGAGTCTTTCAGTATATCATAGCCTACATTTTCATATCTAATTCCTTTACCTAGAAAGAAATAAAGGGAGAAAAAGCAAGGAGATTATAATAGATTTAGAGATGAATTCTTGAAACATGGACTAATCAAATTACATTTTACCTGTTCATTTTATTTAATTAGTAAAGTTGAACTTCATTCAATATGTATTTATTAACAAAAGCTATTGTCTCTTATTTCCTCACTGGCACACTGTGTTATTTTTCTGTCTTTTCCCATGCTTATTTTTTGGCTAAACTTCTGAACAACTGTTTTTTAAAGCTGAGGTTAAATTTTAAAAGTAAAAAAAAGTGAGATTGACAGAACTATTTCTTATGGTAGGCATCAATAAAATAGTTTATTATGATTGAGTGTACTTGCATCTATTGACCAGATTCATTTTTCTAATAAATTATAGATGAACAATTATTAATAAGTAATGAAAGTGAAGATGATGAAATTTTCCTAAGAAAAAGTAAAAAACCAAAAGGAAATGTTTTAAAATCCCCGGAGGTGAGTCATTCATTAACCACAGTAATATAATATTATGATATTTTGATCTTATTATGAAATGTTATTTTTTCTCTTTGAGCACTTTGTATTACATTTTACTTAATCTGTTTATCTATTTATTTATTTTATGTAGGGTCAGAAAAATAGTGAAGTTGATTCTCCTGTTCATGCTGTCAAAAAGCGCAGGATTCTTAGAGTAAGTAAATTACAGATAATGTATAATAATGCAGATTCTTTTGGAGTAAATGTAAGAAAAATTTACATATGGAAGAATATAAGTATATTTGATTTTACAGGTATATGGTTAACAGAAAAATTAATACTATATACTACATGACTAGAATTTCTAATTTCTGATACTTTTCAGAGATATAGCCACTATAAATTTTTCTAAACATAATAAATATAAATACTTAAAATTCCATACTGTCTTTAATCCCTTAGCCTAGGTCTTGGGAGTTCTGGTAGGCTTCTTGAAGGAAATCCCGTAGTTAGATCTTTAAGCATATGTGACACGTAGGCAAAGGAGGAGAAGGGAAGGCATTATTAGCAGAATGAACAGCTTCAAGAATGACCCCAGTGTGGGAATCAGCATCTCTATTATTAGATTGAGAGACAAAGAGTTCTGGGAAGTAAAATTGGGAAAAATCTGGGCCATCATTTGGAAGTTCTTATTCTTTCATCTGATTACTGAATGGATTTGGAAGAAGGAAAGGAAAGAGTCCAGAATGACTTTCTGGTTTGGGACTTTAGCTGTTTAGTAAATAGGTAACAAATTTAAGGAAGACAGAAAAAGAGGTGGTAGATTTGGTGTTGCATGCATTTGAGGATCTTGTAGGATAGTAAAGTGACAATGTCAGGCAAATATTGTTGACTATGAAGTTTGGGGTTAATGATAATAATTTGTCATCAGCCTGTAAGTGATAGCTAATCTTTTTTTTTTTTTTTTTGGCAGTACTGTACTGCCAAAGTTGGGGTATCCTGCTTGCTAAGCAGATGGCTCTACCAGATAGCTATAATTTGAGACTAACACAAATCTTGTCAGGGAGATGGATGGCAAGTTTTCGTTCACCCAAGAAAGAATTCGGGGGAGACACACACAGAGTCATCTTTAGCAGGGCAGATTTATTAAACAAAAGCTAGATTTTAAGGCAGAATTGACCATAAGCTGATAGTACACTCCCCAAAGGAAACTGAGGGCGGGCATCTTGATAAATCAGTCGAGTGCCTCAGCTCCTGATATTGGCACATTTATGGTTACAGTTTAATGACTATGTCAGTGATTATGCTAAAGCTGTGTACATAATTGTGAAATTTTCTAAGGGAGGGCATTCCAAGAACTGGGGAATAAGGAGTAGTTTATCATGTCCTCAGAGCCAACATGGCAATTAGCGGGCAGGTACATACATGAAATTGTAACTAATGAGATGTAAATGAGGTCTCTGGCTAACTCATAAAGTTGAAAAACTATCTATTAGGGTTGTTGTTGGCCACTGTACCAAGAAGTGTCCTCAACTGTGGTCAACCGTGGTTACAGTGGTGAAGGAGGATGTTTGGCTCTTGAAGATCTTCTAAAACTAAAAATACAAGCTTTCATCAAATATATTTGATGTAATACTAAATTGAGCTAATACCTATATTAGTACTGGTTATATTACTGAATTTGGCATTTTTAGCACTTAGTATTATCTACATTACTGGTTTTTAAATGCTTAAGTATTATGTATTTATAACATAGCTCTTGAGTTCTGAGAGCAATTTTGTTTTTCCAAAAGAATATTGGGCTGAATATTTTTAAAGAAAAAAAAGAAAAAGCAAAACCCCTTGAGAAATACAGTAACATAAAACAATCCAATTATTTTTTCTTACACAAGAATTTTATTGAATTTTCATAGTCAGAATTATCATCTAGTGATGAGAGTGAGAATTTTCACGGACCATATCAACACTTAGAAGACTTCATGTGTTGTAACAGGAATGCCAGAAGAAGCATCAAAATCCAAAAGAGACAGACTTACCTAAAGGTAATCTTTCTTTAGATGTTTTATTACACACACACACACACACACACACACACACACACACACACACAGATACAGACACATTTTCTTTTCTTTTTTGGTGGTTCTCAGGGCCTTGTGCTTGCTAGGCAAGCATCTATTACTCCAGCTATGCCTCCAGCCCTTTTTGCTTTTAGGTTATTTTTCAGAGAGGGTCTTGCAGTTTAGCTTGGGGTTGACCTCAGACTGAAGTCCTACTCAAGCTTCCCATGTATGTGGGATTACTTTTGCGTCTACAATGCCTGGCTTGTTTGATGAGATGAGGTGTCACTAACTTTTTATGTGAATTGACCTTGAACCATGATCCTCCCAAAGTTCACTTCCTGAGTAGCTGAGAAGACAGGAGTGAGCCACGGCTCCTGCCTACATACATTTTCTTTACATTAAAATGTTAAGTTAACAAAAAGTATTTGGACACCAGTTTGGGTTTTTCTTGGAATTAAAATCTCAGAGTGATATTTTTGATTCCCTTTGTGTTTTGATACTTTAACTTGAATTGATGTGTTATTTTGAATTAGATTAAATGAAGAGATTTAAGTATATTGAGAATTTTTTTTCAAATTGAAGAAAATAATGTGGAGATCTGACTTTTAAATTTTTTTTTTTTTGGTGGTGGTACTGGGATTTGAACTCAGGGCTCCAACTTTGCTAGGCAGGCATTCTACCACTTGAGCCACTCTACCAGCCTTGAGTTTTAGATATTTTTAACAGTCATTATGTTGTTTTCTTTATCTGTGTTCAATATTTATATGTTTAGAAAAGTGTTCTTAGCACCCTTCCTGCTGGTCAATCCATTTGGTTTGCAGTATTTTTACTGACAAAAACTAATTATCCAGAAGACTGTTTATTAAAAATGCTTAGCAAGCTGACATTATGACTTGTATATCATTTTACTTTAAGTTTTCAGGAGTAATTTTAAACAGGTATGTTGCTTTATCATTTTTTCTTGCGATTTTTGTTTTGATTTTTGCTCTTAAATTGACAAGAAATCCATTTTCTTAAGAGGAATAAATATCTATGCCATAGGAGAGTTAACTGTGATTGACAATTAACTGTGTATTTCAAAATAGCTAGTAGAGAGGATTTTAAATGTTCCCAGCACAAAGAAATGGTAAGTGTTTAAGGTAATAAATCTCTTAGTTATTCTCAGCTAACATTACATATTTCATGCATATACTGAAATGTCATACTGTACGCCATAGATAAATATAGGTAGGTGTCAATTTAAATTTTTTAAAAATTTAAAAAATCCACTTTGCAGAAGTAAAGTCATAAAAGAACATGATTTTTATTTTTATTTGTTGTAGCATGTAGCTAGGCAGTTTTTAGATGATGAAGCAGAACTTTCTGAAGAAGATTCAGAATGTGTTTTCGTCAGATGAAAATGATGAGTCAGAGAATGAACAAGATTCCTCCTTACTTAACTTCTTAAATGATGAGGCTCAGCTTTCACAGGCTGTAAACGGTAAATGCTATAATAACACTTTGTGACATTTCTTCATTGTTTCTGATTTCATTTAAATATTTTAATGTTCTTTCAAAGAGACTACACTTTAAGGGAATTAAACTTGGTATATGCAAAATGTTTATTTGGTCACTGAAGCTCTATTTTAGACAAACCAAACATTAGAAAAAGTATGATACCAAAGCTTTTTAAAAAACTGTACATTGAAATTCACATTATCTTTTGTTTTCATATATCCTTTCTTAAGTACCCTTTGCTGCATTGTAACTTTTTTCCCCCTTTGGCAAAAAGGAACTCAGGTTGAACTCAGGGCTTTGTGCTTGTAAGACAGAGCTCTATCACTTGAGCCATGTCTCCAGCCGTGTATTCTAACTTTTAAAAATGACAGGCATAAATAAACACCTGTGTGTTTCCCTTTTTTTATTTTATTTTATTTTTTCTTTTGTAGTGCTGGTTGCCAAACACAGTGGTTCACAGATGCTAGACAAACACTACCAATGAGGAGCAGTATCTCCAGCTCCCAATTTTTGCTTAACTGAAAATAATGATAATTGACTGTGCCTTTTAATGTTTTTAGAACATTTTCTTTTCTGTTTGAATTTCTTGCTTTTTTTTCTTAATACTTCTATAAATCAGGTCTTCATATATATTTGTTTTGAATGGAACGGTACTGTTCCGATCATTATTTCAGGAAAGAGAGAAGTTGTCTGTGGTCATCCAGCAAGATGAACTGATTTACAAAGGCAAAACTCCTGACTGCACTTTTGAGTAACTGTTTTCTTTAGATACCTCTCAATGTATATTAGTATCTTTTGTATAAAGTATTTACAATTTTTGAATGATATAAATATGTAATAGGGGAAAGTTAGATACCTTACCAGTTTTCACTTAAATAATTTTGCTACTTTATCTCAAATTCTTGTCTTTACACAGATTCTGAAATGAGAGCTATTTATATGAAATCTTTGCGTAGTCCATTGATGAACAATAAGTACAAAATGGTCCATAAGAAACATAACAACATAAACATTTTCTCACAGGTATGAACTATAGAAATAATAATGGGGAATTTCCTGATGGTGATGTTGAAATATGGTCCTGTTAATGAAACCACTATTTTGTTTCTAAAATTGGGCTGTGGGAACTGTCAGATAATTTCTACCCAGAGTTAGGAAGTTAGTTCTCAAAATCCATTTTAGGTCTGATTTGGTCAGGTTATCCTTTCTTTAATTCAAACTAATTAGAATGTCCTATGAAAATTTTTCCCAATTAGATTAATGTTTATACAAAGTGAATAGAATTTCGTCATTTACTAAATTTTTAATTTTCATACATGTGATTTCTCTTTAAAATGTTACGTTTAAAAATTATAGATGATAATTTTTTGTTAGATAACAATATTTTTTGTTTCTTTTTATTTTGAGATAGGGCCTCACTATGTAGCCCAAACTGGCCTTTTTAAACTCACTTATATAGCTGAGTCTGGTATTGAACTCTTGATTCTACTGCCTTGGTCTCCAGAATGCTTGGACTTTTTTTGTTTTTTGTATGAGCTCTCACTATGTTGCCTAAGGTGGTATAGAACTCAAGTGATTCTTCTGCCTCATTCGTTTTTGGTGAGATTGGAGTTTAAACACAGGGCTTTGTACTTGCAAGGAGGCACTCTACCACTGACCCACACTCCATTCTTCTGAGCAGCTGGGATGATAGTCATGTGTCACCATGCCAGGCTAGATTATCCTTCATTTATTGGTAACATTTTCTATATTTATTCTTAAATTGCCATGTTTGGCTTGATAATATGGTTATTCATATCTGTATTCTTAACCATGTCCTTATCACATAGCAGTCATCATATTTTTTATTATGGTTCACTTTCTAGCTGCACAAACTAGAATGTAAACTTCTAGAGAGTAAAATGTTTTTATTCTTTATCTCGTAAATCCCAGTTTTCTTATAAAGAATTGCCCAGGGTTGGGGCATAGTGGCACACCCTGAAATCCCAGGTACATGGGAAGCAGGTGGACAGAGGATGATCTGCAGTTCTAAGCAAGCTGGGCAAAAAAGTTAGCTCAACTCTATCTCAAAAAACAAAGTTGTTTGTAAATATCATTGACTTATATCTAGATGGATGTAAGAAAAAGGTATGGGATTTTACCTGGTTTTACACAATTGTGGGCAATAGGCTCTTGCCTGTGATAGTGATAGAGTTCACTTCATTCAGATACTTTTTAACATTATACCAGAATGTGGTCCATTAGCTTGATGTTTTTGAGGGAAATAAAAAGATAGTTTAGGAAAAAAAACAAAAACAAGCTACCTGCCTATAATCCCAGCTACACTGGAAGTGGAAGTAGGAGGGTAGTGGAAAAAAAGCACAAGACCCTATCTGAAAAGTAAATAAAGCAAAATGGGCTGGGACCATGGCTGAAGTGATAAAACACTTGCCTAGTGAATGTGAGGTCCTGAGTTCAAACCCTAATACTGGAAATTTAAAAAAGTACTCAGTATATGTTAGCTAAACAAGTGATTGAATTAGTAAAATAAATGAAATAAATAGTTATGCCTCAAAAAATATGTGAATACATCCTGATTATATGGAATAATCAGAGACTTACTGACTTGGTGGCAATTACAGTACGTGTATTTCTATTACAGATTCCTGAGCAAGATGAAACCTATTTAGAGGACAGTTTTTGTGTTGATGAAGAGGAGTCTTGCAAAAGCCAATCAAGTGGAGAAGAAGTTTGTGTTGATTTTAATTTAGTAAGTGACGATTGTTTTGCAAATGGAAGTAAAAAATATAAAACCCGGCGTGCAGTAATGTTGAAGCAAATGAAGATGAAACAAAATTGTACACGTTCAAAAAAGAAATTATCAAGAATTATTTTGCCAGATGATTCAAGTGAGGAGGAAAACAATGTAAATGATAAGAGAGAATCTGATATTGTGGTTAACCCAAGCACTGCTCACAAGAACAAACAACAGGACCAGAATTTGAATTTACTGTCTTCTGGGTCTTCATTGCAGCCCAAAGTCCTTTCTAAACAAATAGTAAATCAATCACCCAAACAGAGACAACAGACACCATGGAATTTAAAGGACACAATTTCTGAAGTAGAATTCAAGCCTCAGAATCATAATGAAATCAAATCTACCTCACCACCATGCACTGCTGTTCAGCCACAGACAGAATACAGAAAATTGCCAATTCAATTTCAGGTATGGAACAAACTAAAGAAAAAAACCATCACATGTGTGCCAAATGGTTTATTTGTTGTTTTTTTTTTTTTTTTTTGGTGGAGGGGGTTGCTTTTTGTGCCACCGTTTTGGTGTTCTGTATTAAATAATTAAGTCAAAGAAAGATTAGCAAAACATTGTTGATGAAAATTTCTTCAAACAAGAAAATGGTACACTAAATCACATGGGTATTTCATAAGATATTTAGATTTTGAGTTTTAAATGTGTTAGTAATTTTCTTAACACTGTAAAGAAACTTGATATATATATGTATATGCGTGTATGTGTATATACACATACATATGTGTATATATATACATGTATATTATTTATATATATATTATAAAACTATTTCTTTTTGGTGGGACTGGGGTTTGAACTACTGTGGAAAAGACTCTAAGCCCTAGCTGGTAAGTCTTAGAACAAAAGCTTTAAGTCACCTGCAAAGCAGGCGCTCTACCTCTTGAACCACACCTCCTAAACTTGATGATTTTATGAATAAAGGAAAATAGGACTTTTTGTAAGGTAAAAATAGAAATGTGCTCAGAGTTCCCAGATTAACTTTTCCCTAAAAGACTTGAGGAGAACGGTGTTTGGGGATGGTACCTGCTTTCCTTTATGTTTCTTTCCATGTCTTCCACATTGTTGTTAAGTAGTCTGATTTTGCCTTTCCCTGTGTCTTGCTATTACTAAAAGAATCACTGAAACCATTTTCAGTTTTTAAGATTTTATTACAGTCTGGGTAGTAGAGCACTTGCTTAGCATGCGTGGGGTCCTTGGATTCAATCAGTTCTTAGCACTGGGGAAAAAAAAAAGATGGGTATACAGTTATATACCACCACTCATGACTTAAATATAAAGATGATTTCTGAGGGAAGTCTGTCTTAGTTTAGGATATACAAAGCTGGAAAGATTGTTGCTCCTATTCTTAGAGCAACAAAAAGCCAGGTAATCTACAAAGTCCTGTTTTCATGAAACCATTACAGAGCTGAGTTTGTAGGCAACCAATTAGGTTGATAATCTAAGGAAAGTTACCTCCAATAAGAGACTTACTGATTTGAGGATAATTGTATTGCATCAGAAAATCTGGTAAGAAAATTCAGCTTTTACTTTATATGAATTGCAAAGGGCAGTAGCCTAGCATAAGAACTTAGAACCCCTGGGAGTTGCAAGCACAAGGAGAATTCAGAACACTCATAGGTTCTTTTCCATATACTGACTCATCAGGTGCCCACAAGACAGACAGAATCAGAGAATAAGACTTAGAATCTGAGAATCAGGCCTGTGCAGGCACTGGGGGGAATGACCAGCAGTTAGTAACCATAGAAAAGACTCTTAAGTCCCAGCTGGTTCCTTTCCCTTACTTATCTTAGAGCAAAAAAGTTTTAAGCCTCTGGGAAAAAGCAGCAAAGCCTATACCTCGGCTTCTTAGGTAAAGACCCTTTGCAGGTAGGGGGAGGAAACAAGAAGAATTCCTGTATACCTGAGAAAATGTACAGAAAAACATCTTGTGTCTAGACCATTAGAGATCCCAGCCACTTGGAGGAAGGGTAAGGTCACTGAGAAGTTCTTACCCTTGAAACAGACCTAGGAGTAGAGGTCCTGTCTAATGCTGAGGCTGAACCAAGACAAGACAATAGGAAACACCACCCGATTCCCATTCCCTGCGCTTCCTCTTACCAAGGTAGAAAGCACTAAGTAACAAATGCCATCTTCTGCAAGGAAGAGACAAAGAATATGGGGAAAGAAGTGCATTCTGAATGGAATAAATCTCACTTGGCCGTGGAGTATGATTCTTTTAAGAAGTGCTTAAAATGGGCAAGTGAACTAAACAGAACTTTCTCAAAAGAAGAAATTCAAATGGCCAAAAAACACATGACAAAATGCTCACCATCTCTAGCAATAAAGGAAATGCAAATTAAAACCACACTAAGATTCCACCTCACCCCTGTTAGAATAGCCATCATTAGCAACACCACCAACAACAGGTGTTGGCAAGGATGCGGGGAAAAAGGAACCCTCCTACACTGTTGGTGGGAATGTAAACTAGTACAACCACTCTGGAAAAAAATTTGGAGGCTACTTAAAAAGCTAAACATTGATCTACCATTTGATCCAGCAATACCACTCTTGGGGATATACCCAAAAGACTGTGACACAGGTTACTCCAGAGGCACCTGCACACCCATGTTTATTGCAGCACTATTCACAATAGCCAAGTTATGGAAACAGCCAAGATGCCCCACCACTGACGAATAGATTAAGAAAATGTGGTATCTATACACAATGGAATTTTATGCAGCCGTGAAGAAGAACGAAATGTTATCATTCGCTGGTAAATGGATGGAATTGGAGAACATCATTCTGAGTGAGGTTAGCCTGGCCCAAAAGACCAAAAATCGTATGTTCTCCCTCATATGTGGACATTAGATCAAGGGCAAACACAACAATGGGATTGGACTTTGAGCACATGATAAAAGCGAGAGCACACAAGGGAGGTGTGAGGATAGGTAAGACACCTAAAAAACTAGCTAGCATTTGTTGCCCTTAACGCAGAGAAACTAAAGCAGATACCTTAAAGCAACTGAGGCCAATAGGAAAAGGGGACCAGGAACTAGAGAAAAGGTTAAATCAAAAAGAGTTAACCTAGAAGGTAACACACACACACAGGAAATCAATGTGAGTCAACTCCCTGTATAGCTATCCTTATCTCAACGAGCAAAAACCCTTGTTCCTTCCTATTATTGCTTATACTCTCTCTACAACAAAATTAGAAATAAGGGCAAAATAGTTTCTGCTGGGTATTGAGCGGGGGGAGATGGTGCCCAAAAAGGCAAGGTAACAATTAATGGACTTGAATAAAGTGATAAAGTAAAAATGTTAGATGAGCTGAAAGGCAGCATGTCTTTGGTAGAAGTTGGATAGCATTGTGGGAAAAATGAATCTAGCATCCACAGCACAGCACTGAACTTATCCATCCTGAGGATTCATGTTTTTCCTCAACAGCAGTCTCCTTGGAACCACATACTCACAGATCCCAAGGGTTTACTGTAATACGGTTATTGAAAACGTATGATTTTTTTGTATATGGCGATTTTTTTGTATATAGCAATTTTTTGTCTGAAGAATTCATAATTTTTTAGAAATTATTTTTCTTTAAATTAGCATATATTAATTGTACAAAGTTGTTTTAATGTGTTTTTCCATGCATGCATATAATGTATTTCAATCTATTACTCTTTCATATCTATTTTTAAATTAATTTTAATTGGCTTTGTTATTCTGTATAAACTGTTCTTAATAGTTCGCTTTGATTATCCCATCAACTGGATATTTAGTAAGGTTAATTTGTTTTATTCATTTTTTTATATATTCTTTTCAGTTTTTTTTTTTTTTTTTTCTGTGGGACTGGGGTTTGAACTCAGGACTTTGAGCTTGCAAAGCAGGAGCACTACTGCTTGAGCCACACCTCCAGTCCATTTTGCTCTGGTTATCTTAGAAATGGGGATCTAATACATTCAAAGAAATATGTCTTCTGTTTTTGTCCCCATCAACCTTCTTCAAAGGTAATAATTTAAATATGCATATATATATTTAATTTTTCCATTTAAAAAAATATAAATAGTAACAAATAAATAATAACATTCATTATACATCTTTCTTTACCTTACTTTTCACTTAAACAGATATCCTAGGGTTTACTCTGTAGTAACATGGATATTTGTGTTTGTCGTTATTTTCTGTGTGTGTGGTATTAGAGTTTTAACTCAGGGCCTAGATCTTGCTATGCTGGTGCTCTACCACTTGAGTTACTCTGCCAGCTTTTTTCTGTTGCTTATTTTTGATAGGGTTTAAAAGCATCACTTTATGATCCTCCTGCTTTTGCCTCCCTGAATAGCTGGGATGACAGGTAAGTGCCTCATTGTTTGAAGTAGGGTCTAATGAATATTTTGCCTGGGCTGGCCTGCAGTCCTCCCAGTCTCCACCTCTCAACTAGTTAGGATTATAGGCTTGTGCCTCCATGCCCAGCATAGATATAACTTCTTTATTGCTTTTTATAGCTACATACTTCTTCATTGTAATGGCATAATTATTTAATAGTTCGATATTGATGCATTTCTGGGTTGCTTCTAATCTGTTTTATTTTTTTTCTTGCAGTGCTGGGGATTGAACAGGTCCTTGCACATGCTAGACAAGTACCTTACCACTGGCTACATACCCAGCCCTTGGCTTATTAAGACAGGGTCTTGATGTGTAGCCCGTACTGGCCTCAAACTCGGATCTTCTGTCTCTGCCTCCTGAGTGCTGGGATCATAGGTGCTAAACAACATGCCTAGCTAATCTTTCATTCTTGTAAATAGTACTATAACAAATAGCCATCTGCATGTCTTCTCCTATTTTGTCAGTGAAGCTTTGGGATGGAGTCTATGAAGTAGAGTTGCTATGAAAGTAAATAAAGGCCGGGCATGGTGGCTCATTTCTATAATTCCAGCTATTGAGAGACAGAGATCAGGATTGAGGTTCTAGTACAGCCTGAGCAAAAAGTTCATTAAGACCCCATCTTAATCAACAAGCCTAGCTTGGTGGTGTGTGCCTGTCATCCCAGCTATGTGGGAGGCCATAGGTAGGAGGAGTGTAGTCTGAGGCTGGCCCAGGCAAAATGTGAGAGTCTACATGAAAAACAGACTAGAGCTAGGGGCATGGTTCAAGTGGTAGAGTACCTATTTAGCAAGTGCAAGGCAGTACCACCACCAAAAACAACAAAAAAAGTAAATACAAACATAATGGTGCCAGATATTTCTAACTTCTCCATAAGGGTTTTTTATTTTTCTTATTACCAGCAATGTAAAAGAATTCATGATTATTTCAGAGCCTCACCATCTTACCAGATGTTGTCAATGTAGTAAGAAAGTGTGTTTACATAAATAGTTTCAAGTTATCATTTTTCTTGTCATAGCATAGTTTTCATACAGTTTCATGTACTCATGGCTTATAAGACCATGTGAGTTTCTTTTCTGAGAGCACCTTAAATTATTTGTTGAAGGGTTTTATAGACCACATAAGTACTGTGGCTATAAACTCATAGGGCTGGAGTGATAGTTTGTTGAAACAAATTCTGAGATTGTCTTTGTGGCCACACATACCAAATGCCAAGATTGACTGGTTTTTTTTGTTTGGTTTTGTTTTGCTTTTTGGTTCTATGGAATAGATTTAGTTCTTATCCATACTTGGCACTAAATGTTAACTATTTTTTAGCAAGGGGTTGAACATCTAGTACTATGCATGTCCTCCATGCACTGTGGCCTCTGTGAACAGCTCATTCTCAGCACTATGTAGCAGATACTTTTCTAAGAGAATTTGAATTTGTTCTGGTTTAATTAACTTTCAGGATTCTCATTTTTGTTTTTGAGCCCTGTGTATTGCTTTCTTTCAGCCAGTCAGCTTGCTTTTTTGTTTTGTTTTTGCATTTCTGGGTGTACATATACTAGGCAAGTGTCCCACCACTGAGCTATATCCTCAGCCCCAAAGTATATATTTTTAAGCATATAACTTAGGGTCTAGGGATGTAACTTAGAGGCAGAGCACTTGTCTAGCATGAGTAAGGCCCTGAGTTCAATCTTAGCACTGTAACAAAACAAAACAATTGAACAAAAAAGGTTCCCTTGTTCTCAGTGGAAGTACTTTCTGGTTTTCTAATCTAATTACTTTTCAAAAATAATCTTGGTTATTTTCCTTATTGTTTCAGGTGAAAAAGAATCTGCTTTAAGGTTATTATTTAACCATTCATCTTTTTCCTGTAGGCTAGAAATTATAACATAATTTTCCTTTTCAAAACTTTTTCCTTTGTTTATAGTTGAAGGGAAAATACTGAACATTATCAGTAAGGAGAGTCAGCATCAGGTGTGAGAAGCTTATGGCACTAATAAATATTTAACCAGATAGTGACGAGTGTTTTCCACCCTTTCAGGTTGATAGTGCTCTAGAGGATCCTAGCACTTCAGAGGAACACTCTTCTAATTCAAGACCGCATTTGGCTGATACGCATACTTCTCTTAAACTTCCACAGGAAGGAAAAAGAACCTGTATTCTTGTAGATAGTCATGAAATCACTTCTGGTTTAGAAGTAATTTCTTCCCTAAGGGCAGTTCATGGCTTACAGGTAGAGGTGTGTCCTCTTAATGGCTGTGACTACATTGTGAGTAACCGCATGGTGGTAGAAAGGAGGTCTCAATCTGATATGTTAAATACTATCAGTAAGAACAAGCTCATCCAGCAGATCCAGCACCTGCAAAGTATGTTTGAAAGAATATGTGTAATTGTGGAGAAGGACAGAGAAAAAACAGGTTTGCATTTTAAGATGTTTTTTTTTAAGACTGTAAAGGGCTGGGGCAGACTGTAAAGGAACTTGACTGCTTAGTTCATTCTTATCAGGAGGTGGAAAACAAAATATAAAATATGGGTACTTGATTCATTTTCCATTTTAATACCATTGTTTTTAACTATCCACTGTATTTAAATGGGCTTCTAAAAATTGGGACCCAACTGTAAGACATTGGTGAACCATGTGACCTTGAATAAGTCACTTTATCTTTCAGTAGCCTAGGTTTGTTTATTGTTTTACTTTTTTTTTTTTTGGAGGCATTGGGGTTTAAATTTAGGTGCTAAGCAGCCTCTTTTACTACTTAAGCCAGCCCTTTTTTTGATGTGTTTTTTTGAGAGAAGGTCTGGAGAATTATTTGCCAGGGGCTGGCTTTGAACTGTGATCCTCCAGATCTCTGCCTCCTGACTATTGGTTTTTTTGTTACTGTTGTTTTTGAGACAGGTCTCACTGTGCAGCCTAGGCTAGCCTCAAACTTGTGATCCTCCTGCCTCAGCCTTGAAAGTGCTGGCATGCACCACCATGCCTGGCTTCTTCTTTTTTTTTTTTTTTGGTAAAACAAGGGCTGAAGGAAATAGATGTAGAACAAAGAGCAAAGTGATTTGCAGAAGTTGTGGAAAATTTCTTTATGGGGGAATTACAATGGGGAATGCCAAAAAGAAGGATGTTAAGTAGAACATGGAAAGGAAAATGAACAGCAGGAAAGGTAGGTAAGTAAATTAATGATGAGATGACATTAAAATGGATGTGTGGGGTATTTGTTCAGCTAACTTTTGGCATAAACAAGATAATTTTATATAATATAAACCAATACTTGATGAGCCCTTTTTCAGTGCTAGCATGAACAATTAAAGATGAATATCTTGAATCATCTAGAAATATAAATTATCCCTTACCTATTTACATTTGTATGCTAATTTCAATTCAAGACACTTACAAGGATAGTTCTCCCTACATTATCTCTCAGATATTTGCATCATCTTAAAACCTTAGCTGTGAGGTTCTCGTTAGCATAATGTGGCACGAGTTAATCAGGGGTACAGATGTTGGATTTTTTAGAGTGTATTAACTATTCCACTTCATATTAGTTACTAAAATTTGCATTTTCCTAAATATGAAATACTTAGGAGATACATCAAGGATGTTTAGAAGAACAAAGAGCTATGACAGTCTGCTGATCACCTTAATTGGTGCTGGAATCCGAATTCTTTTCAGTTCCTGCCAAGAAGAAACTGCAGATTTGCTAAAGGAACTTTCTTTAGTGGAACAAAGAAAAAATTTTGGCATTCATATTCCAGCAATGACGAATAGTAGTAAATGTGAAGCACTTCAGTTTTATTTAAGTATTCCCAATATAAGTTATGTAACTGCATTAAGTATGTGTTACCACTTTTCATCTGTGAAAAAGATGGCCAACAGGTATGTCCATTTCGGTATTATTTTTAAATAGTTACTTTTAAATGTTCATTAGAGATTTGTTGCCTGCTAACATGTATGAAGCAGAGGACTGCTTCATGAAGCCGAGAACATTATGGGAAAAAGAAAGTATAGGGGGATTGCCTTTAAGGAGCTTAAAGCTCTGGTGGGGGAATGGGGGGCGGGGAGATAGACAATAAATGACACTTACCTTTGACCTTACATTCTATTATTTCTGGGCTGTTCAGTTCTGTCATTAGGAAAATGTTCACACTGAGAACTTTACTAGCTTTTTTGTTTGCTTTGTGGTATAAGGAATCAAACACAGGGCCTTGCTCATGCTACCCCGATGCTCTACCACTGAGGTACTGCCCTAGTTTTTGATCACTATAGTGCTTGAAAGATTGAAGCACTGTAGTGCTTGAAGATTTTAGAACATAGGTTCTAATTAAAGGCCCATAAAAAGTGTCTTAGCTCTAGTTCTGGCTGCTAAAACAAAATATCATATGCTGGTTAGCTGACTTACAAAAAAACCAGAATTTTCAGTTCTGGAGGCTGGAAGTCTGAGATCAGGGTGCTAACATGATTGGGTTTTGACAAGGGCCCTCTTCTGGGTTGCAGTCTACTGAGTTCTTCTGTGGTTCTATAACAGAAAATAGAGCCTCTTATTATAAGGGCAGTGAGAACTTTACCCTTAGAATCTAATTATCTCCAAAGGCCCATCTCCAAATCCCATCTATATTGAAGTCTTTTTTTTTTTTTAAACTTTGAGAAAAAAAGCCTCTTTCTGCAGTATTTTAGACCAGGCTAGATTTGAACTCATGACCCGCCTGCCTCAGCCTCCCAAGTTCTCAGATTATAAGTAAGCATGCATCACCAACAGTCAGCTTGCATGAAGTCATATCTGCATCACTGTAATGAAATACCTGGCATAGCCTACTTAGGAAGAAGCAGCTTACTTAACACAGTTGGGAGGTTCAAAGTCCAAATGGCAGCTAAGGCTGATCCTTGGGTATTTCCCCTCATGATGTAGGAACAAATGCAGAGGCAAGCGATTTTGGGCCAGGTACAGAGAGAGACTGGGGTTCATAGTTACTTCAGGACTTCCCACAAGGCTCCACCTCTTAAATGTCCACACCATCTTCCAATACATCACTTTGGGGACCAAGTTTTTTACATGTGTATCTTGAGGAATGGGGTGGGAGGGACCATCTTCAAACCATAACACTATCACATTTGGAATAGGGTTCCAACATGACTTGGGAGAGGGGGCACAGATATTTAGTCCTACACTTGGTAAAAATCGTTTGTTATTGCAGATGATTTTAAAGAAAGTAAAAAGTATCTTAAACAAAAATGTCTTTTTTCAGAAACAGAGAACAGGATGGTAAAACAGGACCTGTCTGTCCTAACCAGTGGCAGGGGTTAGGATATAAGGAAAGAGTATAGGAAGCGAATATGGTAAAAATATTATGTAGTCATATATCAAAATGAAAAAATAAGACCTGTTGAAACAATTCCAAGAATGGGGGGAAGGGGATGAATCAACAGTGATATATTGCAAGAACTTTTGTAAATGTCACAATGTATCCCCAGTACAACAGTGATAAATAAAAAGCTGACTAGTATGATATATCAACTGTATTTAAAATGCTTGAGAAGAGATGACTTTCTTAAAGGCTACTATGTTTTGATCTTTTATAGAGGATAAAAATATTAAATTTCATAAAAGCCAAAAGTTCTAGTTTGTTTCTCTTTAATATATTTTTCAGCTCACCCCAAGAAATCTCTATGTATGCACAAGTAACTCATCAGAAAGCTGAGGAGATCTATAGATATATGCACTATGTATTTGACATGCAAATGTTACCGAAGGATCGTCACCAAGACAGACTGAAATCTAGTGCATAATCAGACAGCTCAAGAACTGTCTAAGAACTCTCACAATTTATGTGCACTTCAGTAATTATTGTTGTGCTTTGTAAGTATCAGTTTAAAATATGTAAATAAGAGATATTTGTATTGTATACATTTTAATTTATGTAAAATTATATATAAATGATTTAAAAGGAAACCTTTGATGTTGAATAATCATTTTGACTACCTGGATTATGAAACTAATGGAGTGGCTCAAGCAGTCAGAGCACCTGCCTTACAAGCATGAAGACCTGAGTTCAAAACCCAGTGCCACAAAAAAAAAAAAAGTAAAAAAGATGACGGAGATGTATTTTGGAATTTTTTTGAGATGAAAGTACTGTCAATGTAATTTGTTGTCATAATAGTGTCCATGACTGCTGCCAACTTAGTGCTCATAAATAACTTTTCTTGTCTATAAAATGTATCAATATTTTGAATGTGTCTAGTCTAAATATATATACTGGATAAGAGGTGGGTGGTGGATGTGTTGAGAGATAAAAGATCTAATAACTAGAAAGTTAGAAATTTTAACTGAATGTCATCTCCACCAAAAGTATCCATCGAGGTCAAGTATAGTCAAATTTAATAGGAACTCTTATCCTGACTCTTTATCTTGTCTGTGATGCTAGTAATACTTTACAATGGTTCTATGTACTGATAAGAAGCAGCCCATAATTATGGGCTTTTTCACCCTCCATTTAGACTCCTTTACCATTTCTCCTGTTGTCTTATTCTTTCTCCTGATAGCTTGTTGGGTTGTTGAACCAGTCAGGGCTGAGACCTTTCTTCACCTTAATCCCAGTAGGGACTTCAGAACTCATCTAGTTCAAATTGCTTTTTTTTCCCCTTCTTGTTAGGTAATAAAAGTGGTGTCTAGCAATCAGTGATTTATTCAGGTTTCAACCAGAACACTGGAATTAAATATGATTCTTTTTCACACTACTGTATTGATAAAGGGGAACCAAAAAGCTACTCTAATTGTTCTAAAAGCAACTGACCTCTTATCTGCTGTCCAAAATCCTTTCAAAACAGAGGGAAGAGCAATAGATTACTGGTTGGTGTACAGGCCAACAGTCCATTCCCTTAGATCTGAATTTACCCATACAGTTGTGTTATGATGCTTGGATTTCTGCTTGTTCATAAATAGCATTTCTCCTTTATAATGATATGATGCTAAGCTTAGTCAGAAAAAGGAAAGGGGCCTTTCTTACTAGTTCCAGTGTGCTGCTGCTTACTGCTTCATTCTCCTGCACATGGTCTACCAGTGGTGCCTCTGGGTAGGGACCTCTGGTGGTGCTCAACCCCAGCCGCATACCAGAAATATGCCATCCCTCCACAACCTCACTGACCTGTACCTAGCAGGTGGCATACAACCTGCAATAGAATAGGAATGACACTGAATGAGTTCTGTCTTGATGCAAGGAATATGAGCAGTGAGGGGTCAGACTTTTTGGTCTGGGCCAAATCTGTATCATTTCACAATTATCTTGTTTTCTACCATGTGACTTAATAACCTTAACTTTTTTCATTTTAGCCATTTGGACTTCTTCCTTTGAAAAGGCTCTGTTCAGTTCATTTGCACATTTTGTCGTTGGGTCATTGATTTTTTTGGCGTTTAGTTTTTTTAGCTCTCTCTATATTCTGGTTATCAGTCCCTTATCTGATATGTAGCTGGCAAAGATTTTCTTCCATTCTGTGGGCAGCCTCTTCAATTTAGAGACCATTTCTTTTGTTGTGTGGAAGTTTTTAAATTTCACGTTGTCCTTTGTTGTAGTTGCTGAGCCCCTTGAGTTCTACTGAGGAAATCATTCTTATGCCTGTTGCTTCCATTGTATTCCCTGCTCTTTCCTGTACCAACTTCAAGGTTTCAGATCTTATATTAAGGTCCTTAAGCCACTCTGAGTTGATACTTGTACAGGGTGACAAATGGACCTAGTTTCAGTTCTCTGCAGGCAGATATTCAGTTTTCCCAGCAACATTTGTTGGAGAGGGTGTCTTTTTTCCATCGTATGTTTTTGGCACCTTTGTCAAAAATGAGGTGGGCATAGCTGTAGGTCTTCTATTATACTGGTCTTCATGTCTGTATTTTTATTACTATGGCTCTGTAGTATAGTTTGAAGTCAGGTAGTATAATACCTCACCGTTGCTTTTTGCTCACTATCGCCTTGGCTATTTGAGGTCGTTTGTGTTTCCAAATGAACTTTAGGGTTGATTTTTCAATCTCTAATATCATTGGGATTTTGATGGGAATTGCATTGACATGTAGATTGCTTTTGGTAGTATAGGTATTTTTACTATGTTGATTCTACCAATCCATGACCATGGGAATTTCTACCTTCTGTAGTCTTATTTCATTTCTTTCTTCAGTGGTTTAGTTTTCCTTGTAGAGGTCATTCACATCCTTTGTTAAGTTTATACCTAGGTTTTTTTTTTTTTTTTAAGGTACTGTAAATGTAATTGTTTTCCTATATTCTTTCTCAGTTTGTTCATTGTGGTTTTATAGATTTTGTATCCTGTTACTTTGCTGAAGCTGTCTATGATGCTAGGAGTTTTTTCAGGTCTTTTAGGTATAAGATCATGTTGTTTGTGAATAAATAGTTTGACTTCTTCCTATTTGTATTCCTTTTATTTCTTCTTCCTGTCTTATTGCTATGGCTAAGAATTCCAAGATGATGCTGAATAGGAGAAGGGAGAGTAGGCACCCTTGTCTCATTCCTGATTTTAGGGGGAATGGTTTCAGTTTTCTCCATTAAGTATGATGTTAGCTATGGGTTTGTCATATATAGCCTTTAATATGTTGAGGTACATTCCTTTTATTCCTAATTTCTTCAGTGCTTTTATCATGAAAGGATGTTGAATCTTATCAAAGGCTTTTTCTGCATCTATTGAGATGATCAAGTGTTTTCTGTCTTTGCTTCTGTTAATGTGGTGTATTACATTTATAGATTTGCATATGTTGAACCTCTACTGCATCTTTGGGATGAAGCCAACTTGGGTCATGGTGAATCTTTGATATGTTGTTGAGTTCAGTTTGCCATTATTTTATTGAGGATTTTTGCATCTGTTCATTAAAAATATTGGCCTGTAATTCTCTTATTTTGTTGTGTCCTTGTCTGGTTTTGGGATGAGTGTATTACAGACTTCATAGAATGAGTTTGGCCATGTTCATTCCCTTTTTACTTCGGGAAAAGTTTAAGGAGTGTTGGTATTAGTTCTTCTTTAAAGGTCTGGTAGAATTCAGTGAAGAATTCATCAGGTCCTGGACTTTTCTTTTTTGGGGGGAAACTATTGCTGCTTCAATTACATAGTGTGTTATACATCTGTTTAGGTGATTAATATCCTCTTGGTTCAATTTTGTATTAACCATCTTAACTTTTAAAAACACTACCCATTAATCTCAAGCAGCACAGCATTGTACCAAATATTGGCAACTCAACTTCTACAACAGTATTTTTAATAATCCTTTCTTTTGTCCTGTCTTATAGCTACCAAGCATCTTAAGGCAGATACTACTAGTTTAAAAGAAGAATCTTAGTTCAGTTGCATCATTCTTTTCAAATCTTATATTGCTATAAATCCTCTAGATACACAATTGCTATTTATTACTGACTAAATTTTTAAGAGACAAGAAAATGTTATGTTCTACTAAAAGTTCAGTATTTTTGAGGAAACTTGAACAGGACCAGTAACAAAATGTATGTTTGTTTTCTTTCTCTGATAGGATAGTTTAGACAAAAAATAAAGCAACAACCCAGAAACAAATACTATAAAATCAAGCTAACTTTATTTGAACAATCTAACTGGAAGGAAAGGATAGTGAATTTGCAATATGTACTATAACTGGAGGGAAGATAATTTATGACAAATTTTGAAAACAATGATAGAATAAGCTAAAAGTTTATTTCTAAAGAAGCTTCCAGTGAAAGAAATGGTGATGTAACATTAACTTGACAACTCTTATAATGGTAATTAAGGAGTCTAATCTACAGTTTTTAATTTTGAGAGAATTTAAGCTATGCCTGCATATGTATATAAGGTCACAGAATGCAACAGAATCTGTTATCTGGTTCTGTCTAATAAAATAATGAAAAGGCAGTGAATTAAATTTAATTGTTTCATAGATAGGCCAATCACAAGTTTTAAGACATATAGTTTGTAGAGAAGCATGTCATATAGTTTCAACAATGTGTAATTTAAGCATTACATCTACTCTGGCTTGTACTATCAAATGGTAAAAAATACTAAAAGTTTTCATTAATTCAGTAGCTACTAATCCAAACTATTTCATTCCCCTACCACTGCTGACTGAAGGAAGGACAGCATATTTTCTTGAAAACATTTGAAATCTACATGGGGCATGATTTTATTAAAATAAATAGACTTGGATTCTTAAAAAAAAGGAGACAACTATATTTTAATATTACATAAACCAAATTTGTAAGTATCTGCACAAGCAGAACATTTTTCCTTACGTTTTTGGCAAGTTGCAGCAATGAGAAAATATGATACAGGATATTTCACCTTCATTACAAACATGAAACCTTTGAAAAGAGAATCCACATTTTCATATGAAGCTATATCACAAGTAAATACCTATTCTACAAATGAAGATACAAACACAACATCTGCAAATCCTGGAAGTTGTATTTTCTTAGTTTTACTATGAATCAGAGTTTGAAAAATAGTAATCTTTCTCTTCTTCATCTAAAGATTCCATAGTATTAGTGAACAGTTTTCCAGTACCAGAATTTTCTCCTAAATCTGTGAAGAGAAGTTTAATAAAAATAATAAATATATTTCCAAGTAATTTCACTGAAACATAAAACAACTACAAGGAACTAAATGGTAGGTCTGTGTACTTGACAATTAATTTAATACCATCAGAAGAGATTGCCTTTAATAGAACCAGCTATAAAAGAAAGAAATGTATTACCTTTGTTAAACAAGGTTTTTCTTGATGTTGGAGTTGAGAAGTTAGTTTCAGCCTATAAAAGAGTTCATATTATTACTAAGTGGCATGTTCTGTGATGCCTCCTCAAATCTGCTTCATCCCTAGAGAGCTCTGAATGCATGCCCATAGTAACATTTAATCACTTTATGTTACCAGTAAAATGCCCAGTTCTCTTTTAAGTTAAGTTTATACAGGGCAAAGGCCACTGCTCGCAGACATTAGTATAAGAAAATATTATAAACTAAAGGATAGTCTATGGACCTCTGAAAGTTGTGAAAATATACTAAGTACTTATTTCATTTAAGTAATTAATATCTTGGGCTAGCAATCTAAAAATATAACCATATCTTTTTTTAAAATAAATTTTATTAGAATATATTCATTATATGGGGGGATTCATACTGACAATTTTGATTAGACATACTGTACATTAGTTACAAAGTATATCTTATAATCAAAATAATTGTAGGTAAAACTACATCTGAAAAACATACTAGCAAAATTTTAATTCTCTTTATTTAATTGGCTAAAATAGTAATACACTGCAAGATTAAGTACATTCTCATTCTTTTCTATAAATGGTTTTCAAAGTAGCCATAGTTTCGTTTTAAATGAAAAGGAGTAACAGAAAATATGATAGAATATTTTTCTTATAATAAGGATTAATTATTGTTAGAAGCTCTTGAGATACAAGTTCATAATCATACTGATGTAAATGTTATTTCCTCCCTGTGAGATGGGACAAAACATTGCATTACATCATTTAGCCCTCACAACCACTCAGTAACATAAACCAGTATCATCATGATCCCCATTATCATACAGTGAAGAAGATTAGAAAGCTCAAGTATTTCCCTCAGTGCAATAAACCTCGTGTGGGAAGACAGACCTTGAAATTAACATTTTTAACATAATTCTTTGCTCTTCCTTGCTAGCACATTGGCTAAAAATATTAGGCTATTAAAAATGTGGTTAAGTCACAAACATTACAGTTTAGTAGATAGCTCAAATTGTAACCCACTAAGAAAACAAAAAATCCAGAACTACAATGATCTAAGAAACATAGAAAAATAAGTTTTTAATAGGAGAGACCCTTATAAATACACCTGTATCAATCTCTTCTCATTTTGCACAGAATAAAATGAATGTATTACTCTTGCAATGCAGTATGGCCTATGGATCATCAGCAGGAGCATCACTTATTAGAAATGCAGAATCTTAAATCCACTGGATCAGAATCTGGGATTCAACAAGATCCCCAGGTGACATCCATGCATATTTAAGCTTGAGAACTATTGGCCCAGGCACATGTGAAGGCAACCCAGCTTACTGGGTTGCAAAATAGGGACTAGAAGCCAGATCTTAGGACTCCCATTCTAAAGCAATCAATTCCAGGTCCTTTGCTACAAAACAAAATTTCATTCTCATTAAGGAATGAGGGATTGGAAAAAGTCTTAAGGTTTCCTGAGAATGAGTCTGCTTAGTTCACTTGGGGAAAACAGCTACCTTTTGAAGAACTAGGCTCCAGATTGATTTTAAATCTAGGTCAAGCCCATTACAAAGGACTATATAATCCCAATTATTTAGTTTAGAGACTCTAAGAAGAGTTATGCTCTGGCCCATTTGCACTAAAAGTGCTTCAAGGTGATTAGAAAAGGAAGTACTTTCTAATGGAGTCCCAAAAGTTATTATTCTCAAAGATCAACTATTTTGTTTGAGAAAATTTAGGTGAATTATATAGGTCACTGTATTAAGGCAACCTTAGGTTAAATTATTTTCTATATATAGACTTTAAATACTGGAATTTAAAAACAAGAAGCTGAAAAGCTGCATAGGAATGGGTGAAAAAATGGGGGTAGGGAGGCAATACTGGGGTTTGAACTCAGGATTTCTCACTTGTTAGCAGGTGCTATACAACTTGAGCCACTTCACCAGCCCTGTTTTGTGTTGAGTATTTTTGCAATAGGTTCTAGTGAACTATTTGCCTAGGACTGGTTTTGAACTGAGATCCTTCTGATCTCTGCTTCCTTAGTAGCTAGGATTGCAGATGTGAGTCACAGATGCCTGGTCCCAGCTCATTGAGATGAGGTATCACTAATGCACAGGCTGGCCTCAAACCATGGTCCTCCGAATCTCTGCCTTCCTACTAGGTGGGATTACAGGCGTTCACCACCATACAAGCTTTTCTTTTTCTTTTTAAAAAATTTTTGGTGGCACTAGGGTTATGTTATTGAGCTCAGGGTCTCATACTTGCTACTCAAGCGTCTTCCACTTGAGCCATACCCCTCACCCTATGAAATTTCTTATTCTATGAAAAAATCATAACTCAATTAGTTTGGATTATTGTTCAGTCACTAAATGGATACTTTCCTCCAGGATTTATATACTTACTTGATTCACAACCTCGTATTAGAATTTTATTAGGCTGTAATACAATCCTGGAGGGCAGGAACTGTCACATAACTCGTAACTACCAGTGTTCTACAGTAGAACACTGTGTGTAGAACAGTTGTTCTACAGATAAGTGGTGGATAAATAACAACACTTACTGTATTTTTCTTAACGTTGCCCCAGATAATGCCATTTCTTTTATGATTTTTTTGCATACGATAAACGTATTTATCACAATCATCCCTGTTTGAATACAAAATAATGTTGTCAATGTAAACAATCATACTTTTATTCATAGGTCAAATAGCAATTGACAAAAATCTATTTTAAAGTCTGGATTTTCTTTTCTATTTTAATGAGAATGGTGTGCCTGTGGAAATGGACAAAATACTTTAATTCCATTGGCAATGCTGACTGAGGATATTCTAGGGAATAGTGTTTAGCTTATTGTTTCTGTCCATCTGTGCTCTTTCCCATTTCCCTCTATGCTACCTCGTTTCCAAAACTCTCTTAGTTCTTGTCGTTGACTCTCTTCTGTCATTTACCCCTTTTTCTTCCTTCCTTCTTCCTTCCTGTAATTTAGAATAAGTTTCACGGTTGATCACCTTAAGGATATTGCTGGTGATGACAACCCTCAATTTCTATCTTCCAGTTGTGCAACTGTGTTGTGTTTTCAGTCCAGCTTATTTAAGTTTAGTAGCCCTTTTATTTCTACATAATCATGTTTCTTGAATTTCCCATTTCAACTTGAAGATTTTAATTTTTGTTCCCATGTCTTTACCTTATCTCTTCTGCTCATTCTTAGCAAGGAAATTTGACTTACAGTTTACAGATAATAGAAGCCAAAGCAAATGGTTGCTTTCAGCTCCCAGTTATACAGCTCCTAGTCCTACTAACGTCAAGCAATTCCCATCTTCTCCATTGGCCCCAAAATATTTTGTTGTTGTTGGCACTGGAATTTGAACTCAGGGCTTCATGCTTGCAAAGCATGTTCTCTACTGCTTGAGCCACACCTCCAGTCCACTGTGCTCTGGTTATTTGGAGATGGGGTCTCAAGAACTATTTGCCCATGTTGGCTTCAAACTGCAGTCCTCCCAATCACAGCCCCCAAGTAGCTAGGCTTATAGGTGTGAGCCACTTGGCCTGGCTGGATCCAAGATCTCCTGTGTATGATCTGTTATCTTTTCTCCTTCATGGCTATTTGGATGTTAACCTCAAAGGTATGATATGCAATAATTTGTAAATGTGTGATTATATTAAATTACTTATCTTAAACACAAACACGGCTGTACAGCAAGTGAGTAAACCTAGTCATTTGCTAGCGAGTTGCTTAACAAATGTATAGCCCTAGCCAGGTCAGGAAAAGCACCTCACAAGAAGACTCTCCATACAACAAAGCTAAGTTTTTCACTTTTGAAGTGACAAAATGTTTCATTATTTAAAATTGTTATAAAAAGTAAGCCAACTACTGGAGCTGGTAAAGTCAAGAGCTAGATAATTGTTTTCTTATAAAGTTTTAGGAAACATCATTTTATAATATAAGTGAGTCTATCATGTATGTAAGAAAACTGTCATAATTTCCTTAATTGTAGAAGTGATACAAACTGCAGAAAATACCCTCCTACCCCAAAACAAAACATACAATTCACACCACTGTCATTCTGCAGCCTCTAAATAATGGCTGATGTTGATAGAAACAAAAAGTCCTCCCTTTCTCATGAATTCATGTCGTATAGAATTGGAATTGGGATCATACTACATGTATATAGGGTTTTTTTTTCCTTTTTTGGTGCTACAGGAATTTGAACTCAGGGCTTCACACCTGCTGGACTGGCACTCTACCACTTAAGTCATGCCTGTAGCCCTTTTTTGCTTTAGTTCTTTTTCAGACAGTGCCCTGAGTTTTTGTCCAGGGTCAGTCTCAGACTGATCTTCCTACCTATGCCTCTGGTGTAGCCGGGATTATAACCAGCACCACCATGCCCAGGTTATTTGTAGAGATGAGAGTTTTAACTTTTTGTTCAGGCTGGCATTGAATCACCATTCTCTGGATTTCCATCTCCCAAGAAGCTAAGATTACAGGTGTGAGCCATAGCACCCAGCCTTATTTCAAACCTTATAAAGACTTCCGTCTGTAATCCACTGAACATTTTCCATGTCATTAAAAATTATTAAAGACATGAGTTTTTTAAAGTTTTGAGACAGGATTCACCATGTAAACCAGGCTAGACTAGAAATTATGGCGCCTGCCTCAGCCTTCAGAATGCTAGGATTACAGGTATGTACTATGACACCCAATGAAAGGCATGATTTTTTTCCCCTTTTTTTGGAGTACTGGGGCTTGAACTCCGGGCCTTCACCTTGAACCACTCCACCTACTCTATTTTTGTGAAGGGTTTTTCAAGATAGGGTGCTGCCAATTATTTGCTTAGGCTGGCTTCAAACTGTGATCCTCCTGATCTCTGCTTCCCGAGTAGCTAGGAGTGCCTGGCAAAAGGCATGATTTTTAATATTATCTATCATTTTGTTATATGGACAGGAATTTTGTAACTCTTCCCTTCTTTTTGGACTTTAAGGCCATTGTCAAATTTCCAATATGCTGTTTTTTAGTGTCTTTGTTCATACAACTATGAGTACATACTTGTCGAAATTTCTTATTTCCTTAGAACCAATAAAATTCGTATTCTAAGGCTTTTAATGTTTGAGCCAAAGTGTTTTATCGTCAACTTTGTCCAAAATTAAACTCAGTATGCTTTCACTTGTAATAAATATTTAAACAAAAATTAATTTGTGGATTTCAGGGGAAAAATTATTTTTCTCCAGAAAGTACAAATTGAGCTTCATGAGAATACTGAATAATTTTTTTCTCAGTCATTATTTGGTTTCTGCCTCTCACAGTACACAAACTGCTCTTCTTATGATCAACATTGGCCTTTGAATTGCCAAACAGAAAAGTCTATTTTTGAGCCTCATTCTTGCTACTTTCTGTCTTTCTCTGACATGTAACTGTTGGCCTCTCCTGTTGCTTTTTTTTTTTTAAATATTTCAAATAGTTCCTAATATCAATATGGTTCAAAGTTCAAGTCTTCCTATTCACCATTAGATACCTTAGTTTCTCCACCTAAAGATCACCAATTGTTCAACTCCTTACGGGTCTTTTCAGGTCTATCTAATAAAAGCAATTATGTATATGCACATAAATACAAGTATATATAATCAGGTATCTTGGCTCATTGCTGTAACCCCAGCAACTGGGAGGTCAAAGCAGGAGATCAAGAGTTCAAGGTCATCCTGGGCTACCTGGCACACAGATCATGTCAAAAGACAACAAAAGCTTCAATTATACAAATATATATGCATGCACACCATATATAGCCTCTAGCATATTAGTCAGTGTTTCCAGCTATATATGTCAGAATTTATTTAATTATTCCCTATAGATATTTGAATTTTACCATTATGTACATTCGCAATTCTATGGGCTGGGGACGTGATTCAAGAGCACCTGTGTAGCAAGCACAAGGCCTTGAGTTCAAACTCCATCCAGTACCACCAAAAAAAAAAAAAAAAAATCCCATAGTTGTGGGATTCCTGGGCCAAAGGGTGTATGAGTTTATTATGTTGATAGTTACTACTGACAAATTGTTGCTACAGGATTGTACTGATTTACCTTCTCATTAACAGTGCATGAAAAGGCTTCTGTTTTCTTCTTAATTTACAGTAGTGCTAAATATATTAAGAAATTAACATTCTGTCTGTGATAAATTACATTACATTCTTTTCTCAGATCATTTATCTTTCAGTTGTGTATGGTGGTTGCTACCAGGTAAAACTTAGTAAAACTATCTATCTTTTTGTTGGTGGCTTCTGAGTTTTGCATCACAGTTAGAAAGACCTTTGTGGGGCTGGAGATGTGGCTCAAGTGGCCCTAAATTTAAAACCCCAGTAATGGGGGAAAAAACCAAAAAAGACCTTCATGATATGAGATTATAATTCTCCACAAAGATTCTTTAGGATATTTTTACATGTAAAACTATCCATTTGGAATTTATCCTAATGTAAAATATGAGCTCTATCACAACACTACATTGAATGTCAGCCCTAACTTACTGAAACTGTCCATCCTTGACTTTCAGGAACTATTCATTCTTCACTCTTCATTTTCATAATGATAACTTTCCTTTTTAATTCATTTGTATTTCTCAATTCACAAAATGTTTAAATGTTCCTTAACATGCTAATGCAGAAAATTAAAACATCACACATGTGTTTACCTTTTTATAGTGGCTAGCATGCCAGGACTGACATGCTGACACTGAGGAGTTTTTGCCAGTGGAAAGATAACTGATGATGGAGTTGCTGGATTTCTGTCCATGTTCGGCAAAAAATCATCGTCATCTTGATTATACTGGAAACTTGGCAACTAGAGAACGTACACTTTTAGAAGGCACTCACAGAAATACATTTTGTCATTATCACAAAATGAGTTTTGGTGGGCTGATAAGTTGTTTTCTTCCTTATAATTTTCCCAATCAGATAATTAAAAACAATAGATGACAAGCCTTGTTCACCTGTCATTGTAGCATGAAAGCTGTGATTCACAGTATCCAAACAAATGGGCATGTCTGTGTTCCAATAACATTTTGTTCATAAAAACAGATGATAGGCTGGATTTGGCTCACACCTTAGGTGTAAACAGAATAAAACAAAACTGCAATTCATTTACTATTGTGCTGGTACTTAGTAGTAATTCCAGCATTATTAAACTTTTTTGCATATATATTGCCAATACATAATTCAATCCTTCAGTTTTTATTTACTTCCTTAGAGCACTTGGCAAAAGCTGTTTCTTCCTCCTACCTAACTGGTTCCCCACGTGCACTCACATGTGACCTCCTCCCTCCACCTGGGAATCAGAATCAGAAGCCCCTTCCTCAGATTCTCTTCAACATACTGCCTGCCCCTCAGTGTGGCACCTACCCTCTCTATTTGTAAATTAAGCTTTATTGGAACACATACACAAAATTTTTACTTACCTTTATAGTAAAACCATAAAGTAGCCATGCCCATAAAACCTTAAGAGGCTGAGGTTGTGAGTGTGAGGCTGGCATGGGCTACACAGCAAGACCCTGTCTCAAAAACAAAAAGAAAAATACCAAAGAGAGCAAAAGTGGGCACATATTACAGAAAATGGGCTAAATCATTACTTTTTGGGACTCATGGTTTTGCTATGTAGCCCAGGTAGCCTGGAACATGCAGTCCTCATACCTCAGCCTCCCAGTGCTGGGATTATAGCTGTGTACTAATACTCCTGGCTTTCAATTTCAATTTTTTTTTCTTTTTTAAAACCTGTTTCTAATGTTGCTATGTATTTAGGTCAAAACATGTATTTTTTTTTTTTTTTTAAAACCTCTGTACCTTTGTAGTGGTGGTGTTTTAACTCAAGGTTGCTAGGCAAGCACGTTACTACTTGGGCTGTATCCCCTTCCCCCATACATACATCTTTAGAAGATTAAATGATGCTGCAGTAAGATAAAGGTAAAACCCATAAAGGATCATGTTGTGAGGACCACAGATGGCTCCCTTAAAATACCTCCTTCTACAACTAGTATAAGCAAAAATAGGCCAAAATAATGTTAAACTCAGTAAAAGAACTGGATTGTCTTTTTTTTTTTTAATGACAAAGTTTTTGAATTCAGGGGCCTTACACTTGCTAGGCAAATGCTCTACTACTCTAGCCATGCCCCCAGCAGCTTTTTAAAATTAAAGATAAGTTGATGACAATATTATGAAGTTGGTGGGCTAGAGGCATGGCTCAACAGTAGAGCACCTGCCTAGCAAGCAGGTGGCCCAGTACTGCCAAATGATTTTTTTTTTAAATTAAAATAAATAGTAACCATAAAGCCCTGAGTTCTAACTCCAGTACTACTCAAAAAAAGAAAATTGGTAGCTGAAAACATTGCCCTTAAGTCTAGCTCACTAATTCAACTCGTTCAATTTTTACACTTAACAACCTAGTTGCCAACATCCCTACATTCATTTTTACTTAATACACTTAACACAGAGATTCTAGAGTCTTATATTTGTGCTACTTAATATACTGTATTCACTACATTTAAGAAAAGCAGTTTTAGATATGTAGATTATTTACCTTTTTTTGCTTCTGATTTCTTAAGATAAATTCTCAAGAACAGAGTTAGTCTTTTTTGGACTTTGTAATATATTGCCATAATGCTTACTAAAAGGTATGATCTACTCATGCATGCATGACTGTATTATTATCAGACTTGCTTTTATTTGCAGTAGATATTTCAACTTATTTTTTGAAAAAGATTCTCTAAACTGGGCCTGGCAACGCAGCCTGTAATTCTAGCCTTGGAAGGCTGAGGCAGGTGGTGACAAGTTGAAAGCCAGCCTGGAATAAACAGTGAGTCCCTATCTCAAAAAAATTAAAAGTTATACATATAATTTATTTTCTTGGTTGATAGCTAAAATGACTATTTCCTCAAATGTTTCTTCAACCTTTTAAATTTCTTTTTGCATATATTTTGCTATGTTCTGGATACTTTTTATTATTCTAATAACATTTCAATGAGGTCATTTTATGTGTTAATGGCTTTGTTGTATTTACTACAAATACTTTATTCTAATCACTTAAGTTTTTGATTATGATACTTTTCATACAACAAAAATTTTTTACACTGAACTGTGTTAATCACTTGCTATACAGTACATAATAGATGGTTATCATCTTAAAAGTTTTTACCTCATAGCTTATTAAATTTTATCATTTTCTCTTTTGGTTGAAAGTATTTGTACTTATTTATGGGATATAATGTTAAAAAATTTGATACATGTATATAATATGTAATAACCAAATCACAATAACTGAAACTTCTCTTTCCTTGATTATCACTTCTCTGTTGAGACCCTTCTAACTCTTATACCATAAAATTTTGATACTACAACTTTGTAGTAGTATCAAGTATGGTGATGCTTCCTGCTTAATTTTTTAAAATTTGTTTTGTTTTTACTTAGGATTTGATTTTACTTAGGATTCTGTGTCTTTTGTGGCTCCTTATGAGTTCTGTGATTTTTTTTTTCCCCCTTAATTCTATGTAGAATGCCACTGGTGCTTTGTAGGGGGACTGCACTGAATTGAGAGATCACTTTGGATAGCATGAACATTTTTACAATATTAATTCTTCCAATCCAGAAGTGTGGGAAGGCTATTTTTTAGTGTCCTCTGATTTTTTTCATTAGTGTTTTGTCATTTTTATTGTAAAAAATCTTTTACTTTCTTGGTTAAATTTATTCCTTTTTCTAGTTTTGGGTCTTCTTTTTTTCCCCCTCTTTTGGGATATTGTGAATGCAATGCTTTTTAAGTTTTTTTCATCACTTCCAACAGTTTAAGGTGAAATCTACATAAAATCAATTTTACAGCCCTCACCCTGCCTAGTTTCTAAATGAGTATCATGTGGGCTACCTGTACTACATAGATCTCAATGTGGAATCATATGATATGTAGGCAATTTTTTAAATAACAGAGCCAGACCACCTGTCCACTGTAGAGAACCCAGCATGGGGCCCGGGTACTGCAATCACAGTTGCACTGCTGGGTCTAGTTGGGTTTGTGAAGTTGTACCCTGCCTATCCTACTGCAGTGGAATATCTCTAGGGCCCCAGGAAAGAATAGGGATACACACAGAGGCCTCTGTTTGTTCCCTGTTCTCAAGTTACTGCCCATCTACAGCAGTCTAGGCTCTCAAACTACAGTTATACACTCCTTGTGTTACTGTTTGTGGAAGAAAATATGAGTGCTGGGAACCTGTATTTGACCATGTTGGAATCTTCTTAAATTATGCGTGTGTGAGCGCATGTGCACCTTATGTGTGTTTATGAATATTTGCCCTGTTTCTCCATTTTATGTTTAGTTTTTCAGCATTACTTCTGAATCACTAAAAAAAACTTTAGAAGCTGGTGGGAATGATACAGTAGATTGATTCCTGTACTATTCATTGCTCATGCATGTAGCAGCTACAGATCCTTGGACTAAATATTAGTGATGAAAGAATTATAAAAATTGAAAAATATGGAAGTAAATATAAAGAAAATAATGACTTCCCATATTTGAGACTCTTACCAGTATTCTTTGATTCTGCAAAGGTGTTGTACTGAAAAAATCATCATGGTCATCTTTTGGCAAATGTTCCAGAAAATCCCTCATTTGTTGCTTCCTTTTAAGAGTTCCCACTTTGGCAGTTATATTAATAGTTGGTTTCTTATCAGCATTGTCTCTCTCACCTTAAAAGCCAACAAAATATTTTGATAAGGATGTTTATATTAACTGCTTTATAAAGTTAAGAGCCTCCTGTTATTTTAAAAGTTTCCTACCTAACAAATGGTTCCTTTTACACTGAGATCTGTGTAACATGATCAGCCCACGATTCTCATAGAGAGACTATGTAAGACCAGACAAGGTGAGGTTAGAAAGATGGTTGTACGTGAGAAAGGCTATCTCTCACACCTGTTACTAAATGCCTGATTCACTGAATGTGCTAAAATAGAAATCTCAATGAATTATCATAGCAATACTCTCTAAAACTTATTAATAGGCCTTTTCTGGCATAAACACTTTTTAGTAGCAACCATTGACAAGACTGTGTAGTTCTGGAGCTATAAAACTAAACTTATTCTTAGTTTTCGCATATATTACTAAGGGGCCCTAACCATGTGGTCTTAAATTAAATTAGACCCTTAGAACAGTAATTCACATACTGAAATCTCTGTAGCCAGTTTCAGGTTTCCTAGTATAAATTAAAAGCACAAGGCTATTAATCTGTTATTTGTGGAAATAGCTAGATTGGGTAAGACTTAAACAAATGATCTTTAAAGTTGTTTCTGGCTTTACCATTTTGAGAAAGTATCTGTAACAAGATTCACAGATAAATGTTACATGAATTTGGTGAGTAGTTAAAAATCTACACTGAACACTTAGAGAGCACTATTACTAATGTTACCATTTTGGACTTTGGAAATGGCTTTCTTTTTCTTAGTGACATGTTTCCCGGATCCTTTTCCTTGAGGATCTTCCGTGTATTTCCTCTGGCATTCCTTAGCAGTTCGAGAACCTACTGCCATAGCTACATCTGTCCAGAAACCGGGTTTGTGCTTTGGAAGAGATGCAAAAGCACTATGGAAGATCAAATTCAGTTAAGGATCAAGAAATTCAAATCAATAAAGATAATCAGAAAGCATACCACTGAGTTAATGAAATTTACTGGGTTGAAGGAATTTTATCAAAATCATTCTAGACAACTATTTGGGAAAAGACCTTATTTCATCTACTCAGTAAATTTTTGCACTTAAAATATGAAGATGTAATTTTATATAGGCAACTATTTTTTGTGTTCTATTAAGCCCGAAAAATCTCCCAGTCTTTGAGCATTTTTTTTGTAAGTCAAACTAGTCAATGATTTGATCTTTTGGAAAACTGGCATAACTAACTTTTTGCAGTTTCTTAAATCTTACTGTTGTGACGTGTACTCAAAGATACTCATATACAGTTCAAGTTATAAACTATTTACCACAAAGTTTTATCCTTACAGAGAAAGGAGTGAAGGTAGAAGATTGGGTGGACATGATCAATGCATGATGTATGCATGTATAGAAATATCATATTGAATTCCATAATTTATATAATTAATGTGTTAATAATAATTATAATAAAGAAAATACAGTTGGGTATATCCTGTCCAAAATAAAAAATGTTTTATGCTTGATCTCATACAAATGTAACTTGTACAACTTGGTATTTTTGCAAAAATGCTCACAAAATTGAATTGAAAAAACAAAACCCTAAATATAACATAGCTCCCAATTCAACATAAAAGTTCACTTGTAAAGGAATACTTGTTTACTAGTATATGTATATCCACTTCCCTCCCCCAACAAAAAATTTTTTATAGTGTAGTTAGAATGACATTTTGGCCAGAAAATACCTAAGTTAAAAAGATAAGTAAAAATGATACAAGTTGAATATCCCTTATCTAAATAGTTTTGGGAGCAGAAGTGTTTCTGATTTGTGTATTTTTTTGGGGGAGTGAGGGTGTGGAATATTTGCATATTCACAATGAAATATCTCAGGGATGAGATCCAAATGTGAACATCAAATTAATTTGTTTCATACATACCTTACACACATAGACCACAGGTAATTGTTTGATTGCTTGTTTTATGGAGTGGGGTTTGAACTCAGGTCCTCACACATGCTAGGGAAGCATTCTACCAGTGAGTTATATCCCCTTCTAAAGGGTAATTTTATATAATTATTTTATTGCACTTGAGTTTTGACAGTGACAGGGTATTTTCCTCTGTGGTATTTTGTCAGTACTCAAAAAGTTTCAGATTTTGGAGCATTTTGTATTTTCAGATTAGGGATACTGAACCTGTACTAACTATTCTTTCAACTGCATCATGTCTTTATTTTAAATACTGTTTATTTGACAAATATACAGCAGCCCTCCATATCTGTAGTTCCATATCCATAGACTCAACTAAAATATTCAAAAGAAATTTCCATATGTAATGAACATGGACTTTTCTTCTTGTCATTATTCCCTAAATAACTTTGAGGAATAAGAAAAAGGTTACTTTCTCTGCTTGAAAATAAGGCAGAAGAGGAATGTTTAGGAAAGTGAAGAGTACAGTCAGAGGTACCTCAGCTATAATATTTTGGAGAGAGAGGGATGAGATAAAATGATAGTGGAGATGGACCTAACCAAGGTACGTTGTAAGCATATATGGAAATGTCACAATGAAACACCCTTGCACAACTAATATATGCTAATAAAAATGTTTTAAGAAAAACAAAGAATGCTTGAAGAAAGTAGATTTGAAACCAGGTAGGATGACACACACCTGTAATCCCAGACCCAGGGAGACAGAGACTGGAAGATCCTAATTTCAAGCCCAGCCTGGATTACTTAGTGAGAGCCTGTCTCAAAAAAGAAACAAAACAAAACAAAGAGGGAGGAAGAGAGTGGAGAGAGAGAGTGAGTGAAAGTGAGTGACAGTGAGAGAAGAGAGAGAGAGAGAGAGGAAGAAGATGTGACATGAATTTCAAATGTATATGGTTGGAAGGGCACACAGGAAATGTAACATTGAATATGGAATGTTCCTGTGTTATTCTCTCCTTTATCAGTCACATCTTCCTCTCTGTCTACTAGATCATGCCCATCAGCCTACCACTATAAACTGGCATCTGCCATCTTACAAATAAGGAAGTAGGCACCAAACAGCTTCCTTATTTTCAGACTCCTTTCTATTACCCCTGAATTTTTCTATTCTCCATCTTTGTCAGTTTTCTTGTATGGCCCACTTAAGTTGCCTTTAGCTTTTTATCCTCCTCCCCAACATTCGGTCTTCACAATTATGAGCTGGTTTCCCACCATTACACACTGAAACCACTTGTCAAGTCTGTGGAGCCAAATTCAGTCCTTATTAGACCTGATTTATCAACAACAGTAAAAACAATGAATCACCCCTATTCATGAAAAATTTTCATTATTGACATCATTATATTGGTAATGGTTACAAGTCATTCTGTTTTTTATGTGTTTAACTGTTTTTGTAGTCACTGCAGATAGTTCAGAGTCAAATCTAAGTACTTACCAATGAAGTTTCTGCAATTCCTTCTCATCCCATTCTTCATCATGATTTAAGCCAGGTAAATGTTTTAAGGGTTGCTTACTAACTTTATCAGATTCCACTGCCTCAATAACCAGAAACTCATTCTCACCACCAGATTTTGGAAAAGTTTCTTTGGCAGAAGACCGAGCTTTCTTTTGCTTGTTATGAAATTCAGTTTCACTCTCCTCAGTTTCAGATTCTGAAATCAGTAGGATATCCCTTGTGGGATCTCTTAGGTTTCTTCTCACTGTTTCTTTGATGTTTCGTGCTCTGGTTTTCTTAACCCCAGCTTTCCTTCTAATTTCATTTTCTGTTTCACTCTCTTCACTTGACAAATCTGATGAAGGATGATGATTGTAAGATGATCTAGCTACTTGGTTTTCAGTTTTCTTCAATTTTGATAGCAAGTTGTTATTTTTCTTAAAGTCATTGGTGACCATTTGTTTATTATTAGGGCTAGGCAGGTTTTGGTTGATAGTGAGCAAATCATATTCATTGCAATCTTCCTTGTTTTTGCTTTTATAGCTCCTACCATACTCAAGTATATTTCCTAAAGTTCCTATGGACTTATTAATGGCACTTACAGTTTTATTTAAGTCTGACTCACTTTCTCCTTGATGTTTTGATACTGAAAACTCTGTTACTGCTTTAATGGTGTCAGAAGACAGATTATACTTCATGCATCTTTGCTCTATCACTTTTTTAGTTTTAAGTGGTGTTAATAAAATGCAAGCTTCCTTCTGACTAACATCCATGTATTTTCTTTCTTCATCTGAGAAGAACTGTTCTCCTGAGGTTAGAATATCAATAGGTACATTCACTTCTTCAGCTCTCTCTTAAATTTCGTAAGACAAAAACCAAAGATCAAAATCTCAAATTAGCTATAAACAAATGTAACCATAAAATATATTATACCTTACTGCCATATTAATCTTTCTGAAGCACAGGACTATTCAGATCACTGCCCTTTCAATTCTAAACATACATAATTATTTATACAAACTTGCTAATGACTTCTCAGTCTATGATTTAAGTTCATCTGCCTGGCCTTTAATATAGTGTCAATTTCTCACTACCCTCAATTCTAAGTGCAGTTCTCTAATTTGACACTTAAGAAACCAGAAGCCAAAGTAACAATTAAAATTTTAATTTAAATTATTCATTACAAGTGCATATAAATTGCAAATGGTCACATCAATCATCACAGTGAAATACTGCAGTTACCCACATATTACATGCCATTGTTTACAAAATAGACAACAAAATGAAAGACTAATGGGTAGTACTGAATGCTGGGGAAAAAAGTCTCTAAATTATAATTTATGGAGAAGTGGTATGAATCTAAAGTAATCTAAAAAGTTCCTACAAGATCTTACCCAGGTGCTGGTGGCTTATGCCTATAATCCTAGCTACTAGGGAGGCTGAGATTGGAAGGATTGTGGTTCAAGGGCCAAGAGATTAACCAATAGCTAGGCACTGTGGTTTGTGCCTGTCATTCCTAACTACTTGAGAGTCTAAGATTAGGAAGATCATCGTTCAGGGCAGCCCAGACAAAAATGTTTGGCAGACCCCATCTCAATGGAAAAAAGCTGCACATGGTGGCATGTGCCTGTCATCCTAGCAACAGTGGAAATCGTAAAAGTGGAAGATTATGATCTAAGCTAGTCTGTGCCAGAAGGGAGACTGTATATGAAAAATAACCAGAGCAGAAAGGACTGGAAGCTTGGCTGAAGTGGTACGGCACCTCCTTAGCAAGAGTGAAACTGAGCCCAAACTCTACAACCACACCCCGCCCACCCCCCCAAAAATCTATAAGATTTTTCACTGTCACCATATATCTACACGTTATGAGGAAAAAATTTTTCTTTCAATTCCTCATAAAAATCCAACTCAAGCATTCATTTGGAAATTTGAGAATTGTGAATGTTCTAATTTTAAAGAAAACATTTCTAGTCAGAATATTTTTATTCGTGCATCCTTCGATAGCTCAGCTGGCAGGGCAGAGGACTGTAGAATATTTTTATTTATTTTGTTGAATAATCTGAATAAAGATTTAGCCTATTCTGGATATTTTAACCTAACTTGCTTTTCTCTCCACTTCTTTGAACACTTAAAAAAATGTTCTTCATTTTTATTTCTTTTCAGTTATGAGAAAAAATAAAATAGAAAAAATGTTATTAAACTGATAGATTTTTGACTCAGCATGTAAGGGCAGTGCAGATTTGCCCCAGTTCTTTTGCTTATATTTTTGTCGTTTAGATAGGGTCTCATTAAGTTTGCCTGGGCTGCGCATGAAGTAGCTATCCTTGCCTCTGCCTCCTGAGTAGCTGGGATTCAGGTATGTAGCACCATCCCTAGCTTCTTGAATTTGAAGCCTTGAACTTGCTAATATTTAGAGAAAAGCCTTTATATTTTGGTACACAGGACCTCAATTAAATCACTCTGAAAATCCACATTTATAGAAAACTAAATTATGGTATTAATTTCATAAAAAGAATCAGTCTTTAAACATTCCCATAAGCATAAAGTGATGTATAATTATATACCTTGGTTCTGATTTTTAATTATCCTTTTATTTATTCCTTTACAATTTTTGAGTTTCTTTGAAGATAATTTTTTATGTTCTTCTTTTCCAATTAATTCCTTCAAAACAAAAAGACAGGTTGCTTTTATTTTAGCAACTAATAGCTAAACATAACTTCAAGCATTTTCACAGCATGCATCAAGTGCACAAACTTCTACATACTTGTAATTGTGCAAATTTCATTAATGGGAACACTTCATTACTCAGAAACTCTTCTGCTAGAGCACCATCTGGGTATCCAGTATCCTACAAAATTCCTTCATTGATTTAATACTATGTGGCTTTTCCAAGTGCTTTTTTATATACTTTATATAAAATAAGCTTTATTCTAAAAGCTAAAGTAATCTGTTATTGCTGCCTATACTTTTTCAGTGAAAAATGGGGAAAATAAGTACTAAAACATTTACCTTTAATTCCAAAGTTAATGAAAAGCTGTGAAAATTAAAGGAAAATTATTAAAAAAAAACACTGAGTGAATTTTAAAATGGAGTCTGGAGACTTTTGAGGGAGCACTTAGGGTTATTTCTGAGTGTAGGCAGCTAGAATAGATAATTACAGTGTTCCCAGTGTAAAGATGAATAAATTTATTGGTTTCTTCTTCTATGGACAGTTTTTTACTAAGTATATACTTTTGGGAAGAGTGATCAAACTCAGGATTTCCATCACACTTTGCAAATATCATTGTGCTTCATCCCCAGCCCCGTGTTTTTCTTTACCTTCTATTGATCACCTAGCCCCTGTCATAGCCCCCTGTTCTCAATTCCATCAGCAGTTCCCTCAAAACATAATTTTTATTGCCTTGTAGTAAGTCAACATCATTTGCTCAATATAAGCTCTCATTTTCCTAACCTTCTCTGGAACACTGACTTAGAACTACTTGAATCTGTGTTTTCTGAACTTCAATTCCTAAGATCTCAAATAAAGACACTCCCTCCTTTTTCTGGGGTTTGAACTCCAGGCTTCATGCTAGCTAGGCAGGTGCTCTATCACTTAAGTCACACCCTCAGCCATCAAAGCCCTTTTTACTTTTGTAGTTTCTGATTTTGGATTGATCAGCAAAACTGATACTTAACAGAACTTGTGTCTTTTGATGTTGTAATGGGTGCTTAAATGCTGCTTTTTGCTGAGGAGTACTGACTCCTTACTTGGGCCCACAAATGAACTAAAGGCAGAAACAGATGATTGTGACATCCCTTTTCCATAAAAACGGAAGGAACAAATTGACAGTAGGGAAAGTGTAACCTGGACTACAAAAGCGAAAACGTTTTGGTTGTAGCCAGTTTGCATGTTGGCCAGTTACTATGCCTTTTATTCAAACTAAAATTTTCCACATTGTCTGTGTCTCTGTCTCTCCCCACATGTTAGAGAACCCATGATTAACACTCGTTACTTTTCAATTAAACCAGGCAGTTTTTCCCCCTTATCTTTAACCACCAAGGAATAAACCTCTACCAACAAAGGCATATGCTTTGAAGATCTGGTACCAGGAGACTGGGAGATAATAGCCAAAGTTTTGGGACTTGTGTTATGTCATGTACTCAAATTGACCCTCTGAACTCCCCCTTTAAAAAGTGGACATTTAACTGGGCAACAGTGGCTCACGCCTGTATTCCTAGCTACTTGGGAGGTTGAAATCTGGAGGATCGTGGTTCAAGGCCTGAAAGACACCCATCTCCAAAATAACCAGACAAAAATGGACTCAAGGTATGGCTCAAGCAGTAGAGCACCTGCTTTGCAAGTGTGAAGCCCTGAGTTCAAACCCCAGTCCCACTAAAACAGAAAAAAAGAAAACACAGATATTTTCTCTCAGGAGGGAAATGACAGAGCTTTGAGAAGTTGATTCTCCCTGTCCTCCTCCTTGATGAATAATAATCCATTATTTCCTTTTCCTTAAAACCCTGCTCTATTTGTGAATTGGATTTGAGGTCAGGGGACCTGGTAACAATGTGGTCCCCAACCTTTTTCAAGTGCCATATCAACACTTTAAACATCGAAGAGTGTACAGTAATGCCTTACCTGATTAGATAAATCACATCCTCCTCCATTTTGATAAGTAGTATTTATTTGATCTTGTGGGAGCCTTAATGGTGGTTTACTTTGGCAAATTCTATAACCAGTGTTTATTTCTGTAGCTCCTGGCAACCTACTGTGCTTATTATTCCATTCTGTGAACACAAAGATGGAGAGTTAAATGATTGCATCAAAAGGAGCTGCTTCAACCAGGCATAGTGTTGCATGTCTGTAATCCCAGCATCCTGGAGCCTAAGGCAGGAGGATCAAGAGTTCTAGACCAGCCTGAGCAACACAGAGACACAGAGAGAACCTGTCTTAAAAACAAAACAAAGCAGATAAGCTCCTTATCCACATTAAAGAGCTAATTTTGAAAAAAAATCTGTCTAATTCAATATCACAATTATTCATTATAATTTGATTACAATGAGAAGCAATTTTATTTGACAGAATTACTCTCTAAGGTAAGATTTTATTCAGATCACTTTTATTTTCTTAAAAAAAAAGTGGAGAGCCATATTATTTAAGTGTTTTGAACCTTTTTTTCATGGACAGAACAGTAAGATTAACTCATTTTGTAAAAACAAATTTATGTTTCTGTCACCAGATGAGGGATGAGGGTTCCCTCGGCTTCCCAGTGTCCATGCAAAATCGTAGGTACACATCAGATAGAAAAATCTGTTTACATCCCGTTTGGTCTTGGAGCCTAAAGGACAGATGAGTGAGTATCCCATCCCCCATGGACAGCACTACGAGCCCTGCACCCTGAAAAGGTGGTAGAGGGCCTCATCAATCTGCCACAGGGCTGATAAACAGAATGCTCTCGAGGTTGTTTCCCCCCAATAAGGGGCAAACAGACCAGCTCATCGAACAGAGCCTATGCATGTGAATCCACAGCTCATGGAAGAAAACCCACCATCCCTTACCCTAGCCCAGAGTTAAAGCATCCATAAAAAGCCCCAGTCTTCACCTGATCAGGGAGCCACTGGTTTCTGAGCTCCGCTGTACTGTTCTAGCTGTAGCCTTTCCTTTTTCTCTAATAAATCCTACTTTGTGTACCGGCCTTGTCTTACAAGTCAATCAGCTGCCTCACGAGCCAGTTCTCTGGCTGTGAAAAAGCAAGGACCGTCCATACCGGCCTACAACATTTCACACTGTCAGGTAACAATCTTTTATCTGTTTACTTCACTAATGATGTCATCCTTTATAGATGTTAATTTCTTTTACAAAAGGTCAACCTTTCAGCATTAATGCTGTCTGCAGTTTCTCAGAAGAGCCTCTATGAAGTAAGCCAAAGAAATATATATACCATGGCAGCTTATTTTGGGGTCCCATAATATGATGTAAGCTCAACAAATGGTTATTGAACTAAAATTATAGATGAGTTAAAAAAAGCCTCATAAAAAGAATGAAGACTTCTCCCACTACTTTTTAGAGACATGTCTTGCAATGTAGTCCATGCTAGCTTGGATAATAGCATGAAGCCTAGGCTGTCTTCCAACATGACCCTCCTGCCTCAGCCTTCTGAGAGAAGGCATTACAAACCTGCGCCACATCTCCTAAAATTAAAGACATCTTTTTATTATTCTTTAAAAACTGTAAAGATATACAATGTATGGTTCCAAATTCTTAGGAATATTATTACATAGTAGAGGAGGTTAATATTAAATAGATCATTTATAATATACTCTGGTAAGTATAATAACAGATAATGTACTTCAACAACAATACTGTGATAAAGTGGTTACAGCATTAAATATGAAAAATTACAGTTTAGGTAAATCATTAAACACAATTGTGGGTTTACACTTGTTTAGTGTTAGGCACAGTTTTGCTTTAGATTTGTCATAGAAAGTATAATGATACTGGTAATAATAAAAACAGCTAACAATTTCATAAAACAAATGACCTGCTAAGTCATACTAGAAAAGTGATACAATAACAAAATACAGCAGTATTTGCCTGTAAACTAAGCTTCCTGAAAGGAGGGATCATGTCTTACTTATCTCTAAATTCCTAACAGTTAAAAAGATCAAGGCCCATAAAAGGTGCCTTAAAACTGTTGAATGATTTTCCTATGAACACAGCTAGTATGCAAAACAGTTTCCCAAAACTTTCATCAATTAAATTTTTATTTCATCCCACTCACCACTTATTTTCTGAAACACTTTACCAATCATATTTACAATTCAGCTCAAATTCCTAAAAAATTGCTAGATACTCTGAGTGAAGTAGAGGATGAGTGGGGGATTAGGGGAGATAAGATCCAACCCAAAAGATTGACAAATAATTTAAAATGAGATCTATTTTCCAGGATAATTTAGGAATAAAAAGGCAACAGTCCCAGACTCAAGAATACTCAGAATAGTCTAATAATGACAATAAGCAATATAACCAATTTAGGGGAAATAGATGACTTTTGATAATAGCAATTGGAACTATGGTAAGTGAACTGTCAGCAGTCCTCTGAATATTTAAATTATTCTTTTCTTTGTACCAGAGGATAAGTAAAGTTTCAAGGAGGAGGAGAGTGTTTCGAATGAGATACAGGTACACTTATATCCTGTATCAATCATACCATGTTTTTGGCAGACACAATCCTGAACTCTTCTGTAAATCTTCCACACCTTTCAGTTACAATGCCAAGGTATGTATGTATGTATGTATGTATGTATGTATGTATGTATATGTATACACATATACTTATATATATATACATATACATATATAAGATCTTAGTAACTTATTCATCTATATTATTTAGAAGGAGCTGTAAGTTAATGTTCACACATTTTTGGGATGGTGGGAGATGTAATTTCAGGCAGATTATAGTGCTAGCGAAAAGCTGACACAAAACAGTTTAGGCAGCTAACTTTACAGCAATGATCATTCAAGAAAACATACCAAGCTGAGGCAGGCTAGCAATAGGGATTTTGGGACCCTGGTGCCATGAAGCATTTCATGCTAAACTCAATGCCACCCTTTGCAGTTATAATTTTCTTTTCAATTGTAAAATCTCAGCAGTAGTAAGTTTTGCCAAAGACAGGAAGCCTTGGGGGAATTCTGCCCTTGATTACCTCTTAAAACATGAATACTGATCACACCTCATACATGTAATTAAAATACCCGAGAGTTAGCATAAGTGCATGTGCTTCCTGCCCAATGTTGTATGACAAGACCATGTCAATCAAACCTGTCAATCACTTCAGCCCATCCTGCAAAGACTGTCCAGATCTTCCCTGCTGTTTGCCCTTTTAATTTATAAAGACTGCATTGTAATTACTTTAGTAGTAAGAAGCAGGCATTTTAGGGCAGGATATTGGGAACCAAAAGCCAAAGTCTGACAAGATCGCTGTGACTTAGCAGCATTCTGACAAGGTCGGAATCTGCAGGTGCACCATGCCTCTATCATGGTGGGAAGGAACGCTAAATGGGTTTCCCTTGACTAAAAAGAAGTTTATACTTAGTCAAGGACACTGGCAGTAAAAATGCAGGGTGGAAAATACAGAAAGGTTGTAACTAGGTCAGAGTGTTTTTGATGTTTAAGTCTTTTCCTCTTTTGTATAAATCTGGCTGAGAAAAATAAATGTTTGCCAGTTGGTCATCAGCCTGCTGGCCCTCTTGATATGTGTCTTGTCTTGTCTTGTTCATTCCTGCCCTGAGACCTTTAGGGTTAAGGACCTCTGCAATCCTGGCAGTAGGATAAATTAAAGAACTCAATACTATATACACTGTTTAAAATAAATGTAGAGTTTACATAAGAATTTACCACAGTACCAACAAAGACATACCCAACTTATCACAATCAAGGTCATAAGTGGTGCTGGCCTTTTGGAGGCTATCCTTTTGATTTTCTTCCACATCATCTTCTACTGATTTTTCCATTTCAGGAACAAATCTTGCAGTTTTCTGTTTTTGTCTGGCCTTTCCTCTGTTCTTTCCTTCAGCCCTAAAAACAGCTATGTTATTTTTTCCTTTAATACTGATTCTTAAAACAAATAAAGAAAAAGGGAAAAAGAAAAAAAAAAAACAAAACACTAAATCCACAAATAAATAAATGGACCCCTCAGGCAAAACCATTTTTTTTTTTTTTTTGGTGAAACTGGGTTTCACACTTTAGCCCAGGCTAGCCTAGAACTCTCTATGTAGGTTAGGCTGGTTTCAAACCCCTGCCTCAGCCTTCTGAGTGCCAGGATTAGAGGTAAATCACCATGTCTAACTAAAGATTATCTTTAATGTTACATTTTTAATCCTTCAATGCTTCCATCCCCTCCCTTACAAGGAATCAAATATAACAGATTAAGTCAAAGGACTCAAATATAATCTCCCAATAGCTTCCTAGTCTATTCTAATTCCTACCTAAACTGATACAAGAAAACTATAGATCAAATCCTGCCAGTTGCTTGTTTTGTAAATAAAGTGTACTTCATACAGGGATGCTCATTCATTTGCATACTACTTATGCCTTTCTTTTTTACAAAGGCAGAATTCAGTGGTTGGAATAGACAGAAAAATACTACCGGGCCCTTTACAGAATAAAATTGTCAGGCCCTGTAGTAAGTTATTTGTACTGTGATTATTTCAAACTCTGTATCTCTCTCAGCAACTTAAGAACAAGAATTAATAAATTATTTTCCCAGTGTCTGTTAAGAAGCTGTCACTGGATAAATAATGAGAATCAATAAAAGAAAAAAGGATCAATAGCTTCAGGTTAGTACGTAACAGCTGCATGTCTCTCAAAGAATAGGTGATTGAAGACTCTTTGAAATATGTCAGTTTTATTTTGCTTTTAGATTTACTCAACATGACAGTGATTCTAGTAAAATGTTACTGTTTCTAAAACTTTTCTAAGATCAAAAAGAACTTCAAAACTAGCAACCCCCAAAATGAAAACCCCTTTACATTGGTTACATGAGTGCATACATTTTAAATCTAAAATGGGTGCTTTTATTGAATGTAAGTTATACCTCAATACAGTTAATTTTTAGGGCTAGGTATGTGGCACAAGGTCTTAAGTTCAAACCCCAGTAATGCCAAACATCAAATAAAAAAAAGTTGATTTTTTTAGAAACTTAAAAGAACATATTACCTTAATTTTTCCAGAAAATTATCAATGTACTCCTTCCAATTTTTTGGAAAACCAAACATAAACTTCCTTGTAAGATAATATGGATATCCTATTTAAGAATAAACAAAAAAATTACTTGAAAGTAGAGAACTTTAAAGATTTTATTAATTCATTAGAGGGACAATTTATAAAAAGGATAGTCAGGGAAGTCCTCACTGAAATAGTAAGTAAAGTTCTAAAGAACCTGAGGGAATAAGTCATTTGACAATATGGAGTTAGAATGTCAGAAGCAGAGGAAAGTGAAAAACCAGGAGCACAAGTGTACCTGATGGAAAATAAGATGAGTATAGTTGAAGTGGCATGAGGGATCAGTACTGAAAAGCTACTCAAATGGGAGTAGTATGAGAGGTTATAATATGAGGCTGTGGGGGATATTTTACAGACTTGTCCATTTATTTTAGTGCAAGATTGGAAACCATGGAAAGATTCAATTAATAATGATACTCACCTGCTTCTTTCATGGAACTCTGGTCTATTAATCCTTTTAATATATAAATGTTGCCCGATAACGTCCTAAGTTCGTTGTGCTTAATCCGCTCTATAATTACATTACTGTGCCAATATATGTTAGCCATGTCTCTAGGAGAAAGAAATAATTTAGTGAAGCCTAAATATTTACATTTAACAAGAAGTTATATGGACAGAAACATTGGCTATAGCACTAACTGTTGTTCATTTAATTACAAAAACATTTGAGGGCTACCACTGCAGCAGAACTCAACTGGTTGGCTAATGTGATCCTCAGAGTATCCACCTAGAAACTGTACTGTGGCCAAACCATGATCCTATAAATCCTATAAACAAGCTATAGTAGCAAATCACTGACCTATAAATCTACTCTTTATATTTCTCTAAATGAAGCTAAGAATAAATATAAAATAGGAAGAACAAAATATGAAGATATATTAGATAAGTGAACAATCTCTCATTCATGAGACAATAATAAACATACTATTTACATGAGTAATTAATAAGGAACTTAAGGTATTTTAATTCAGTTAAATAGGATTAAACTCATATGTGATACCTTAATATAATACTTCTTCACTCTTTTTTGCTTTATTTAACAAACATTTAAATAATACTCTAAAGGCACTATTCTCTAGTATTTCAAATTATATAGACATTTAATTCTTAAAACTACCCACAAGGGTAGATAATATTATAATTCTCCTTGTTCTGATGATGAAACTTAAACTGTTGCTGGTAGTAACAACAGCAACAGTGGGATTGTCCACAAAAGCAATCTATGTTGCATCTTGTCTATTAAAGAAATGAGCACAAGGCAAGAAAAGTGGACAATACAGATTTTATATACTTAACTTTATAAACTTCCATGGAAGTACCTTAATGGTAATGTACTGTTTTACTGTAAATTTGTTTTATCAATGAGAAGCTGATTCTCAATATCAGAAAATGGTGCTGAAAGAGTAGTAGTAGACAAAGTCCACCTGCTTGCTTATGCTCTCACTTTAGGGAAAACCAGAAAGTGCCAATTACTTATTCTGAAGGTGTATGGCAAATTTTTAAATAACTTTGATTCCTTTTCTGGATCAGTAATCTATAGGTGGACCCAATATAGATGTGAGAATCTGGACTAAAATGTATGTAGTAAACATTAACTGACAGTACATAAATAAGCAAATAATACCGGTCTACTCATTAGCAACTCAGAAAAAATAAAGCACTATACAAATTTGAGCTGTCATGATTTTTTCTTTAAATTATGAGAAATGAGAAAAATTGGCAAAACCAAGAAAGTTGGTAACAAATCAACATGGTAAAGACCTGCACAGCAACTTTACTTTCTTGTTTTCAGTTCATAACCTCCTGAGAAAGAGCTTGTTTTGCAGGAAGATGCTACTTCTAATGCATCACCTTTTAAAATCTCACACAACTATTTTCTTAAATTTTATTAAATATTTAAATATTATACTTACATTAATTTTCCTTCTACACATATAGCAGTATTATCATTGATGACTTTAATCATCCATTCCTGTAACTGTATTACCTAATAAAGCAAAAAAAAAATACATTTCTTGTACTACTTGTAGCATAAACCTTATAAAATTAACTTGAATCACAAGAAAAAAAAACCTAAGTAACCTCAATGATTCCTTAGTACCCATCTATATATGAACCACAGTATATTTTAAGCTAGCAATTTAACAAAACAAAACATATGAAGAGACTGAAGTTGTGTTGTATAGTTTGTCCTATATTCCAGAAGCAACTATATTTCAAATGATCTTATATCAAATTATCACTGTGGGGCCCTGAGTTCAAACCCCCATTCCACAAAAAAAGAAAAAGAGTTAGGATAGTCAAAGTTGGAGGTGTGGCTCAAGTAGTAGACTGCCTGCCTAGCAAGTATGAAGCCCTGAGTTAAAAAAAAAAAAAAAAAAAGGCTATTCAAGGAGGGTCTTGGAGCAGAGAAATGAATAAAGTGAAAGATGAGCCAAATATATATATATATACTTTTTTTTTTTTTTGGTCTAAGCAGAGATTAAGTATAAAGGCCATAGTAGGTAGAATGGAAGCCTAGTAACTTGAAACTAGTAAGAAAAGGGAATAAGAGATCTCACTGCAGGATAAATGATATGCAGCCCTGTAAACCATAGTAAAGGCTTAAGTGTTTTCTCCTGCAATGAGAAATCAATGGAAAAATAATTGAGCATTATAATCTATAATGGTTATAATTATGGAACATGGAATCTACATTTGGGAAGGGAACTGAGACACGAGAGTGGGTGAATTAAAGTTTTTAGCAGGTCAAAATATTATAGGTAGGCATGGAACGTACTGGAGGGGGAATGATCTGGAACAACAGGAATTGGTAGCAAGAGTGTGGGATGCTAGAAAATTAGAATCTATATGTACTAATAATGACAAGGTAAGGCTAGGGTATAGGGCATAGGTAAGACAAAGGTCATTAAAGATGAAAAAAATTAGCGAGAGCCTATGGCTCATGCCTGTAATCTTAGCTACTCAGGAGGCAGAGATCAGGAGGACTGTGGTTTGACTGGCTAGTCAGGACAAATAGTTTGTGAGACCCTATCTCAATAAAACCCATAACAAAAAAGGGGCTTGGGAGTGGCTCAAGGTGTAGGCCCTGAGTTCAAACCCCAGTACCACACACACACACAAAAAATAAATAAATAAAAAATAAATGGAGATGGAGTGGCTCAGTGGTACAGCACTTGTTTAACAAGTACAAGGCCCTGAGTTCAAGCCCCAGTACCACCAAAAATAATTAAATAAAAGGAGGTGTAGAGAGTTGTTAGAAGTCATTTTAGTTACAGCAAGGTTAAAAATGTTTACAGAACATAGATAATATATCACATTGCTAATTCAGAAGCATACAATGTAATGTTTGAAGAGCTAAGAAGGAATGAGATTAGATCAGAATTACAGGAGGTATAGAATTATACAGGGATATGAGTGGTGGGAGGCCTGGACTTCTTGTGGTATCTGAGATAAACAGCACTGTAGAAATGAAGGAACATTAGTACTGTGTGATATCTCAGAATAGCAAACATTCAAACATTTTTGCTCAACTTGCTTCCAACATTTTTAAGTCAACAACTAAAACCGGTCATCATAAATTGAAATAATTGCAATAGTGCATTTTCCAGTGACTAAATTAAGAGACTGAAAACTGCAATGATTATACTGTTCTTTACCTCATTTGGTTTTTTTTGAGGGGTTTTTGGCAGTAGTGGGAATTGAACTCAGGCCTCCTACTTGCTAGGCAAGCTCATTACCACTTGAGCCAGGCTGCCAACCATATTCTTTAAAATTAAGATAGAATTTGAATGCCATCATTGTCTATTTTACAATAAATGGGCAAACTTTTCACAATTGGAAATTTTACAATATATGTTTCTTCTTCAACTTGCATTTCTATTACAATTCCTTTACAGAGTTTATCCTAGTATAACAGTTTGATGCTCTAGTCTTTTATTGATCACTCCATATTAACAATCAAGAAAATTCTCAGATCTTTAGATGCTATAATCCTTCTTTTTCAACTGCTCTGTTGATAATATCCCAAAAATCAGAAAAAAAAATTACGAGTAGGAATAAATTTAGTGTTCATCCCTAAAGGGTAAATTGTTGAGGCCATGCAACTAGTAAGTGAACAAAAATTAACACCTGGGTCTTCTTACTTTCTGTTCATTGTTCTTTTCACGAGACTACACTATACCTACAGTAATAATAATAAAACACAAAATGAATCATAATGAGAGTGCATAGAGCTTATCTCCTGAAGAATAGGGGTGGGGCAGAGAGGGGGAAACTGAGATAAATGTCTGCTTTAGAAGTTTTCCTCGTAGGGCTGGAGGTGTGGCTTGAGCAGTAGAGTGCTTGCCTAGCAAGCACAAGGCCTAGATTTAAACCGCAGTACTGCTTTAGTAAAAAGTTTTCCTACCTTATTTTTTTTAACTTTATTTGTAACAGTTTGAAATATACTTGGAGGAGAAAGCTTTGAAATATTTCTTTTTGACTTTCGAGGTATTGTTAAATGAAGTCTTGGACTTGCAAGTATAATTTTACATGTTTCTGCCATAGAACCTGGAAGACTAGTTCCTCTGGACACTGACTTTTCATTTTGTTCCTTAATTTCCTCTGGTGAAGTCCCTTCTGTTGTCATCTCACTGGCACAAACTATTAACTGACCACTATTTTTAATAGTACTGAGAGTCTCAACATTAATATTTTGGAATTTTTTACAGGAAGAATCAATGCCTTCTAAAACAGTTGAGCCCTTTTTGAACGTAGAAGTTTCAGGTGTATTCTCTTTTGAGCGAAGAATTTGTTTAGGCAGCTGGGCTCTAGCTACTCCCTTTTTTGAAACTCTTGCAGTCAAAACATTTTCTTGCTCTTGGTTCAGGACTGGAAGTTCTGCAGAAAATATAAAACAACACAAAATTTATAGAAGGATCATATGAAATTAAAAGAGAAATAAAATTCAATTTGAAACTGTTTATATTAAAAGACACCTTCAGATTAGGAAGGCTCCACCCTCTTTCCTATCTTTCTCTGAATACCTCTGGCTGTATAATTCAAGTTTTTGTCCCAAATCCATCCTTATGCTCACACTGGGAAAATTATCTAGAACATCCAACAATACACTGAAGTAACAGACCACAAAGAACAAAGTAACAGTTTACCATAAGTTAAATTGTGCAGATATGTATTCTGTTCCTGCTGGTGTTGAACATTTTGTTTACTGGGAAGGATGTTTGATGATTCTAGAGGAACTTCTTGGACGGAGGTTGACACTATTGTTTTTTTTTTTTTTTTTTAAAAAAAAAAGAAGTTGCATTGTATTAGTTATGGAAAAGGAAAAAAAAATGACTTTTTAAAATCTTGAAGACATTTAGGTTTAGTAATGATCAGACCAGTACTTTTCCAATATATGACAGTTAATTTTTTCCCTTTATCTCCTCATCCCTTCACTCCACTCTCTATACCTATACTGCCTGCTCTAGACAAAAGTATACTATTAACTTTCTGTGACTGTGAGAGCCTTGGGCCGTGACTCCCTTTGTGTGAGGAGTGGGAAGGCTCAGGGTGTGGTCTCCAGGAGAATTGTGTTGGGCATCTGGAACACGTTTGACTCAACCTTCAATACAGTAGTAGCAAACACCAGCCTGCTGAGTGCTGGGGACTGCACCGGATGCCAAGTCCCAAAGTGGTTGGGCACGGGCACTGCTCAGGAGGATCCTGACTAAAGGGCAGGCAGCCCCAGAGTGATCCATGGGGTGATCCACAATGTCATCTGAGGGCAAAGGGAGAAGCAGGGGGTGAGGAGCATACTGCTAGACTCAGAAGCATGGAAATATGGAATAAAATTCTGATGCTACCACAAACTTGACATGTGTTTAATATTATACATGAAGTATACCATCCAGTTTTGAAAATTCTGCTTCTGGTTACCATAAATTTCTAAAACATGAAAGAAGAGTTGAAGAGCTGTTAACTTACTCTTCATAACTCAAAATGTTGAGCCCTAATAGCACATTCAACCATAATTTATATCCCCTTAACATCTGTTTTATAGCCCTTCAAAGGAAATGAGGAGCACTAGTATTGTTTATATTTTATTCTCATTCACATCCTAGATCTTAAAAATCACAATTTCAATTTCTTACCACTTTCAGTCTGTCCAGATCATTCTCTCAAATCTACTGCCAATCCCAAGACCTACATTGTTGTTGGTTTTTTATTTTGTTTTGTTTTGGGACAGGGTCTTAGAATATATCCCAGGCTAACCTTGAACTGAAGATCTCCTGTCTTTGCCTCCCAAGTGTTGGGTTTACAAGTGCCTACCCTACCACCCAGCTTTCAAGTAGCTGTTTAAAGTTACCCAGAAAATCAATTCTAAGCCTAGACAATTGACTTTTCTCCTCTCCTGCACTATCCATACCTCTACCTCCTCAAACTTCAACACTGCATCTCATATCTAGTCTCACATATGATAGTACTTCTGAAGATCTGTCTGTGAAGTCATGCAATAGTGATCACCCACATCCATTTTTATGTACACTTCTTTTTTCTCCCTTCTTTTCCCTTCATTTATTCCCTTTATTTCTTATACTGAGGTTTGAAATCAGGGCCCAGCACTCTACCACTTGAGCCAAACTGCCCAGCCCTTTAATGCCTTAGTGGTTTTTCAGACAGGGTTTCCTGCTTTTCCCTCTGGGCTGGCCTGGGACCATGTATGATGCTACTACCTATGGCCTCCCAAATTACTGTGATTACATTATGTGATCCATCACACCCAGCTTCTTTGTTGAGATGAGGTCTTGCTAACTCGTTGCTACCCCACCCCTGCCTGCTTGTTGGCCTAGAATCTCAATCCTCCTAATTTCTATCTTCCAAGCAGCTGGGATTGTAAGTGGATGCCAGTCCACTGATTTCTTTTTTGTTAATTTATTTATGTCCTAATTAAAGACCAATCTCTACTTATGCCTTAGGTTCTGTATCACACTAGCAATCTGAGTTTGTCCTTTTCTACTGATTATTCCCAACAGCATACAAAAATGCTACAATTTCACTATTAAAAACAATAATGAAACACTTAGCCTGGCACCGGTGGCTCAAGCCTATAATTCTTGCTATTCAGGAGGCAGAGATCAGGAGAATCGAGAATCAAAGCCAGCCAAGGCAAATAGTGAAAAACTATCTCAAAAAAAACTTCACAAAAAATGACTGGTGGAGTGGCTCAAGGTGAAGACCCTAAGTGCAAACCCCAGTACCACAAATATATATAAAAAAAAAAATAATGAAACACTTACCCATACTTACTATTTCTTTGCTCTCCTCAGAAAGACTTGTCTGTGGTCATCATTGCCAATATCTCTCATCACATTCTTGCTTGAACCCTCTAGAATTGTATTTTATTCCTATTATTTCAACACCCTCATCTAAGTCGCTAACCCTTCACCAGCACAACTGATGACTCCCTCCTCTTTAAAACATTTTGCTCTCTTGGCATCTTATTTCTCAGTGGCCTTCTGTTCTTTAACTTTTAAATGTCTAAATGCCAAAGGACTTGGCCCTCTGTTTCTACACTTACTCCTTGATGATCGCATCTAATCTCACAGGTTTAAATACTGTTAGGTACTGATAATTCCCAAATGTATTTCTCTGTCCTATATCACCTCCCTAAATTCAAACTAATTTTTCCCAGTCCTGTATCTGTACTTAGATATACCAAAATTAGCATGACAAAAAAAGTTATAAAACACAACATTCTTCCTTTAGTCAGCCCAGTTCAGTTAAATCATCCTTTCAATTCTCAGGCAAAACCAAAAAAACAAATAACAAAAATAAAAAACCCTGAAGTTATCCTTTCCATCTCTTTTTCTCTTAGATATTCCACACTATGAGTCAAACCTATTAGCTCTATCATCCAAATATATTCAGAATCCAGGGCTGGGAGTGTGGCTCAGGTGGTAGAGACCCTGCTTAGCAAGTGTGAAGCCCTGAGTTCAAACCCCAGCACTGCAAAAGAAAAAAAAAAAAACCAAGACAAAATAAAAAAGCCCTCCAGTGACTCATTACTTTCTTCACAGTAAAAGCCAAGCTTTATATTTACCTATAATATCCTATGTTATCTTACCCTCTTATTTATTGCTTCCTCTTCAGCTGTCTGTTCACTGCATGATGCACTATCCTCAAAGCTAGTACCTGAATTTGTCTCACATGTTCCTACTCCAGGGCATTTGTGTCAGCTGGATCATCTCTCTCCATTTTCCAAGGTATCTATCTATACAGTAAGCCCGTCTTATTCACAAATTTATTACGTGCAATTTGACCAAGTCAAAAATAAATAAAACAAATTTCAAAAGCAAAATTTTTAAATTCCCACACAAATATGTGACTCAGATGATGCAGTTAGGTTCTTAGTCTGTTATCATCTGTTGTATTTAAATTGTTATGTGGTCTGCTGAGTGTTTCCCTACCCTTAATCTAACAAAAAATCTGCCTCCCAAAAACAAATGGTCCCTAAAAAATAAGGTAAAAGTTCATGTGCTTAATTTAAGTGATTAATTCAGATTAAATTTTAGATTTCAATTTAGGCGGCATGTCTTTAACAGAAGTTGGAGGGCATTACAAGAAAAATGAATCAACCATCCGCAGTATTTGAGATTAAAGAAAATGAAATAAAATCTAGTTTTGATAAGCAGTATTTCTGTGACAGTAATGAAGCCTACTCCATGCAGCTTCAAGTTATGGATGCTCAGACCTTGTGTAGTATGTTATAGGTAAATTTGAGTAATTTTAAAGTACTGAACTCCATGCATCCTGAGCGCACAACAGCTGTCTCTTCGGAACCATATACCTGTGATGTCAAGGGTCTACTGTGTCTATTACCTCCCTCGGTATTTTTAAACTCAAATACCATCTTTTCATTGAAGCGCAATGACTACTCCACTGAAAATTACAACTCTCCCATCTTTTACTCCTTTTCTCTTTCTGCTTTTCCTCTTCTCCTGCACCATAAAAGTGTACTCAGTTAATTCACCTGAATGTGAGCTATGTTAAGAGAGATAGAGATTTTGGTGCATTTTTTTCATTTAGTACCTAAAACAGCATCTACCTTATTAAACACTTAATACATGAATTATTACCTGACTGCAATGATTTATTGTTCTCCTTTTCTTCACAGAGGTAGGTATGCTGCAATAGTCTTTTTTCATCTCTGTTAGGAGTAAAGATTTTATTATTTTTGCCTTTCTGTGGTTCCAGCAAACTACTGCTTCTTGATACTTCTTCTTGCTTGTCACGCAGTACTTTTTCTTTCATTCTTTGAAATATTTTCCCTGGTGATTCATAGTTTGCTTTATTTTTTAATCCATCCTTGTTAGACTTTATAGCACTAATATCAAGACAACTGTTAGAGATGGTAACCTCTGCTAGCACAGTAGATTGAAATATATTTTTATTCTTAGAACTTGTCATTTCTAGGAACTGATTCTTCTTATAGCCATTCAGTTTTAAAGAGGAGTTCTGATATTTCAGCAAATCTTTTACAGGAGTAAGTGTACCTGAAGGAATGTCATCAAAAAAGATTGCATCCATGGCCATATTTCTTCTTTGAGAAGATGTTCCTAAAGACATTCCTGGATGTTTCAAAGGTGTTGCAATCATCTTGATTAAAACAGCAGCAACAAAATTCCTCAAAGAATTCAGTCAAGCACAATTTTCTGCATAGAACTTCAGCAGGGGCTCAGAGAAACCTGTAGTTCAATGTAAAAAAATCAGTATTTAACATTCTTTGGTACAGAAAAGTTAGTTTACTTGTTTCTCATGTAACTCATAGACCAAAAATGATTATGATAATAATGATGGGACATGAGTGTAAAGCAGGTGGGGGAGGGGTCCTGGGAGGGGGGAGGACTGTGGGACGGGGGACCAGCAGGAAGGGAGAGGGGGAAAAAAGGGTGCAGGGGGTAAAAAGTATTTAAGTATGTTTTATGAATAGACATGTACATATATATACATATGTTATCTTCATATATGAAACAAACCAAACCCTGCTTAAAAAAATGGGTTGTGTAGCTGGGTGCTAGTACTGTAATCCTAGCTCTCCAAGGCTGAGCTCCAGAGGACCACGGTTTAAGGCCAGCCCAGGCAAATAGTTTGTGAGACCCCCAGCTCCAAAATTACTAGAGCAAAATGGACTGGAGGTGTGGCTCAAGCAGCAGAGCACATGCTTTGCAAGTGTGCAAAGCCCTGAGTTCAAACCCCAGTCCTGCCAAAAAAAAAAAAAATTTATAGCATCTATTACTACTGAATTTATAGCAATTCTAATAATTTTGACATCTAAATATAAAATGCCTATCACAGAAAATACTATTGCAGTCAGATCAAAAGACATCAAGTATTATTATCTACAGTAACTTCTATGAAAAATAAGCAACTTAAAGTTTCATACACAGAGTACTATTTTATCTAATTATTACAATGGAGGAAAAAAAAACAAAATATTCAATAACAGCTGACAAAGTATATCTTGGTAGTCTGGCCCTGTACAGAAAATTGTTCCACAATATGTTAATTCAGCAAGTATGAATTAATGCACATACTTATACATTCCTCAATGTGCTAGGTGCCAGGAAGAGCACTGGGAATTAAAGCTAACTTGTTGGCTCTAAACAGTATCAGTAAAGCTACACCATCTCAAAAACAAAAATGAATAAATTGGACATATGCAGGGGAAAATAGCACATCATGACAGAAATGCAAATTCCCAATCTCAGTTCCTCAGAGCCTAATGAAACACTGAACAGGAAGTTAAAATTTACAGTTTTAGAAGGTAGCAGCACTGAACAGAACTGTTTTAATTTATAGGCAGATATTTGTGTGTACCTTGAAAGGCTCCAAGAATAAGCACAGAGGTCCTCCCAACATCCTATCCCCAACCAACTCAAAGAAGGAGTGTGATGAAGGTCAGAAGTCAAGCAAGATTCTAAAAAAATTCTCAAATCCTAAAAAATTCTCAAAAATACATAGGAAGGAACACTTTTTTCCTCACTATGTGATAAACAGCAATGCAACAGAAGCCAAAAGAGCTGCCAATGTTTTAAGTGGGGTTGGTGTTAGAGAAGATATCTAGAAAAAAAAAAATTGCCTAGGATTTTCTCTGACCAGACTCTATAGAATAGATACAGAAGAAAAACAACCTAGTAGATACAGGCTACCCAAGAAAGATCTGAAACCCTATTTCCTTCCTAGTTAAGAGCAAAAGAAGGAAACATCATCAATATTTAGCATATGATGAAAGAAAGGTTAGACAATGAGATACATAAGGAACTCAACAGCGAAAGAAAAAGAAAAGGAAGGAAGGAAAGAAGAAAGGAAGGGAAAAAGAAAACCCAATTTTTAAAAGTCCTTAACAGACATTTCTCTCGGCTGGACGAGTGGCTCAAGCAGTACAGCGCCTTTCTGGCAAGTGCAAAGCCCTGAATTCAAACCACAGTACTGCCAAAAAAAAAAAAAAAAAGACACTTCTCAAAAGAAGACATGCAAAAGGCCAACAGGTATATGAAAAAGTGCTTGACATCACTAATCATCCTGGATATAAAAACCAAAACCACTGTGAGATTACTACTCACTCCAATTAGAATGGTTATTATGTACAAATGAAAACAAGTGTTGGCAAGGATGTGGAGAAAAGGGACACCTTGCACAATATTGGTGTCATGTAAACTGGTACAAACATTTCGGAGAACTGTATGCAGGTTCCTCAAAAAACTAAAAATAGAGCTATCATTTTCCCAGGAATCCCACTAGTGGGTACATATATCCAAAGAAAATGAAACCAGTGTAAACGAGACAGCTGCATCATTATATTTACTCAAACCAAAAACTGGAATCCCTTCACTTGGGAGGCTGCGGTAAGAAGATCACCAGTTCCAGGCCAGCATGGGCTACAACGAGAGACCCTGTCTCAAAAATAATGATTAAAAAAATAGAAGCAGCAACAGAATAGGTCGTATAGTTGCATTTCCGTAAAATAAAATAATACATATGAGCATAATGATAAGGGGAAAAAAGTCTGGAAGGGTAAAATGAAGGGGCCGTCTATTTCCTGATATTAATAACATCTAAAAATGCTTGTAACCAGCATACAATTTAAGCAGACGAAAACCTAAGCTGGATGTTTCTACATCCCAGAGTCTGAAGTCCTAAAATGAAGAGCTGGGCGTTGAGGCCCGCAGTTTTCCTACCCGCTGCTAATTCTAACCCCAGAACTGACTTTAGAGCAAAGGCCCGGGGCGCTCGCATCCAAGTGGATCAGGGCCTTACTCTCTGGACAACTGCAGGAGACTTGCAACCGAGTGCTGCGCGGTTGGGAAACTCCGTCGAAGCCAGCAGTGCATACAAGCCCGCGTGCGCCGCGGGTGCTGCGGGGCTGGATGGCGCTCGGGCGGCGGGGACCCAGCCGAGGACACCGGGCCGGCCGGAGCGGGGAGGTCCTACCTTGGGTGAAGGGCCTGGCAGTCCGGGGCTGTAGCGCCCAGGCTCGGGCTCCGCGCCCGGAGGGGCCTGAGCGCCCCACGGCTCGCGCCTCAGGCCCACTGACCCTGCCCACAGCGGCACCGTCCCGAGCGACGCTCACCTTCCTCGTGACAACTCCCACAACAGTTTGGGTTTTCAAATCTGAAAAGCCCGCCCTCCAGTCAGCACGGGATTGGTGCGCTAGGAATTGCGTCACCGTGCGCCTCGGAGAGGCGCCGGAAAACCCGGGCTACGCCCTCGGCGTCGAGGGGAGCGCGTAGAAAGAGTGGGGTCCTCAAGCAAGCTTGAGTAGGGGGCCCGTCCCTCCTCCGCAGAGGTCATTTGGTCTTCCCGGGGCGCGCTTACACTGCGGCGCGCGCTCTCCTTCCGTAATGCTCTGCGTGGGAAAAGCAGACGACACATTTACCCCGGGGCGTGCTAAACGCAATTGCGTTTACTAAGTTTGTCCCTTGTCGGCCACACTCCTCCGGTACGGCTGCCCTCGCGTAGTGGCGTTTCCCTGTCTCTTCCTTCCGGCTCTGATGATCTGGGTTGACTGAGTGAGGTTGAGGGGAGTTTTATTTTTCTCCAGTCGCCTTGTGTTTGAAGCCGAGAAAGGGTGTTTTGTTCTTGGGGACTGGCAGACGGAATGCAAAGTCGCGTAACCAATTCAGTGTTTAGTTTGAGCTATTCCGGCAGGAAGTATGATTTCTTTAACCAGAGCATCTTGGGTTGCAACGCCTTGGACTGCAGCACGGTCTGCCCTGATAACCGCAGGTTACAGTGAGTGCCCCGCAGGCGCCGTCGCTGACGACGGGCGTTGGTAACCGCGGGTTTTCAGCTCTAAATCTGCATCTTTCTTCCATGAGCTCCGCCGTTCCTCCTCCCGATCAGCATTTGACACAGGACTTTTTCATTTTTGTGCCATCTAAGAAAATTTCTCAGCCTAGCCTGGTGGCACAAGCTTGTGAGGATCGAGAATTTCAGGCCAGCCTGGGCTCCATAGCTAAGATCCTGTCTGAAAGGGAGAGAGGGAGAAAATTCCTTAGGTCCCTAGTGTCGATCTCTGGACCCGCTGGGGGCGTGGCTCAAGCGGATCAAGCCCCAGTATCACAAAAAAAAAAAAGACTTAAAACGTAATGGGTTAAAAATTTTGAAGTGACTTTTGCAATCCCCTATTCAAAGTCTTGCATCTACTAAATTTGTACGTACCAAGTATCCGGAACCCAAAACATAAATTTGAAACATCCAAGTGAGGGCTGGATGGGCCTCATTTGAGACCTCAAAAGAGGCAGGTAGAGCCCCTGCCTAGTAAGCGCAAAGCCCCGAATTCAAGCCCCACCACCACCACTCAAAAACAAAAATTCCAGATGAAAGCCTATAATACCAGTACGTAGGAAGCAGAAGCAAGAAAACCGCTGTGTGTTCAAGACCAGCCTGAGCTACATAGTGAGACCCTGTCTTAAAAACGAAAGAGCCATCATGCAACGGTGTCACGCCTGCAGTCCTAGCTACGCAGGAGGCAGAGATCAGGAGGATCACCCTGTGCAAATTGTGAGACCCTATGGTGGGGTAGGGGAGACACACCACAAAAAACAGGGCTGTTGGAATGGCTCAAGTGGTACAACCCCTGCCTATCAAGCATGATGCCTTAAGTTCAAACCCCAGTGCCGCCAAAAAGAAAGAAATAAACAAGTATAATAAAACGACTGGACATGGATTTGCAAGTTTGTGGGAAAAACCAAGCTAAATTATAGATTAAGTAGGAGGGGAGGGTTTATGAGCAAAAGGGGTGAAGAAGGTCTGTAGGGAACAGCACTAACAGAGATCAGTCTCCCCTGCCCCCCCCAAATCAGAGGAGGATATAAACCTTTTATTATTATTATTATTATTATTACTGGAGTGGTCCAAGTTCTGCTAATTTTCCATTAGTCATGAAGATGGTATTTTTAAAAGAAATTTCTTCTTTATGTTTTAAGAAAATTTACTCCTGTAAGATATGAATTGGTAGCCACTTTGTTCTAAGAGAAATTATGATGCCATCCATACCTGGTGGGTTTTGTTCTTGTGGTGAGTAGGAGAAAGGGATTAGGGTTAAGGGATGAGCATTTTTCAGAAATTGTTGACAAGGGAAGATTTTACTTTTA